ATAAATCCAGTAATACATTCAATACATTTAAATAAAATATTATAAATATTTTCACTCAATAATAGTTTCATTAATTGAATAATCAATTCTGGGAAAAATATAAATAATATTCTTTAAAAGGAAAGTATTTAAAGAAAATAAACCATATTGATTATAAAAATTTATACAAAAATTTGAATCATTTTGTTTAATTTCATTTAATAAATCATTTAATATTTCCAAAGATGGTGAATGATTTAAAATGTGAACAAAATATTTTGATTGTCCACCAAAATTATTAAAATTATTATTAGAATTATTAGTGAGAGTATTATAGTTATTATTATTATTAGTGGTAGTGGTAGGAGTTGTTGTTGTTGTCAGATTAGAATGTGTATCTATTGAATTAATTGAAAGTGTTGGTGAAAATACTTGTTGTTGTTGATTAGTGGATGATGATGTTGTTGTTGTTGTGTTATTTCTACCTGTTATTGAACGTGAACTACTTTTCCTATTTCTAATTATTATGATAATGATGACAAAATAATTCAAATATGATTGATTCAATTGATATTATGAAATATTATATTACGGAATCGTAATGTTATAACATGAGAATAAAAATTGTTACATAACATGATGAGGTATTGTCATATGATGATGACATTTTAATTTTCAAAATATAATTAAATTATGATGAATATTGATAATAATTGAATTTAAATATATTCATGAATGATGATGATGATGAACTACTACTATAATTATTATTAACTACTTACATTTTAATATTAATATTAGAAGTATCTTTAATATTCCATAATCCTATTGAATCTATTTCATCTCCGATAAATGATGGTGAATCTTTTAATTTGTTATTATTATCATCATTGGAATATATATACCTGTTGTTGTTGTTGTTGATTTGATTATTACTATTATTATTACTACTAGATAATAATGATGCTAATGATTGACTCTTTTTACGAAGTTTACCAAACATTTAAAGATATGATGACAATGAATATTAATATATTGAATATTGAATGAATATATTGAATTTAAGAGAGTAGTGCTAGTGTGTTATTGTTTAGGATATGGATATCTTTCAGATGTTTTTTTGAATATGGACAATGACAATATCTTTAGATAAGTGACAGTTGCTGTTTTATTTTGGATGTGGAGTGACTTGTTTTGGAAGATTAGAAATTTATTGATACACGAATCATTTGTGTCACATCTAACAAATAATATTAAGGGTTATTGGTCCATGAAATTTATATCACCTATTCATTCCAAAAGAGAAACATTCAATAAACATTACAGTAATGTTTATAAACATGTTGATATGTAATCATTAGAAGAAAGGATAGGTTATTGTTATTAAATCTAAATAATATAAGAGAACTAGCTGATCATTGAAAGAAATATAATAAACTGATTACAAATGATCATATGTATTGAGAAAATTTTTGCTATCAGTAAAAGATAAATAAGAGATAGGTAAACTCGTAAGGTACGTACAAAGGAAATAGTTTTTTTATATCTAATTCAATTCTCTACTGATTAGTTTTTGAAATTAGAATCTATATGATTACAATATTAAATATTGATTTCATATTCATAATCTCCATCATAAAATTTATCAATTTCAAACACTTTCATATGATTGGAAACACATAGAAGTCATGTGGTTTTACCACAAATTTCATGTCCATTTTAAGTGCAGTATCCTTATCCATTACTGTAAAAAAAAGGAATTGGAATTTGAAAGAAAATAATCGTTGTGAGGATCCAATTAGAAACAACTGTTTGGCTTGATATCTACGTAACTACTGTGAATGTCCGTCCTTAATCATTTCACCTTAAATAGACCAATTGAATAGCTCTATTCTCACTCATGACTTTCAAAAAAATGACTCTCAATAGAAGGATTATTGTTGCTTGTCTATTTGTTATCGTTGCATGTGTTGCTGTTGTTTGTGGTTTCTCAAAACCTGCTACTACTTCAACTAAGGCATCAACATGTTGTTTACCACCTGTTCATTCCTATAAAGGAACATTCTATCAAAAATCATTGCAAGAAGAAAACAATCAACCTGATAGTGTTACAGTCATATATAATGTTGATATGAAATCATTTAGAAAGAGAGAGGTAGTTGTTATCAAATCTAATCAAACTGAATTGGTTTATTCTACATTGAAATTGAAAATGGATGATGTTACTATCGAATATAGAATTAAACCAACAAAATGTTCATGTTCCAAATCCAAGAATTATCAATGGAAAGAAACATGTATTGAAGCAACAAGTGAAAATACTACTCCATATACAATTGGTAAGAATAGTGGTTTTATTACCATGATTGATAAGTATGGTGGTAAATATGAATATACTACTTTGAGAGAACCAAATATGGAAATGAATACTTGTTGGATGTTGAGTAAGACAATGTATTTTGATAATTCAGTTCAAGATTACAAATATTATGATATGATTGAATATGTTGAAGATAGTGATTTTGAAATTCCAGAAAATTGTCCTCCAATTGATGAATGTTATCATTAGATTTGGTAAAAATATTCATTTCGTTTCAATAAATGATCCCATCTCTTGATTTTCTTAATGTTACGCCACCTAAGCACCAACTCAAAATTCAAAGTTTTTGGAATTATGTTTGCAATAAAAATTATTAAAATTATCAAAAAGGTGTAGGAAGACAGGGAATCGAACCCTGATCTTAGGAACCACAATCCCATGTTCTACCACTGAACTATCTCCCTTCTTGCTAGATGAATATAATATCTGTAATAGATTTACTGTTTCTTAGATCGGGTTGAGAAATACAAATTAAGGATTTTTCATTGCTTTTTTTATCAACAGCCATCAACTACAACTTGAAAAAAAACGAGCGCCTGAAAGTTAGGTGCATCTAGGTTGAACCTCTCTTGTAACAACACGTTTATTAAATCATGAGTTCATTCAATAGCTTTGGAAAGGGAGAACTAAGGTCGAACTCGGCTATTGCAACCACTGGGTTATCATCTTCAAACAATAATGGTTCTTCATCATCGTGTAGAGATAGTTTTGTTCCTATCAGGAAAAAGCCTGGATCTTCATCATCATCAAGAAGAGCACCCAAACTAGCTAATTTATCTTCCTTCTCAACAACAGCATTGTTGGATAAGAGCCCTCCTATGGGATCAAATAATAATACAATCCATCACGATTTTCCATCAAATCAACAGCAACAACAACCTAGAACTACAATTAATGTTACCTCACCAAATAATGATACCAATGTAAATATAAATGATTTGGGATTTATTCCAGTCTCTACTAGGAATATCAATACACAAAACAATTCCAAATCTAATAGTGGATTTCTAAGCAATAATACTTCTTCTTCTTCGGCTAATACTCCATCAGCTTCAACCGAATCATCACCAAGATCGTCACATATTACTCTGCCTGACATTTCAGTTGGCAGGTCTAACAAGTCTCAAAATGAAAGGGAAAGAAAACACAATTTATTAATGAAAGAGGATCAAGAGTTCATTGAGAGATTAAAACAAAAAGTGATGGACCAACAGGCAGAAATTGAGAAGAGCAATGGTTCTTTGGAACAAATTCAACGAAATTTTGAACAATTATCATCCATGTATAGAAGTAAGTATCTTTGATTGAAATAATTAAATATTTTAGGCGAGAAAAACAAATCCGAAACATATAAAAGTGACTTGGATAGGATTAAGGATGAAAATTGTACTCTAAAACAAACAGTAATCACAAGTGTACCAAAAACAGTTTTTCATGAATTGGAAGAAAAATTTACAAATGTTTTCACAAGCTTGTAGGTTGAACAGTATTTTCAAGTTTAAATTAATAATTAAAAGAAAAGAAGTTGAAGCTTTGAAAGCTGATTTAGAAGAAGAGAATTCTTCTTTGAGATCTTCAGTTTTTGAATTAAATTCTAAAATCAAAAGTCTTATCAATGATTTGGATTCATTGAGAAGAGATAATGAAACAAGAAGTCTTGACTTTTTAAAACAATTGAATGATTCCAAAATTGAAATGAAGTAAGTAGTTCTTAACTTTACAAAATACTAAATAATTTAGGAATTTGCAAGATAAACATGCTTCATCTCAAGTAGAACTTGAGGAAAAAAGACTTGAAATTTTGAAACTGGAAGCAAGACTAAAGTAAGTTTTTCTCAAATTTGAAAAAAAATGTGCTAAAAGAATTAAAAAAGGGACCGAGAGCGAAACATTTCAACCATGCAACAAAGTATGCAAAAGAAAGAATCAGACAGTTCGGAATATAAAGATAGAGTTTATCAATTGGAGATAAAACAAAGAGAACTCAACGAAAAAATTAAAGAACAAACGGAAATTATTGAGGATCAAGATGCCAATGTTAAACAATTAGAAGCTAAATCCAAAGAGTCCATACGAACTGTGAATGATCTTAAAAATCAAATAACTGATCTTAAGAATTATGTTAGAGATTGTGAAAACTCTGAGAAAAAGTCAAAGAACCAAGTAACAAATCTTCTAGATGAAATTGAAAACTATGTAGTCATTGTTAAAAAGTTAGAAGAGGAATTAAATGTTCTAAAGACTTCATTAAACGAAAAGAAGGAATCAACTTTGGAAAAACAAATCAAGGATTTGACCATTGAAAATCTTGATTTACACAAACAGCTTGATATCATATCAGCACAAAAGAAGAGATTGGAATCAGCCATGGGAGAGAAAGAGTAAGTTTTCAATATTTGATTATTTCCAAGTTAATATTTTTCAGGCAATTATTCCAACAGTTAACAAAACTTCAACAGGAGAATTTGGACCTTAATACAAAGGTTCAAGCACTATCTAAGAGAGATCATGGTGACCATTTATATTCTGAATTAATGAAAGCTAGGGAAGAAAATGAGGAATCTTTACAAAAACTGGATATTGCAACAACAAAGTTGAATGAAGCTGAAAGAAAGAATGAGGAACAATCCAAGAAAATTGTTGAACTCGAAGAAAACCTCAAAAATAGAGACTGTTCAATTTCTGAATTGAATGAAACCATTCAAAAGAGAGAGAAGGAGTTGAAGGAAAAGGATGAAGCAATTGCAATTGAAATAGAAAAGGAAAAGACAATATGGAGGGAATTGAATTCTACGAATTCTCAACTTTTAACAACAATCTCCAACCTTAATGCTGACAATTCTAAATTGAGACAAGAAATAATGGATAACAAATCTCTATATGAAGGTCAAATCATACGTGAACAACAAATGATTGAAAATGTAAATAAGAATCAAAAGTATCTCCAAGCAACGATAGAAAAGTTAATCAAAGCAGAGGAAGCAACTGTTTCATCACTTACATGTACTCATTGCTTCCAATTATATGAAGATCCATGTTTATTGGTACCATGTAGTCACACCTATTGTTCAAAATGTTGGAATACTATTCGAGATGAATCAAATGGTTATCCTTGTTCATGCCCTGAATGTTCTGATACAGTTAAGGCTGTTGTAAGAGTTGGTGTACTTGATGGCTTAACCAAGAAATCCTCTTACAGAAAAGAACAGCTGCAGAGTGTTTTTGAGTCGGTGAGACATTTCTTTTCAATACAGTAGTGATTCACACATTATAATAGTAAGATAAGATTTCACTTTATTTTCACTGTAATTTCAACGTGTGCTCATTTTAAAAAATTGTCGGTTACATTTTCTCATATTTTTATCATTAAGGAAAAAAATGAGTACACGACCACGAAAAGGCTCCTCAGCCTTATCACACGTTTCTAATCATTCCTCAAATAATTCAAGTGGTTCGGCAAAGTATTCTGAGAGATCAGCAATGACAACAATTTCATCGAGAAATACAAGTCGTAAAGTATCAACTACATCGGGTCCTCTTTCCTCATCACCATTGCTAGACTCTAGAAAATCTTCTTCTGTCTATGATGAAATCCTGAAAACAGCCTTTAAGAAAAAGAAACCATTACCTTCAGCTACCACTTCAGGAAGTACTACTACCACCACTACTTTGAATCCTTCAACAAATCCTTCATCATCAAGTTTAGGGATTAAGCCAAAAACACCTCTCACTCCAACAAAACGAAATTTAGATAAAACTAATAAGGATACATCAAAAAGTTCTGCTGCTGGGTTGAAAACAAAGTCTACAGCATCTACTACAGTTGAGAGCACACAATCAAAGGAACTTCCACAACAAGATCCTAACAATGACCAACAACAAATACCAACAAGGGACACAACAGAACATACGGAAACAAATATCCATAGTGATACCCCTTCATCCGATGAGGTTCAACAGGAAGATCCAGTCAAGGAAACCCATAAAGATGACACTGAGGAAGTAATACCATCAAAACTTGAAGAAGAATTGGTAAATGATAAGAGTTTGGAAGTTACAATTGAGAAAGGAGAGAAGGAACCAGAATTTGCGGTTGAAAAACCAATTATTGATATTTCTAAAATCTCTGCTTTGATTGAAACTGAAAAGGAGCTTCTCAATCATACTGAAATCAACAATTCAAAGCCAACTTTAACAATACCATCAACACCTTCTGAAAGAATTGCAAGTTTAACAGAGGAAGAAAAGATCAAAGTTAAAAACTTGGCAGCCAGAAACTTGAAATACAACAATTATGAAGAATTATTTGAATCACCAACCAAAGATGGAACAATGGAAGATTTAATGGATAATACAATTGTTAATAACATCTCAGTAATTGAACCTAAAGAAGAGCAAAATCCTATCAAGGAGGAAATTAAGGAAACTCCACTTGAAGAAGGAGAATCTACTCCTGTATCAATACCAACTGAATCTCAACAATTTTCTCAAATTTTACAAGTTGAAGAAACACCAATTGTGAAAAAGGAACTTAACACAAGTATTGATTCAGAGTCATCCTATGGTAGTTATATGGAGGAGTCTGATGATGTTGTAGTATTTGAATCACCTAACAAAGATGAAAGAGAAGTTCACATGTTCTCACCAATTCAAAAGGATGAAGTTATGGAACCTCTTGAAATGAACGAGTCGTTTACTACAGCTGCAACAGAAAAGCTGGAAGCTCATTTACAGAAAACTGTAGATTTGGAAAAGGAAAATCAACTGTTAGAATTGGAAATCAAATATTTGGAAAAAGAATTGAAATCTAATATTCATAATCAAGAAAAAAGACAACCTGAAAATGTTGTTTATGACTTACCAAAACATGAACACTTTGAGAAGGAAAGGGATGAAAGACCTTATTTTGAAGATAGTGAATCAGAGGATGGTGAAGAACCTGTACAAGAAGAAATTAGACATCAACACCCAATCCATCAACCACAAATTATTGAAATTTCAAGAGAGGAATTAATCAAACCAAGAGCTTTTTTGAATCATCAAATATTATTTCAAGAAGTTAAGAAAGAGTTAAAACGTAATATCCAAGAAATTAAACCAATCAAAATACCAGAAGTATTTATTCGTGAAACCATCAAATCAAAACAAGAAATCAAAATTATTTCTACTCCTCTTGAGCCTGAACTAGAGCACTCAGATCAATACCCAAAGCAAGAACCTGAAACGCAAGAGCCAGAACCAGAACTTGAACCAGAGCAACCTGAAGAGCAAGAACCAGAGCCAGAAATTATAGAGCAAATACCTATCGTATCAGAACCTGTAAAAGTAATTGTTAATCATCACCCAATCATTCCAGAGCCAAAAAAACAAGTTGAGCATGTGGATGAAGATTTGGAATTTGACATGGAATTACAAAAAATTGTTGGTGAAGACTTTAGAAGGAAAAAGATTACCATAATGGATCCAAAGAATTTTGTAGAAAGAGGTGCCAGTTCTCCAATAGCTAGATTGAGGAGAAGAGTCCAAACCAACTCTGAAGCTTCAACAGTTCAACCACCTCAAATTGAGCCAACTAATGTCTCTAAAAATTCTGATGAACAACCAAAACCTTCATCTCATAGACTTGCTGGATATAAGGCAAGAAGAGATGCCCGAATGAAACTATTAGAAAAACAAGAAATTAGTATAACATTACTTTCGAATAATGATACTTCAGAGGTTGTTACTCCTACCAAGGATGTACCACCAGTTCAAAATCCACCACAACCATCCGCCAATGTACCAATCAAAAAAGAAGAAACTAATGAACCCAACCAACAAATTACTTTGGTACGATCGAGAACTTCCATTACTTCTGAAAAAGCTGCACCAACAACAGACCCTGTAAAAGATAAACCACCTACATCCACAACAACAGTTGTTGTTAAAGAAAGAAGTGAAGAAACTACCATTTCAAAAGAGGAAGTTAAATTAACAAGTCTTCCTGAAAAGAAAGAGAAATCAAGCTCAACGCTTGTTGCTGCAATTCCAGAAGTTAAAACGAGTAGAAAAAAGTTTGACGAGGTGATTATTATTTCACCTCCAAGAAATCCACCACCAGTTGTACATCACATGAATCCTCAAATTCAAATAGACCAAGAAACAGTTGATGCCATTGTTCCTGAAGATACTGAAAAAGTAGTTCTCTTAAAGAAGACTGAAGCTCTTTTGAGCAAATCAAGAGAACGTCATTCTTCACCAATCAGAAAGATTGAAATTACAAAAGAAACCGAGTCACCAAATGTTAGCTTTGTAACAAGCTTAAGCTATAACAATCAATCATCTTTGAATCAATCCATGTCTTCAATTATTAAGGATGATCCAAAACAAGAGACTTTGAATAGAGTTAATCATTTAGAAAAGTTTATGAAAGATTTGAAAAAGAAGAAACAAGATGAATTGGATGTTTTAGAGAAAAAGTTTGATGAAATGAAATCCTACTTTTCGCAAGAGTTGGGAACTAGAGATTCTGAAATCCATAACTTGACTAATCAAAACCAATTATTAAGAGACAAACTAGCAGTTGCTCAGTCTCAAATAGATGATTTGTCAATAGTTATTGAACACATTCTTGAAACACAAGAGGTTTTAGAAGTTCAATTGAAAAAAAAGCCAAAAGGAAACAAGTTGACTTCTCCATTAATAGAAGCAAGAGAAGATGAACCTGTTTCACCTGTTTCATATCCTGGTAATGATATTCAAAATAATTTGTCACCTGTATCATCATCTATTCCAATAAGTATAAATCATGAAGACCTACAAGAAACTCAACCAACACCATTAGCTTTTTCAAAAGAGGATATTAATGTCGATTTATCAATTGATGGAGAATTCTACTTATCGTTTGGAAAGGCAAGTTTGCCATTGGGAGAGTACGTCAAGACATTGTAAACTAGCATTAAATATTGTTTTCTTTTTTTAAAAAAGCTTAAAAACTCATTCCCGCCAAAAACCAAACAGAAAAAAATACACAAACAAGAAACAGTTAATTAAAGCAAAGTATTAATACAACGTGCTGACCTTCGGGCGAAGAATAAATCATGAAGGCTTGAAAATTAGATCAACATTACTCACGAACCTTTTATGAAAATTAATAATTTAATCGGAAGTGATTGTCTTAAAAGGGTTGGGAATTCATAAGTTCTACCAAGGCTTTAAACCTGCCACATGTCATGTTCTTACTTATCAAAAAAAACAAAACAACATGAAAGTAGAATCAAAAGAGAGTCCTTTCGAAAACGGCATTCGTTGTGTTTTGCAAGATCTTGATAAAATATTTATCAATGTTCAAGATCAAGAGGCGGCCAAGTCAATTCAAGAACGCCTTAAAGTCATGACTGAAAAGTACAAGAAGAACATCCTGTTTGAATTGCTTCAAAAGAAGCTATTTTACATGGGAGTTTATCATCATCAAGAGGTTTCTGTAAACTTGTTTAACCTAAAGAAAAGTAATATTGAAAAGATGGTCACTAACTTTAGAAAGAATGGTGTGGAAGGGGTCATAACTAACTTGATTTCTCAACTTTATATCAAATTAGAGGAAAATACATTTGGAAATTTGATCAGAAAGGTTATTGGGTTTTTAGGTACCACAATTTATGATGGAAATGAACAGGCAATAATTATTAAAATCATTAGAGAGAAAGTTCATTTGGAAATATTTGAAGATGAAGAAGAAGATTATGTTGAATTTAAGAGAGTTGTACAAAGAAAAAAGCTTGAAAAATCCATGATCATATTTGATGATTCACAAAAGGAAATTTATTGGACCAAAGAATCTTTTGAAGAGTTTGTCCAACAAGTCAAAAAGTATCAACAGCATGAATGTCTTGCCTTGTCAGTTGAGTTAATTGGAAAAATCAGAGAAAAGCAAACAAACCTTATTATTGATGTCAACTCTATTTATCAAGAAGATTTGGAAGCTATCCCCCTTAATGTAAGAAGAAAGATTGAAAAGATGCAGAGTGAAATTGGTTCAGCTAGATCACTTTTTTCACAAGGATTCAACACTAATTTATTCCATTTCATTTTGGAATTTATTCAAAATGCTGATGATAGTGAATATCTACAAGGTGGTATTTTAGAATTTGATTTTGATGAGAGTAGAAAGGTTTTGAAAATCAAGAGTAATGAATGTGGATTTACCTATGATAATTTATACTCTCTATCTGGTATTGCTGACTCTGATAAGGTTTCCAAAAAATTAGAAACACTAGCAATTGGAGAGAAAGGAATTGGTTTTAAAACTATTTTTTCAGTCTGTAAAAAAGTTCATTTGGTATCAAATGGATTTGATGTTTTTCTAACCTCAACAGACTTGACAAAAAAAGAAAACCAAGAATTCAACCTCTCTGATGGTACTTTATACGAAATTGAAATTGAAAAATTTGATCATTCAATATTTGACAAGTACACTCTTCTCACATTGAAGAATATCAAGACAATTATTTTCAAAGATGGATTGAATACCACCAAGTACTCATTGACATGCAAGGATAATGAATATTTACTTTCTACTACATTCAAGTCAAAAACAACCACAGAAAAATTCTATGGTTTCTCAATTGAGAATGGTATTAATATGAAGAACATATTGTGTGAAAAAAGACCAAACTTTCATAGAGCTGATCTTATGGTATTTTTTCCAGAAGAATGGAAAGTAGATAAAAGGTACAAACTACACTCATTTCTACCTGTTAAAGAAGATTACAATCTCCCACTTTTGATACAATCAGATTTTATTTTGAGTCAAAATAGAGAAGCACTGCTTGAATCTTCAGATTGGAACATTTCTATTATTGATCATATTCCTCAATTGTTAGTTAAGGCATTCAATACCATGAAAAACATTAATAATTGGAAGTATGATTTTTTCAAAGTTTTACAAGTTGAATCTAAATTACATTTCAGCAATGTACAATTTAAAACAATTAATCTATTACAAAATATTGATTGTATTCCTTTATTGGGAGGTCAAACTAAATATTTTGAAAAACCCTCCAATATTATATTAATGGGTAATTCACCTATCAATCCTTATGAAGCATTTGGAATTGAAACAACTTTTATTATTTTAAACAAGGAATGTATTGACACGAAATTTGAAAATGAAAAGCTAATGTTCAAACAATGGGATAAACTTTTTACAAAGTTTGAGAAACAACATGTTGTTAATCTAGCTAAAAACCTTCCATACAATTTGAAATTTGATAAGATTGTACAATTATACAAATTATTTAAACACTTTAATATTGGTGTCAAGTCTTTGGATTTTGAAATTGTACCAACAAGACTTCAGAAACTTGTAAAACCATCCGAAAACATTTTGGATTGCGATTTATCTAAAAGCAGTCTTTTACTTCTTGAAAAAGCTTCCAATCACTGTCTTGATACATCCTTAAAAGATTACAAACACTTAATATCTACCACTCAACATATCCAAAATCTACATGTATTATCAAACGAAGAATTGTTTGTTCTCTTTCATGAAAGAAAGACATTAGTAAGCCCAATTTGCTTGACACGAGATGGAGAGTGGCTGCACCCAAATCAATGTTATATCCATTCAAAACATACATCATATTTGGAAAAAGCCAAGTTTGTAGATTTGGAAAGTCTTGTACAAATATTATACAAGCAAAAGCATGAAATATACAGCACTGACAACATATCGAATATTTTGATAGAGTTGGGAACAAAAACAGTTCCCACTCTTTTTAGACAGCAATCATATTCGTATAATTATGAAGAAACATTAGAATTTAAGGAGCTCAGAAAACAATACCAAACTTTAGAGAGCTTGATAGAATATTTCGACAATAATTTTTCATTATTCCAGAACCAAATCAATGGTATTCACAATTTCTTGAACAAGAATATTCAAAATCTTTATGATCCCGATCTACGTAAGATTTTCAGTGATACCATTGATTATTTACCTTATATCAAGAACGCCAAGTTGAAAGAAGGATTGAGAGCAAAAAAAGAAGATCTACAAGCTTACCAAAATTTAATCATGAAAACAAAAAGTGTGTCATCTATTGTACATGGTTTAAAATCACAATTTTCCACACACATTCAAAAGTTACTCAAAACACAACCACTACTAATAACCACAAATGGTGAATTCGTTGTTTTAGATAACAATCTATTCTACTCCATGGATGCAAAGCTTCAAAAGTACAGACCTGAGTGGAAAGAAATACACAACAGCTACAAATATGGTGAGATTAACTCCATCCTCAATACCCTTTCCACAAGTCATTATGAAACTATTTTGCTTGATGAAAATCCAACAAAAAGCGACCAACAATATTTCATAGAAGCTATTATCAATACACGAAGGAGTTCTACTTCAACAGCCATTGTTTCTTTAAGTGGAATTTATGTAACTGCTAACAATGACAAGAAGATACCGCTTTCCAAAATGTATTGGGATCTTTCAATGCGAGAAGTATTCCCTATTGAAGTTAACGAATTACTTTTATATAATTACTTTCCTAATAGTACTATTATTAAGAATGTAATTCAATCAAATGATATCAAAACACTTCCAGATCTTTGTCAAATCCTCAAGACGCACTTGAACAGTATTGTAGTGAACGACATTTCAAAATTAAGCAACAAAGAACTATCCCAATTAGAAGTGCTTGTTTCTGAAGGTTTTAGTTTTTCACTTCCATCTTCCATGATTTGGGATTTATTAGAGTTGAAAGATATTCCATTCTTTAGGGAACTTGATCTATCCAGGAGGTTTGGTAAATTGTCAAATCTTGTGAAATACAAAGACAATAACAAGGAAAGAGTTGTACCTGAGGAGAAGATTAGAGAATTCCTCTTGTCTGATAATATCACCGATGATCAATTTCTTAATGTTTGGAAATATTGTAAGAGAACTTGTTACAAACAGAAAATGCTCAAGTTTATTTATGATAATGGGTTGATTGTTTGCCACAATAGAAAACACAAGAAAACAGAATTATTCAAGATACTGAGCCCTGAATTAATGGTTGATTTTCCTGCTTTGAATTTATTACAAGTCGATAATAAGTATAATGATTTTGATATTTCTCAAGAAATTCCATTCCACATTATTTGTAAAGAAATTGAAAAGCTCGAGAAGGATACTGATAATGCTGACAACAAATGTTTAGTTTTATACAAAGAGATCAATCGCCAAATCAAGAATGATAGACTTGACAGAGCCTTTTGTAATAACTACAAGATCTTTAGAAGTGATAAGGGAATACATTTTTCAGAAGCAATTTATTATTGTGATAATGAGGAAAGTTACAAACAATTACAAAATGTTGTTGATTGTTTATTTGTTAGAAATGTAACAGAATTATCACACTTTCTCCAATTTTTTAAAATTAAACCATTGAGTGATACGATTTCTTACAAGCATCCAAAGACTACACCATCCACTACAGATTGTGATAATATTTTGAAGAAATTTAAGGTAATGGTTCAAAATATCAATAAGTATCTATCTCGTCAAGGTTTCACTCCAAAAGAAATGGATCTTCAAATAGTTCAAAGCTTGTCAGTCACAGCAATTATAGGAAATGGAAATTCATGTGAAATATCCAGAGATATCCATTCAGATATTGAAAATGAAGTAATCTATGTTATGGAAACAAACTTTGAAAAAGCTATTTTCCAAGACAAACGATTCATTGATTCCTTCCTACTTTTCTATCCTCAACTCGCAGAGCATTTGCATCATGTTTTAAAGTTGTTGATTGTTTCTCATGGTACTACACAAGATGACACTATTGATGTTGTAATGTCTCTCATCCTTTCTTAATCTCATCTCTATTAATACCCTTTAGAATACCGCAGCGTTTCAGTTAATATCATTTTCAAATATATTTAATGAATGAATAAAACAGTGTTAATTAGGTATCATTTATTGAATACATTCCAGTTAAATTTTACAATTGATTTTTCAGTAAGAAACCTTAAAAGTTCAACTGAATAGTTGTAACATTGTTCAATAGTCTTGTAAATAATTAGTTTTTTAAAAATTCCAAATTATTAAATTTGAAAATCAAAATTGCTTACTTCCTGGATTCAACATCATCTGTCAAGTGTCAGTGAGTTTCTTAAAATCATCACAAAAAAATGTTGTCTTCAGCAATTGCTAGTAATGACATGGAACAATATCTATCCATTAGTTTACCAACTAATGTTCAAAAGAATTCATCATCATCATTATTAACTTCATCAAAGAAAGATCAATACATACAAAATCAATTAAAACAACGTCGTTCTAATTTTATAGAAAATCATAAATTTAAAATTGCCATTGGTACTTGGAATGTTAATAGTAAATTACCAAATATTTTCGGAAAAAAGAAACAAGTAACAACAACAACCACTCCAAATACTCCCAATAATTTATCATCATCATCATCAACTCCTCCTCAACCATCTGGAGGTAGCAGTAGCAGTAGTAAAAGAAATTTACTTTCCACACTGAGTAGATCAAGTACAGATGATTTAACAGAATCACTAATTGATCAAGCAACAATTTCAGCAAGTCAAATGATTCAACCAATTTTAACATCCAATTTAACAGATTTAGAACAAGATAAAATATTACATATTGATCCAATTGATGAATGGTTACATTTAAATGAACAACCTGATATTATTGCAATTGGATTACAAGAAATTGACATGACAGCAGAAGCAATGTTAAAAAAAGAAACTCAATCAAAATTAGAATGGATTCAAGTATTAGAATCTGAATTACAATGTTCATCTAAATCTAAATATATTAGATTAGCAGATAAGCAACTTGTTGGAATGTTTTGTTGTCTCTTTATTAATGAAAAATTTCATTCACAAGTGAGAGATGTTCAAGCTGTTTCATTGGCTTTGGGTGCAATGGGTGTGATGGGTAATAAGGGTGCTGTTGGTATACGTTTAAAAGTTGCAGAGACAACAATGTGTTTTGTAACAACTCACTTGGCTCCTCATCAAGGTGCCATTCAAAAGAGAAATCAAAATTTTATGGACATTTTCACTCAATTGGAATTTGCTAAAATTGAAAATGAAAATAATTCATCAACTTTAACTATTAATTTAAATTCACCAACTACTGCTACCAATAATTCCAACACATCTAACAATTCTAGCAATAATAGTAGTGGTAATTTATTATCAGGTAATAGTAATAATAATGAAATATCATCACCACTTCAAGGATTGAATCAATCAATTATGGGACAATCCATGTTACCTGATCAACATGATTACTTTTTCTGGTTTGGAGATTTAAATTATCGTATTGATAATTTAGAAAGAAATCAAGTGGAAGAATATGTTGTTCAAGAACAATATAAATCACTATTAGAATATGATCAATTGACAGTTGAAAAGATGAGTGGACGTGTTTTTATGGGATTTAAAGAAGGTAGAATTACATTTCCACCAACCTATAAATATGATCCAGGTACTTTAACATTTGATACATCTGAAAAGAGACGTATTCCTTCATATACTGATAGAATTTTATGGAAGGGAGTTAAAAGAGATTCAGTTAAACAATTATGTTATCAAACTCATTTAAATTTATTAATGAGTGATCATTTACCTGTTAGTTCTATATTTGAAACTGATGTTCAAATTGAAGTTGAACATAAATTTAGACAAACAAGAGAATCAATTGCAAGAGAATATGAACAATTATTTCCAAAAACACCACAAATTTCAACAAATCAATTTATTAACAGTTTACCATCCAATGAACCAACTATACAATTATCTGCTAATGAAATTCATTTTGAAAATGCTAAATTTGGTGTTCCACAATCAGTTACTTTACTTGTTAAGAATGTTGGTTCTGTTGTTTCTGAATTTTTCTTTACAAAGAAAGGTTTAGATGAGAAAATTTGTCAAGATTGGTTGACCATTTCATCCATTCGTAGATTATTAATACCAGGTGAAACATTGGAAATTGAATTTATTTGTTGTTTCAATGCTAATAGTGCTGCACAATTTAATTTAATGGATACTCAAAAACCTTTAATATTTGAAGATAATCTTTTAATTCATGTTGATAATGGAAAAGATCATCCAATCAGAGTTTATGGAAATTATTTAAAATCTTGTTTTGGAAATTCACTTGATAATCTAGTTGAATGTTTCACTAGTGTCAGAGATCCAAAATGTAAAACTGTACAATATTATGATGAGAATGACAATCTCATTGAAAGATTATTCATTCCTAAAGAATTATTCTTCCTCTGTGATCACATTGTAAAATATGGAATTAGAGAAGAGGGTCTATTCCAAGTTCAAGGAGTAACAGATCAAATTAGAACTTGTAGAGAATTACTTGACAATGGAATGTCACTTTCTAAACATTTCACATCAGGTTCAATTCACTCTGTTTGTAGTTGTCTGATTCAATTTTTTGAAAGTCTAGTAGACCCAATTATTCCACCAAAATTATACAGAGTTTTAATGGAACAATGGTTTAATCCAGATAGTTGTAGAGAATTAATAGAGAATAACCTATCACCAACTCATTACAATGTTTGGCATTATGTAATGAATTTCTTACGTGAAGTTTTAATGAACAGTGATGCTAATGGTTTGAGTCCAGATTCGTTAGCTCAAGGTTTTGCTGATGTTCTGTTACGTTCTCCAAAACACATGTCAATGGAAATGAAAAAGAAACAACTCAAAGGAAAAATTCAAATCATCAAACACTTCTTTACAAAGGAGTATAATCAATCAATGGTTGCTAAAGAAGAAGAAACTATTTTCAAATAGAATAATTGAAATTTCTTTAATAAATTATTTACCACAAACCAAACCAACCCTTCTTCTTTGGTTCTTCTGTTGTTGCTGGTTGTTCCTTTGGTTTTTCAGTCTTTGATAATTCTTCAATTTGTTCATCAATATATTCTGTTTGGTATTCAGATACCAAACCACTGGCAATATCGAAGAAAACTGGTTTACCTGGAATAAGTTTGTACTTTGGTGGTAATTGAACGAGATTGTAAGAATTCAAATTATCAAGAACAACCTTGTTTGGTTTGATAAACTTGTCGAGTCTTTCTGTAATTGGCTTTTCTGTAATAGTCTTGAGTAATTCTGTATTAGTCTTACTTGCATTATTTTCATCATCACTATCATAAGCTGACAGTATAGATGATGTACCTGATTTCTTTGACAAAACTTGTTGAGCCTTTGAAATAATCTTTGCCTTTCTAATTTCATCCAAAATTCCCTTTGGATCTGGAAGACCAAAGGTATTCTTAACTTCTTTCAATAAATTTTCGCTCTTTTCTAATAAAAGATGACATTCTGTCCATTTTTGAAGAGTAGCATAGGAGCAAGCCATATAATAACATCTGTAAGCAGTGAAACATGTCTTCTTTTCGTTCAAATCCTTTTGTAATTTTGCAGAACTTTCTTGATTAATGTTAATACTTTGCAACATTTCTGTCAAGTCATTAACATTTTGTAATAAACCATCAAATAATCTGATAGTATCCATTGGTGATGCCTTTTGCTTCTTTTCAACCTTTTGAACTTGTTGTTGAATGGTATCCAATTTATCAAGTAAAGATTGAAGCATGAGTACATTTCTTTCAATAGTCTTTGTGCCTAAAACATAACTGACATAGCTGTGGAGGAATCTCAATTGGTTCAATTGTTCAGCTTGAGGTAAGTTGGACAAATTGGATTGTGGAGTATTCTTCTTTTGAGTATTTGGTACAGTGACAAGTTTCATTTCTTCTCTAATCATTCTCATGGTATCATTGTAAATACCAAACAATTTATCGAAAGCTCTCAACTTGCTTTCAGATGTCTTATATTCAGCTTCTTCTAAAGCACGTCCATTGTACAAGTTAATTCTAATCTTTTCATTAGGAATTGTAATAGTCATAACACCTTCCCATTCAATAGTTTGTTGTGGTAAATTCTTATTTTCAGCATCCTTAACTTGGCTTAACTTGAGTTGAAGCAAATCGATTTGTGATGAGCTTTCCAATTGTTGCAACAAAATGTCACCACCCTCAACCTTCTTCAAGTTATATTCGCACAATCTGCAATAATTGTTAATCTCAGCAACTTGTTTCTTATATTCGTCTCTAATTTGTTGTGGAATAGAGGTCAAAACTTTGTACAATTGATCATAAACAGTTTGTGATTGTTTGAATAATTTAAGAGATTCAGCCCAAGATTCCTTTTCCAAATAAAGAGTACCCAATAAATAGGCATTGTAAGCTTCAGCTTCCAAAATTGTTCTTTGGTCATCAGAATAAATGTTACAGTAATCAAGCAATAATTTAGACCATTTGACAGCCTTCTTCAATCTGTTCAATTGATGGAATTTGATACGAGAATTATCAGGATCTTGCTTTGTTTCATTCTTCAAATGTTTGGAGTGACTCCAAGCTCTTTCAGCTTGAACGAGAATCAAGTGAAGGAATCTTTCATCTCCTTGAACATGTTCAAATGCATCATTTTGTTGTTCAGTAGTATTTCCTGATTGGTTTGACAACTTTTTAATACGTTCTTCAATAGCTTCTTCAGTAATTTCTGGATTAGTATTAAGACGAGCATATAATTCAGATAAAAACTCAGCATCATATTGAATATTCTTTGCATCCTTCTTGGAAGTTGGTTTTGTTGATTCCTTCTTTTTCTTTTTAACAAAGGAAGCCAATAATTTTTCCTTCTCTTCTTGAATTTGTTTTTCAACATTTTCACGAATCAACATTCTCTTGGCTTGTTCTCTGAATTGTTTAGTTTCAACTTGTTTCTTTTCTCTGTAATGATTAACAATCTTATCAGTGAAATTTTGTTGGTTAAAGAGAGTAGAATTTTTGATGCCTTGAATAGAATCAGTTGATGTTGTTTCCGAAATTGTTGTTGTTGATTCAACAGTAGTGGCTGTAGTAGAAGCAACTCCCTTCTTTTTCTTTGGTGCTTGAGCAAATTTATATTCCTTCTTATGCTTAGCATTCAACAAAGATCTAAGTTTACGCAATCTCTTTGTACAATATCTTCTATAGTAACCATAATCCAAATGCTTTAAACCATTTTCGTTTTGTTTTTGTTTAATAACTTGAAGAATGTGAAGCTTGATGTGAATCTTAGCTGGTGGTCCTTGCACAACAACTTGTTCCTCCTCTGCTGTTGTTGATGGTGTTGTGGCAATAGATGAAGATTCAGCACTGCTCATTTTTTAATTTTAAATTTAAAATTTCATAATGAAGGCTTTTTTTGATTTTGGCATAGAATAGAGTACACGTCATGTAATAGTCAAAAGATGAAACACAATCTTTTTGATCGGTAGTGAATTAAATTTCGTACCGAATACTATGGTGTGGATTTTGTACTTCCCTTGCCATGATGGAAAAGCGAATAATGTTCGATGATGGAAGATGTTGGATTAATTTTAATAAAAGCAAGGAAGCTTGTTCTAAAAATAAAAATTAAGCATAGAAAAAAATAATCGAGGTTAATCTTTGGAGGAATTTGGATTGTATTTTTCATCATCAAAAGGACATCATCTTTATACAAAACAACAAATAATATAAACAATGGATCCACGTTTGCAAAGACTTATTATGCAACAAATGGGTGGTGGAGGAGGTATGCAAGGTGATCAACCTCTTCCCGATACAGCTGAAACAGTTACAATTAGTAGTTTGGCTCTCCTTAAAATGTTAAAACACGGTCGTGCTGGTGTTCCTATGGAAGTCATGGGTTTAATGTTGGGAGAATTTATTGATGATTATACAGTTCGTTGTATTGATGTTTTCGCCATGCCACAAAGCGGTACTGGTGTCAGTGTCGAAGCTGTTGATCCAGTCTTTCAAACTAAAATGTTGGAATTATTGAAACAAACAGGAAGACCAGAAATGGTTGTCGGATGGTATCACTCTCACCCTGGTTTTGGATGTTGGTTGAGTAGTGTCGATATTAATACACAACAGTCATTTGAATCCCTTACTAAACGATCGGTAGCTGTAGTTGTTGACCCTATTCAATCAGTGAAGGGTAAGGTTGTTATCGATGCTTTCCGTACTATTAATCCACAATTGGCCATGTTTGGTCAAGAACCACGTCAATCAACAAGTGTCCAAGGTCATTTGAATAAGCCAACTATACAAGCTTTGATTCACGGTTTGAATCGTCACTATTACTCAATGCCAATTTCTTATCGTAAGAATGAATTGGAACAAGAAATGTTATTACACGTTCACAAAAAGACTTGGACTGAAGGTTTGAAATTAGTTGATTTCCACGAACATGAAAAGGAAACTGAAAAGACAATTAAGAGTATGGTTCAATTAGCAAAGACTTATAACAAGATGGTTCAAGAAGAAGGAAAGTCCTCTAGAGAAGAATATCAATTAGCCAATGTTGGTAAATTAGACTCCAAGAGACACTTGGAAAACAGTGTTGAAACTTTGATGGGCTCTAACGTCAACCAAACTCTTGGTATGATGCTTAACACTATCATTTTCTAAATACTATCTCTTTTTAAAACTCAATAAACTGTATCATAAAATCCATTTTGTACAAACCTCACTATTTCACTTTTGATCTGTTGAATGTGGTTTAATTTTAGAAAAAAATGTCTTGGTTACAAAACAATTCCAATATTAAAATTAAAGCGCTTCTTTATGGTCATCAGGATTTTATTCGTGTTGTGAAAGTTTGTCCATTCACCAATCAAGCAATTACTGGATCAAATGATCACACAGTTCGAACATGGAACGTTAATCAAGGAGTTTGTGATAGAATTTTAATTGGTCATGATTCAACTGTTTCCTGCCTAACTGTTCTCCGAAATAATTTAATAATATCTGGAGGTGCTGATCACTCTATTAGACTATGGGATTCAAGAAATGGAGTTGGATCGGAGTGTGTTGGTAAATTACAACATGTTTCTGGAGTGAATGATTTAACATGTTGGAGTGATTTAAATGATTTTTCAAATGATTATTTAATTTACAGTGTTGGTCAAGATTCTAAATTAAATGTTTGGGATATTAGGAAACTTGGTTCTGATGATTCATCTACCAATAACCATAGTAATGTATCTAGTTATAGTTTTGATATTATGAGTGGATCATCTTTTGGAGGAAATACCAGTTCATTTGGATCTCATATAATGGATAGTACGGAACATTGTAAAATTAATTCAATTTCAACCAATTTTGGCACACCATTTTGTTGTCATGTTGGAAAAATTAAGGATAAATCTGTAATATTTGTTGGATCTACAAATGGTTCATTACAAGCACTTTCATTGAATGATGATCATTCATACACAATTGAGAAAAGATATAATAGTCACTATTCAGATATTACTTGCTTGAGTGTGGAAAATGATATTTTAGTGAGTGGAGATAATTCGAATCATGTAAAAATATTTTCAGTAGAAAATAGTGAACCAATTATTTCATTAAGTGAACACTCTGATAAGGTTACATCTTGCCAAGTTATTGGATCACATGTTTACAGTGGATCAATAGATGGAACTATTTGTCAATATTCTCTCGATGCATCAAATAAGAGTGTCAAATTATTAAGAACAATTGAAAGACTTTCAATGCAAGTATTTTCACTTTGTGTTAGTAAGGATAAATATCTTTATTGTGGAAGTGATGAGGAGGCACTGAGATGTTGGGATTTAAATTTATAATTTTGAAGGTCTATTAGAGCTTGAATTCTTTTGTAAACTTTGTAAATATTCAGCAAGAAGTTTTTGAACTCTTGGAGAACTAATTAAAGAGGCAGATAGTTGAACATCTTGCTCACGAGTGGAATTCAATTTTTCATATAAGTCTCTTCTTAAAATCTTTTTTGATTCTCTCTTTGCAAATTGGTTGACCTTATTCCATTTCTTCACATGAATAAGGGCTGACTCTTTCATTGTTTCAAATTTATCATGAACTTCATCGACGAGTCCAATGGAAAGAGCACTCGATGCTTTATGTAAGGTACCTAATTGAATATGCATTTCACATTGTCTCTTTCCAATGACATTCTCATAAGCTTGAGCAAACCACCAAGGAGCAACAAGACCTATAAAGATATGTAAATTTATAAAAATTTTAACAACTTACCAAATTGACTAATTGAATCTTAAATCAATTGAATTATTAAAAATTGACAACTTACGCTTCATTCAATCCAATTAAATAATTAGTATGAATAATTCTATAATCACAACACAATGCAAACAAGCAACCACCTGCAAAACATTGACCATTAATTACAGCACAAGTGAATAATGTACAACCATAAATCTTGAGAAAGAATTCTTGTAATTTAAACCAATAGTTGGCAATTTTATCCTTTGAATCAGTTCTAAAAGTTTTTAAATCCAACCCTGCAGAGAATATATTAGAAATTCCTGAAGTAAATACAATGGCATTCATTTGAGAATTCTTCTCCACCTCATCAATAGCACTAATCATTGCATTCATCATTTCCAAAGTGAATGAATTTACAGGTTTATGTTGTAATGTAATGAGTGCATATTTATGTTCATTGTTGTATTCCACTTTGACTAATGAAGCTGATGTGGTAGAAGCTGCTTGCTGATCATAGCCTGGAGGAGTTGATGAAGAAGGCTTTGGAGAATTAGACATTTTTTTTATTGTTCGAAAATGCAAAAGACTTTTTTATTCCATTGCTGCTTGATTTTTCCTTAGCAAGTTGATGGATGAAATTTTCCTGACAACTCCAAATCCTTGTCGACCTTGTGATTACAATGGAAGTTTTTGAGAATCTATTGTATAAGGCAGGTTTGGATTTAATTCAATGTTAACCTTATTGTGAATTTGTGTTTATGGTTGTTTGAAGGTCATCATCTCTGGTAACTGGATGATCATTACTGTCCTCTCAGTATTTGAAGACTCCGGTAATGTAGAGGCTCTATCTCACATCAAATTCTCAATATATTGAACTAGTATAAAGTGTTTCAATACAGTGTGCCTTTAAAACGCTATTGTGATTTCTAATTTCATGATTTTTCAACAGCACACTGAGTTCACATGGAGATGATGAATAATTAGAACTTACGGAGAGTCCATCATGATTTTATGCTCACTCTCCTATTCCATTGTATTGCAGCACTCTCCTCATAACTTTTGCAGGTACCAGCTGAACATTACGTGGCCTCAATAATTGAAAACAGTGCAACATTTGCAAAGTCTACTCCTTCCATCTTCAAGGTCGCTTTTCTATTTTTATTTATTACCATGACAAAATCGGTGCTTAACGTTGATTTTTCTCATCTTCATCTTTTGAAAAATGCAACAGCAACCTCCTTCATACCAACAACAAGCCTCCTCTCCTTCTTCTACTACTTCATCAAATTCTGCAAACACCACTACCACCACCCGAGAAGAGAATAATAGACAACAACAACAACAACAGCAGGCTTGTTCCTCCTCTTCTTCCATGACTACTACTACCCCAAATAATAATAGGATATCCTCTCCTTCTTCATCAATGTCATCATCCAATCTTCAACCAGAAACAACAACTTCAACCAATAATAATAACAACACTCGTTTGTGGAGATCTTCATCAAAGAGAGTTTCCTTCTTCTCATCATTAAATTCCATTGATGAATCAGGACTCTTATCAAGTATATCGGAGGAATGTGAAATGTCTCCAACACATATACAACTCTTACCATCAAACAATGTTAATAATAATAATAATAATAACAACAACACAACAAGTCAGCAGCAACAAGAAACACCAAAATCACCTAAAAACGAAAATAATCAACAAAAGCCTTTAGATAAGAAGGCGAAATCACTTCCCCAAATTGATACTACCCATACTCAACCACAAACACAACAACAAAACACGACCACCAATGATGCCACTCCACAAAATAAGTCACAAGTAGCTAAACGAGCAGTACCACCACAACAATCACCACCAATATCACCAACTGTATTATATCATAATTATTCTGATTTCGCGTATGTATTTAATTAATTTGTTTAACACTAATTGATTGAATAGTATTAAAAGTTTACCTTCGAGAAATAGAGGACACAGCACTTCTTTAAATAATTTACTTGGATACAACTTTCCTTTGGTTCAATTACCAAAGATGTCACAAAATCAATCACCCACACCAACAACACCAGTGAATCCATATCAATCAACAAGTGCTATTACAATATCACATTTAAGTATGACTCACAATAATGAAGGAAACAGTTCTGGAAGTTCTGGAAGTAGTAATTACTCTGGAGTATTTCAACCACAGATCAGTTCATCATACACTGGAAATTTCTCACCGATTAGTGCTACACAAAATAACAGTTCTTATAGTGGTGGATATAATAGAAATAGAGGACAAAGTGTTCATGCTGGTTTTCAACCACCTCCACTGAAGAGAGCACAAAGTGTTTTTCATTCAAATAGACTTCTTGCTTCATCATTTGTGAGACATAATGTGGATCCAAAATGGGATATGAGAAAGGATGACTGTTTTGGTGATGATCTCAATGAATTGGATGAGGAAAGTCCACAATTAGCGAAAAAATCACCACTTCTAAAGCAAGCATCAGTGTTTGCTGCAGCAAGTGCATCTTTTTCAATTAATGATAGAAATTCACCGAGATTATTTATAGCAAATACGAGAGACAGAGCTTTGAGTGTAGATTTGAATTCATCATTTGACAAAGTTGGAAATGTTTTGAAAGAACGAGCTAATGTAATCCAACATAAGATGAATAGAGATTTGAAAACATTTTTATGGGAATTAAAGGAAGTTGAATTTTCATGTCCAGAGTTACAACAAGTTGAGGCCATAGCAAGGGAGATTTTAGGCTCTAAAACAGTTGATGATCTTTGTAAAACAGATTTTATGAGAGAATTACAAACCATTTTACAAACTTGTGTCGGTAACTATACCAATTTGACTCATCAGAGTAACTCTCCCTCAATGCATGTGCTCTCAACTACCCCAACAACACCTGGTTCTTTAATTGCAACTGCTGGCTCAAATATAGATGTACAGGCTCTTGGAAGACAATTCGAAATTATGAAACAAGCCAAAAAGCTCATATTTATTTATAGTAGAGTTAACAGAGTTTTGGAATTGTATAAGAAGCATTTAGCTGAAGAAGAAATAAGAGAAAAAGAGAAGGAAGAAGTTAGGCAAAGACAAAGATTCAGGTCAATGGCTGTTGTTGAACCAGAATCATCTAGAGATAGATTTGACTATGACAGTTCAGAATCACAAGATAATTTAAAACCTAATCCAAAATTACCCTTCCTTAAACCTTCAACAGACGATGAGGATACCAGTTCAACGAGCGTTTCTCCAAGAAGATCGAGTGTTAGTTCTTCATCTAAACCTGAACATACTGGGGAATCTAGTGATTATGACTCACCTGCAAGCTCTCCTAGATCAACTTCTTCAGCTACTGCACACGCAACCACACCAAACAAAGATATTCCTCACACTCCTGTAACACCAACCTCAGAAAAGAAAAAATTCTCAGATTCTTTCTTTTCCAAGTTCAAAACACTATTTTCCAAGAAGGAGGATCCTAACCTTTTGTCAGTCAATACCACTGGTACTAAATCCAAGTCTACAAATAATACACCAACAGAGTTGAAGAAACAACCAAAGCCAAAGAAGGAAGAAACTGTTATTGAAATTTTATGTAGAATTTGTGAGGAATTGGTACCAAGTACTAAATTAGCAGAACACAGTGCTACTTGTGCTGTTAAACACAAGATTGAAATGCAAAATGTTAGTGCCTTTGAAAAATTGAAAAACATTCGTAGAGGTATTGAAAAATCAATCAAGAAGAAAAAATCAAGTTCACTCTACAAACTTTTCAAATTAGCCAAGAAGGCAGAGAAGAGTAACGATAGAAGTCAATTGCAAGAAGTTATTGGAGTACTTTCCACAGTAATAGAGGAACATAAGGATGATAATTTCTCTGGTAATAACTATAGAGTTTCTGTATACGCCAAAAGATTAATGGATGTTATTGAAGGAAAATGTACTGCATTACTTCATGAAGAGAAGCAAAATATTAAGAAAATGCCAAAAATTAAGATTTCTGATTTTGAGATCATTAAACCAATTTCAAGAGGTGCTTATGGTAGGGTTTACTTGGCAAGAAAGAAGTCAACTAAAGACATTTATGCTATTAAGGTAATCAAGAAACAATATCTCTATAATCACAAGAACGTTGGTAAAACTCTCACAAATGAGCCAGATCTATTGGCTGAAAGAACTATCATGAAAGTACTAATGGAAAATAATGAGCAATCTCCATTTATTGTTAATTTTTACTACTCCTTTGCTGGTAAAAGATATCTCTATATTGTTATGGAATATTGTCCAGGTGGTAGTTTAGATTGTTTGTTAGCAGAAAAGTTAGAAAATGGAGAAGCATTTGATATAGATGTAGTTAGACATATTGCCGCCGAAAGTATTTTAGCTTTATCTGATTTACATCACAATAAGATTGTACACAGAGATTTGAAACCAGATAACATGCTTATTGATAAGTGTGGTCACTTGAAATTAACAGACTTTGGTTTGAGTGAAATTGGTGTTCTTGACAGAGAAGATGAACAAACATTGAGCAAACAATCAATGGATGCTCTTGCAAGACAAGATGAAATAGAAGAATCTGAAATTCAAGTTAGAGGTACTCCTGACTATTTGGCTCCTGAACTTTTATTGGGTATGCCACATACAGAAGCTGTCGATTATTGGAGTTTGGGATGTATTGTATTTGAGCTATTGTTTGGTTGTCCACCATTTAATGATGATACTCCTGAATATATTTTTGATAATATTCTATCAAGAAGAATTAATTGGGTTGATGAAAGACTCTTACCTCCAGAGATTGTAGCTAGTGGAGTGTTGAATTTTGTAGATAGACTCTTAGATCCAAATCCAGAAACTCGTCTAAATGAAGTAACAGCAAAGGAACACCCATTTATGAGTGGAGTGGATTGGGATAAAGTATTGAAAGAACCTGTAGGTGTGTTACCTGGAGTTAAAGATATGACTGATACCTCAAAATTCAAGCCAAGAGAGGAAGCATTCCCTATGCACTTTAGAGAATCAATGGAAAACAAGTGCCTTTCTGATATTGATGATTCTAGTGAATGTTTGACAGAACAAACTGATCTTGGTATTTCTGTTGGCAGAACTCCACCACTTTCATCCTCTCATAGTATGAGAGATTTGAGAGCAGCTGGAAGATCACCTCCCTACCAAAGAAGTATGAGCTTCCATTCCACATCGACTGGAACACCTCCAGCAATAGGTTCTATGAATCAAACAGATTCTTCATTGGCAAGTCCAAGTAATCATTTATTGGGATCATCTGTTTTGGATTCATTCTCATTCCCAGAGCATGTTAATACATCAGCTCTACAACGTCTTAATGAGGAAATGATCAGACAATCCCATGCAGTACCGATTTTACCAAACTATTCAGAACCACAAGATGGTATTGCAGCAAGTAATACTAGTAGTAATAATTCTAACACAAGTTTAGCTTTTTAATAAATTAAAATTCTCCTAGTTCTTTCAATAAATCTTGCTTCTTCTTTTCTAACAGTGCTTGTTCAATAACATCCTGTGTTGGTAGTTGTACATTATATACAAAGGTTTTCTTTTCTTCTTCATTTAACACTCCAAATGATTTTGCTTCCATAGTTTGTCTTGTGACATTTTGAATTCCACCACCTCCCATCTTTTTCTTTTTAATTTCCACAGCTTTTAAATAACGTTGATAAAACTCCTTTCTAAGCTCCTCTTCTGCTTTTTCTTCTGCAGCAAGCAAATCAGGTTCATCCTCATCTTCATTGTATCCATAATAAAAAGAATCAATTCCTTTGTAAAGTTCATTAAATTTGTTTTTCTGTTGTTTTTCTGATGATTTTTGTTTTTCAAATAATAATTCTTTTATACCAGGTAGTTCTCGCGCCGCTCCAAAATATTTATATCCTTCACCAATTTCTATTATTTGTCCATTATCATCATATAATTTAATATCTTGTTTACTATAATCAATTCCTCCTAATTCAATAATTCTTTTTTCCCAATCGGCTTTTTCTTGTATTAATCTATTAATTTCATCGTTTAAATCTCGGATACGATGTTCACCTAGAGAAGCATTTTGTATGATCGTCACCTTTTCAGCAATTTCCTTCAACACATTTCTTCGCCAATGTTCACTAGCGTTTAAAGTTTTAGAAAATGATGGATGAGGAGGCCTTTTCTTCTCTGTGAATTCGTTACCAATCCTAAAATTGGTCCAACGATTCAGCATGGATTGGGCCTTTTCTTGATTTCTGGCCATTTTTTTGTATTTTTAATTTTTTTAATTTAATAAATTAAAATATTTAAATATTTGAAGGTGAAGCAAAATAAGAATTGAAATACATTGAATGAGATAATTTAATTTTCCAAATCAAATAGTTGAGCAAGAAAATCCTGTGCATTTTCCAATACTTTTGATAGTGGAAGTAAAATTGGAGTTTCAATTTGGTGACCTTCTGGATTGGTGATTGACTGAATGAATTCCTCTTCACACAAATTAATTGAATTATCTTCTTCTTTTCCATGATTAACATATGGAATTGTAAAATAGGGAAAATTATAATAATGTCCAAAACACAAGTATTTCTCAGTGTCAATAAAAATCATAACAACTTCCTTTGCAAAATCTTTTGCTCTCGTGTAATAGCATTTGATTCCACATGTTCTATATTCATAGGTTACTGATTGTATTATCTGATCTGAATCTATATCAGTTTCCATTTCAACTTTGAAGATTGAAACTGAAAATTCATCTTGTTTTGATACAACTTGTTTTAGAATGTGTTGTGCATAATCAATATCAATCTGTTCAGGACTTGGTGCAAATATTGTCATATCTTTAATATTATCATAAAAAGATATTGGAACTGGATAATCATGTTTGAAATAATTGGTCCAATTGACTTTTGTCAACCAAGCAAAACATCTCTCACTACAAACATGTTCATTCAATTTAATCGATAGATTTGGAGTGGAAGGCTGATTATGTTCTGCTACTGAAAAACTTTCATCATTACTTTCCGATTTGGTAATTATTATCAAATCGGAAGGAAATATTTGATTTAATAAGTTGACAATTTTTCTTTTCTTTGGTTCGGAATTTTCTTCTACTTGCCAATTATTATCTTTTCTCTTCTTGTAGGATTCCTTTGGTGGCATCTTACGTGCTGTTTGTTTAGTACGGGCCATGTTGTGATTAGTTTTTTTTGTTGTTCAAAATTTACTAATTATTTTTTGAACTGGAAGTTGTAATATCTGAGAAAATGAGTTTTAGAATTGTTTGAATTGGCAGTTGGCAAGCAAGACACCAAGCCAGATATTGGTTGGTTACAAAGACAATAATCAAGCATTCCAACTCTCTTCTGCAAAGTTGAGAAATGAATGAAAACTAAATATGACAACTTATTAATATCCTTAATATTTTGTTCATTCGTTCTCAATACTTGGAAGTAGACTAAAGGAAGAAATTGGACATACTCAATCTCTAAAAAATTCCTTCTCATTTTCGACTGTTTTAACAACAAAAAAAAAATTTCTAAATTATGACAAACCTATATGGCACTTTAAATTCCTCAATAATTACTGAAGTATCTGTAGATCACCATCTACGGCAATTTAGTCAATCACGAGTCTGAATAACATTAAAATTGTAATAATTGAAAATTTTAAAAAAACAAACAAAATGCAATTAACAAACTTGGTGTAAATGTTTGTTTTAGTAACGATACTATAAATTCTAAAGCATCGAATCATTGCGCGTTTGCTTAATCGAAGAACGCTGCCAATCATTACAATGCCCTTTATTGAAGTACGAAGAGCAGTGTAAAGTCAGTAACACAACTTGTGTTGGCCAGTGTGATGAATGAATGGCTCCACTCAAAGGATTGAATAGCATGAACTACATGTGTGTTTGGTTGCTTTCAAAATTGGTGAAAAAGTTAATTAACGAAAATAACAAAAAAAACTCCAACAGTCGCTACTGTTATCCCTTGATTGAATCATCACCAAGTTTAGAGACTGTTAGGATAACCTTGTTGTTATCAATGCTAAATATCCTTTCATATATTAAACATATAATAGCAAATTAAAGATGCATCCTAGTGAAGAAGATGAACCATTTCCGAGTCTGTTACAAGAAGACTCATCAATACAAATACACCAAGACACAATGCAAAATGAAGTCTTTGGAAGAACCAATCGATGATGACCAAATCATACTCTCCCCAACAACCAATGACGATGGAATGAGACAACGTAAATTGTTGCCTGATTCTTCATTTTCTGGAAATAGTGAGGTCAATGCAGAGAATGCTCATCCCGTGGTTGTGGAACGTGCCTCTAATAAGATTGATACTACTAAGAATTATCAAAATTACTTGTTTGGATTTAAACCATGGAAGGGAATGTTAGGTGAAAGAAAATTTGAGGAAAGAAGTGATAAAGTTAAACAGTTGCATATGTGGAATGACAGGAGTTTATCTAGTTTTGAGAAAAAGAGCTTTTTGAGTATTGGAAATGTACTCTATGTGATATTTATTGGTTGGTGGATGTTTTTAACATATTTAATGGTTGGAGTTTTGTCTTGTTTAGCAATTTTTACAATTCCATATGGTTTGAAATGTTTCAAATTTTCCTTTTATTATTTATATCCATTTGGTAAATATGTTGAACGTGTGAAGGTTGTAAAAACTAGTAGAAGGACTGAGTCAAGTCCTCTTTTGAATGCTGAACAAGTTCCAATTGCAGAAAATGTAGACTATTACAATGATGACTCCAAATTGAAATGGTATCAAAGATATACTGTCCTAGATGTCATTTCCTATCTTATTTGGTTATTGATTGCTCCAATACTTTTATTTTCTCACTTGATGGTTTCATTAATGAGTTGGTTTTCAATTGTTGGTATTCCAACTAGTAAGATTCATTTTGAAGGTATCAAATTTTTGTACAGACATTTCTTAAGTTTAAATGTCAGTAATGAATATCCACCTAAGGTTACTTCTGATGTCATATTATGTACAATTCAAGCCACTAATATTTATTACTACAAACACAATGTTTTTGGACTCAATGTCATTTTATTTAACATGTTACCTTTCAGTTTAGTTTCTATAGTATTGGGTTATGCATTTGGTGAAGAATTTGTAACAAAATATTCCGTCTTGATATTCCCATTCTGTTTGATTTCAACAGTTCCATTATCATATTTGATTGGTAAGGCTATTGCTGCCATTTCAGCCCAAACTAATTTCCTTATTGGTGCTCTTTTGAACTCGATATGTGGAAGTATTATTGAAATGATTTTATATATTTTAGCCTTATCTAAGAATTTACATGATGTAGTTGTCAGTGCCATAACTGGAGCTTTATTACTTACTATCTTATTAGTGCCTGGTCTAGCCATGGTCCTAGGAGGTCTCAAGTTTAAGCAACAATTCTTTAACAAACAAGCTGCTAGTGTTTCAAGTGCTCTATTATTGGTGAGTGTAGTTGCAGCATTGTTACCTTCATTATTCTATCAATTGTATTCAGGTCATTATGAATTGAAATGTGGTGTCTGTGTGAATGCAGCAATTAATGTCAATGAAACTCAAGGATTGAAATTACCAATTGTTGGTAATATAAACGGATCCAATGTGAATACTACACAAGGATATGGATTAGTTTGTGATAGTTGTGTATATGTACAAAAGGATATGTTGACAGATCCAGTCTATACAAGACAAGCTTTACCATTAGCTTATACAGTTTCTGCTATCTTACCTATTGCCTATCTGATTGGATTGATTTTCTCCTTAAAAACCCATCGTTATTTGATTGAAAGACCACCAGTTCCTGAGAATAAGGAAGATCATGTCAATCACCAAGAAGAGGAAGAAATTGGTGCTGTATGGCCAATTTGGTTGTGTGTTGGTATTTTAGTGTTATGTACAATTGTTTATTCCCTAGTGGCTGAAGTAATGACAGCCTCATTAGAACCAGCATTTGATATGATTGGTGTTAATCCAATGTTTGCTGGCTTAACTTTTTTAAGTATTGTGCCAAGTTGTGCTGAATTTGTAAATGCCATTCAATTTGCTTTACAAAATAATATTTCACTTGCTTTGGAAATTGGTAACTCTGCCTCAATCCAAATTGCACTAATTCAAATGCCAGTACTTGTATTGGTGAGTGCTTTATTATTCAGTGGTGATGAGTTGAGAATTTTCAATTTAATGTTCCCTCAAATTAATTTGATTGCAATTTTCTTTGGTGTTTTGGTTTTGAACTTTGTTTGTTTGGATGGTAAAACAAATTACTTCCAAGGTTCTGCATTGGTTATTGTTTACATTTTAATTGTTGTTACCTTCTTCTTTGCCTATTTCTAATAAAATTAATAAGAAAGGTTGATTCTTTTGCTGCAATTAGCTCTATAAATTATCTTAAATCTGCAATTCCTTTGAATTCATTTGAAGGAAGTCACGTGGAATGTTGTTAGTAGGTGAACATTCTTAATAAATTCTCTTCCACTCAATCATCAATTGTTAGAGATAAATATCGGAGTAGTGTCAAAGAACAAATAACAACTCTCGCCTCCATGAGACAATACATGGCTTGTGCAAATCTCTTTTGATATCCTGTTATGCTAGGAAGAAGGCTTCTGTGGTGAAAAGGTGAAAAGAAGAACAAAAATTAATAAAAAAATGTCTACATCTCAACAAGAAGTTGTTTCCGAGACTGTTTTTGAAGTTCCTCAACCAGCTAAAAAGACCAAGTCTCAATCATATGATAGCGATGAACAATTAAAAGCTAAAGGATTTCCACTTGAAACTAAATGGACTTTTTGGTATGCTAATACTAAAGTAGATAAAGAAGGACATCATCATCAAGAACATCATGAAAAGGAAAAGGATGGAAGTCAATACCGTGATTGTTTGACTAAACTTGCCACCGTTTCATCAATTGATGAATTCTGCAAAGTTTATTCTTACCTCCAAAAGCCAAGCAAATTGCCAAAGAATAGTAATATTTCATTGTTCAGACATGAAGTAGTACCAATGTGGGAATCGTATGTATTTAATTATATTTAATTATTAATTTTAAATAGTTTCCCTCAAGGTTTGTATACATTTCCGCATTACGTTTATTAAAAATTTAATAATAATAATTTAATAATAATTAGGTGGATGTTGGATGGTCAAAATTAGAAAGGGTGAAAATGGTCAAACATCAACTTTCTGTGATAGATTGTGGGAACAACTCGTTTTCTCTACTATTTGTGAACAATTTGGTATGTATTGTTACTCATATTCATTTTAATTCATCACCCTTCCTTAAATAGAAACTGGTAATGTTGTTGGTTGTGTTTTGAGTTTGAGAACTAAGGAAGACGTTTTACAAGTCTGGAACAAGAATTCAAACAATCATGCTGATAGAATTCACATTTGTGACCGTTTCAAGTGGATTTTGCACTTTGGAGAAGGTGTTATTGTTCAATATAAGCACAATAAGCTTTCCATCAAGGATGGTAGTACTTTCCGTAATGCTCGTACTTTCTTGGTTCATAATTCTGAAACATCAAATACCTTCAACTCAATTGATGATGAAGCTGAAAAGACACCAACCACAACTAATTAAAGAATTTTAACATTTTAATTTTTTTGCTTTTTTGTAGATGGTTCGAATGTTTCCTCTTCACCATCTTCATCAAATTCTCCTTCTTGGTCTGAAAATTCTACATCTTCATCAACAACTTCAACAGTCTTGAACTGAATTGGTTCTTGAACAACCTTTGATGTATCAATTTCCTTTCTCTTCTTTGATGGCATACTCTTCAAAGTTTCAACATTGGATGAATTTTCGATTGGCGTTAAGGCATTCATTTGATTCAATGCATGTTCTAAAATGAAACTCTTTTGTTCTAAATAAGTTATTCTCTTTAAGTGTCTCTGACTGTACAATGACAAAGCATCTACTGATTTTTCATAGGCAATATCAATGAAAGATGGTTCTACAAGGTCAAACATTATCTTTAAAACAAGTTGAGCAATTTGACAAAACTTTGAGTTAGAGTTCCAATCAATACAGTATTGGAATAGGTGCATAAGGTGAATCTTTGGTAATTCCATAATCAAACCTTCCAAGACAGTCTTCTCATCAGTCTTGACAAGTTTTTCAATGGTTGTATAGGTGAGCTTTGGTCTATCCAATTCAATGGCTTTTCTAAGGACATCCTTCATTTTACCTTGTCTTTCCAAATTCCTCAATTCTTGATCTTGAATAACTGACAAATTTACATCTTCTCTTTGTTCTTCCTTAATTTCTTCAGTGTTATCATGCCAAATATTAATTCTGGAATCTTCACCACCAGTAATCAATTGATTGGTCTTTTGATCTACAGAAACAGCCCAAATTCTGTCAGTGTGAGCATCACCAAAAACTTTAATGCATTCACCAGTCTTAATAACCCACAATCTTACAACACCATTGGCATCTGCAGAAACCAATTGAGCACCATTATTCAAGAATTGCATCTTGAGAATTGATTGATCATGACCTTCCAAAACTTTAACACAGTTACCAGTCTTTAAAGACCAAATTCTAATCATGTTATCACTGCAACCAGTAGCAATAACTTTATCAACAGGTGAGAACTTGACACACCACACTGCTTTCTTGTGAGGGAATTCAAAGAGAACCTTAGACAAATCAGAAGTATCAAAAACTTTAGCAGTCTTATCAGCACTAGCAGTGGCAATCATTGAATCATCAGGTGAAACTGAAATTTCACTGACAGTCTTTTTGTGGCTTTCAGAGTTTGTACCTAACAAGCTACAATCAGATAATTTCCACTTTTTAAGAACACCATCATCTGATGCAGAGTAAATGAAGAAATCTTCTTCCTTAGAATCTTTGAGCTTTCGTTTGTGGTTAGAAACACAGACAGCAGTAACACCGGTCAAGTGGCTTGTACCAACAGAAACAGGGGTGACATGTTCTTCTCCTTGTGTATTTCCGTATTTAGAGACATCCCAAACTCTAATAGATTTATCCTTAGAACCAGTGACCAAATAACGTTGATCCTTATCCTTTGAGCGATCAAGAGACAAGATCATTTCAGAGTGTCCAGAAACTTCAATTGGATCTTGATTGGCATCACTCAAATTCAACAAGGTAACATTCTCAGAATTTGTAGCGACGGCCAACATATTTCTAGATGAGAACAATGACATATCCAAGACATCATCGTTGAATCCCAATCTTTGACCAACTTTTTCAAACAAAACTCCTTTAGAGGCAACTTCTGTAACATCTTCCTTCTTTGAAAGTTTCTTCTTGAGTTTAGCTTTAGCAGATTCATCACCATTTGCTTCATTCTCCTTTCTCTTGAAAATTGCAAAATTTGAATCAATGGTAATAGCAAAAATTTCAGAATCAGATAATTTGAATAATTGCGAAAGACCAACAAGTGATTTTTCAGGAATATATTCAATTTTAACAGCATCATCGTCATCATCTTCGTCCTTCTTCTTCTTTTTATCAGAAACTTGTGGTTTCTTAACTGTTATCCTCACCAAATTATTCTTTTTCTTAACAGGAGTACTGGCAATAAGAGTAAATGAATCATTTTCAGTAGAAGTTATTTCAATCATACTTGAGAAATAATGTTTGATAGGAATTGTGTTAGATAAATTGAATGTAGAATTCTTTTCATTCCATTTAAATTGATATAAAGAACCATGTCCAGCAGTCATTAAATAAATTGGTTTAGTATTATCTTCAGTATCATGTTCCTTCAATAAAGTAACATCTCTAATATCATTTCTATTATCATGAATACTTGCAATAATTTTATATGGACGACTTTCATCTTCTTCATTTCCTATTTGCATTACTTTAGCTCCATCCAAACCACTTGATGCTAACCATAAATTATCAATCCATTTCATTAAATGTATTTGTCCTTGATGATGTTTCTTAATTGTAAATAATAATTTAAGTAAAGCAGGTTGTCCTGTTGATTCATCTTGAGTTGTAGGAGTATAATAAATATCAATACTACCATCACCATGAGCCATAGCTAAAAAGGCATCATCAGGAGAGTAGGCTAATTGAATAACAGGTGAAGAAACACCAACTCGGAAAGTTTTCAAAGCCTTTTGTTGCTTCATACTATAAATTGTAACTTGTCCACTCTTACAACTAACAGCAAGGAATCTATCATCCGAACTTAATGAAAGACAAGTAACATTTGAATCGGCTTCGATAGTATATAATCTTTCTCCTGTTGCATATTCAACTATATTAATTTTACTATCAGCACAACAAATATAGAATTGTTGTGATACATTAGAAAAAGCTACACGTTGTATATTATCTCCAATATCATTCTTATATACTAGCGAAATGAAAGGAGAAATGTGAAAACTCTTTATCAAGTGCTGAGATTTATTCAACAATTTTGTGTTTTGTTGGAAATTTTTAGATGATGAATTGTTGCTCATTTTTTTTGAATCAATAAAAATTTGGTTCAATTATTATTGTCATCATCTCATCAACAGAAACCATCAGAGAATAATTATTTAGCTATTTATTAATTAATAATAGTGAATGTTTAGATTGTGTATTGTTTGTTAGGGGCGGAAGAGTATTTTCTTCAAGAATAAGAGCTCATTTAGACAACCTTTGATAAAAACAAAGAGGAGTTTGAGTGAGATATTTAATGAAATAGAAGTTACAACAGAATATATGATTTTCTATAGGTTGCTTTCATTGTAATAAATAAAACAAAGAGTGAAGAACCAATTCAACCTACTTACAAATACTGAGAAAAGTAAGGCAACAATTTATGATTCTTTACAATGAATCTAAATTAAGAAGATTAAAAATAAAAAAATGTCTAAACCAGCAGTTAGAGCCTTTCAAAAATCAATTATTGATCGGAATGAGTGGGAAGATAAGTTGGCGCAAATTAAAATCAATAGAAGGTAATTTTAATGATTTATTTTAAGAGTGTGATCAATATAATTTCAGTGATTTGGATTCTCTTGTTTTGAATTATTTGGTTGTGGAGGGTTATAAAGAGGCTGCTCAAGTTTTTCAACAAGAATCAGGCTTGAAGAATGATGGTAGGTATAATTGACAATGAAAGCATAATAATGCAATACTTTGTTAACAAAGATACAAATGAAACTAATACAAATGGAATTGGAGAACGAGTAACAATTAGGAAGAAGGTTATTGAGGGAGATATTATCGGAGCAATTGGAGAAGTCAATATGCTGAACCCACAAATTCTCGATTCATCTCCAGAGTTATTCTTCAAACTGAAACAACAACAATTGATTGAATTAATAAGGAGTGGAAAAATAGATGATGCATTAAGGTAAGAATATCATTGTAATGGATTGTAACAATTTGTAAACAAGATTCGCCCAGGAAGAATTAGTACCTCTTGTAGAGGATAATTCAGAGTTTTTACAGGAGGTCGAAAAAGTAATGAGCTTATTGGCATTTGAGGATCAAAAGTCTTGCCCATATTCGAGCCTTTTAGGAAATGGTCAAAGGCAGAAAACAGCAAGTGAATTGAATTCAGCAATATTGAAAAGTCAACAGTTGGAAGCAACACCAAAACTTCAACTTCTTTTAAAGATTTTAATGTTTTCTCAAAAGAGACTCCAAGAAAAAGTTGATTTCCCTGCAATTCTTGATGTTATGAATTGCCACTTAGTGAGAGAGGAAAATGATCAAATGGATTTATCCAGAGATAGTGAACTTTCTGATGATGAAGCAGATTAATTATTTGTACACATTGTAAATATTGTAAATTAAAAAGGTTTATTTATTGACAACGGATGTTGTAGGTCTTGTTGAAGGGTAGTATTCTCGTGAAGGGGGTTTAACATGATATTGTGGAGGTAATTGTTGTTGAGTTGCTGGTTTAACCAATTGTTTTTCATTGTAATACTTTACATCTTGATCGTCAAGAGTTCTCGAATAAATTCTTTTCTTTTCTCGCTGGCAAATGGTTGGGTCATTTGTAAATAGTATGGATTGAGCAAAATCTTTCTTAAGGTCAATATTAAGATCGTTAATTGCAGGGGCCATTCTTAAAAATCCCTTATAAATAATTACATCGTCCGCATAAACAATTAACTCTTCTACACCTCTGCTGGGAGTTTTACTATAATTCCAAATCTTAATAAAAGACACAGCAATAGGTTCCTCAAATGTAATGTACAAATAATTATCTTGACCAGGTTCTATTAAAGTCAACCACATATGGCTATCATTCCAAGTGTTATTGACACCGTCAAGAAGTTTGTCAGGAGTTCTGACATCATCTTTCGAGACACTGTATGGGCTTGCTTGTATATTGGCAACTGTGAGAGGAATTCTCTCGTGTCTGGCATCAAATAGCTCGATTCCATTTAATCCAACATAGTAAGGATCGCCAAGAGAAGAAATCAAATGGAACTTGAAAGTATAGGCACATGGAAGCAATGCCGTTTGGTAGTCTTGACGAGGCGGTTGGAGATTTTGCATTGATTGTGCCTTGAGGATAGCTTGCTGAATACCTTCATTTAGTAAAGAGCTGTTTCTGAGGGAGCTACCTCTAGCCGAGTTTTCTTTTGATTTTGACGTCATATTTTCTAAAGAGTTTCTGTTAGAGGTTGTTCCAGTTTCTGAGAACAAAATAGTATGACCAAAATCAAAGTTAGTGTTACCAGGAGCTTTTTTAAGGATAAAACAGCTCTCTTCATTGTCTAGCAATGGTTTGTCATCTAATAAGATTGAAATTTTCTTAACTCCTCTAAAAGTATCTTCAAGGTTCTTATTATAATTGAAAAATCTGAGTCCAGAAATTTCAGTTTCCTTTCTTAAATCGATTTCTATATAAGGACGTTCTTTAAATAAAGTAACTGGTACCATCCACATGTGCCTGTCATCAGTGGTAACGTTGAGACCATCCACTAATTTATCCAAGGTTCTGTAGTCTCCAGAGTGGCCAGCGACTTCGTTCATATCTCTAGGCTTTGCGCTCAACTGCTCAGTTGTTACCTTAATAAGTTTTTCATCCTTCCCAAGAACCTCAATACCGGTTAGCCCTATGTAGAACAGATCACCCCATGAGCTTTCTAAAATAATTCTTATTTTTTGACCTCTTACAAGACCATTATTGTTATTGAAATGTTGCTCTTTAGGCGGAAGGGCGCTAGTGAGTGGTCTCTCGGATGGATCCATATTAGAAAAATGTTCAATAGGATTAAAGCTTGTATCCATTACATCCTTACTGGCTGTTTTTGGTCTTTCACAATTATTGATAACTTCAGGTTCTGTTGGAAGGTTGGCATAAACTTCTTGATCATATCTATCGATTCTTTCAAGAATCTCAGTTTCAGTGGTGAAGAGAATACTCTCTGAACCAGCTTCAACTGATGACAAATAGCCTGGGGAAGGTTTAATTTCGCCTTTGAAAATAGGCTTATCATCCAGGAAAATTTCTAAATATCTTGCACCTCTATAAGAGTGGATTCTTGATTTGTTGTAATTCCAAAATCTGATCATAGATATTGTAGTCCTTTCATTTAAGGTAACATATATAAAGTGGTCTCCTCCTGGAGTAAATGGTGTCAACCACTGGTGGAAATCATCACATGTCATGTTCACACCATCGAAAACCTTATCAATTGTTCTTGGATCGTTTGAAATATTTGGCAGGCTATTAATATCAGAAGGATTTGCCCTCACTTGCGCGAAAACATCATTTAGAACTAGCAAGTTACCATTCTTATCGAAAATTTCTATACCTGACAATCCAAGATAGTGGGGATCTCCCCAACTTTCCTTAATATTGATTACAAGTTTTGTACCAGATGGATAAATTGGAATGAAGAAGTCCATGTCTTCTTCTTCCTCTATAATGTCAACTTCAGGTTGTTGTTGTTTTTCTTTTGAAAGAGCTAAAGCAGGGAGCGATATTAAATCTTCATCCTTAGTAATAAGTTTTTGACTGCTTTTCCTTCTTTCAATCTTCCAAACTGGAGGTTTGATTTCTGTAGGTTCATTAGAAGAGCTTGATTCTTCATCTCTTGGCTTAAGACGACCCAAATGAGAATATTTGAATTTCATTAAGGAGTCAAAAGTTTCGTTTGTAATAGAAGATTTGTCAGTGTAACCAGATTGATTATATATTACTTGAGGTCTCTTTGGTCTGCTCTTGGATCTCGAAGGTTGCTTTCTTCCAGATTCAATAGTAACGATAGGTAATGAATCAACACTTTTTTCAGTTTGAAGAGTTGGCTTTTGTTCGATACTGCTTCTTGATCTAGATGTTTTTAAAACTTCTTTTGGAGATTCTTTTGGAGGCTCTTCTTTCTTTTCTAGATCAATATCAGCAACCTTTCTTGGTTTTTCCTGGGTTGGCTCTTTCTCCAGTTCTCTAAACCACACAGGTAACTTCTCTGGGTTCGTGTTCTTAAGGGCATCAGTAAGAACATTTCCTTTTGGTGTTTTCTGATTTTTTGTCAATGAAAGCCATATTGGATCCTTTTGTTCTTTAGGGCCATCTGGAACAAGATGTAATGGCTTTTGAGGCTCTTCAACCTTCTTTGGTGTTTCTTCTCTTAAAGAAATAGAGAGTGGTGGAACGGTTGGAGGGCTTGATCTCCTATCTTCTGTGAGCTTGAGTAAGTCATCATCATCCTCAATTTCTAAAGTGTAAGAAGTAACATCTTCCTCTTCCGAAGACTCCTCGCTTTCTTCGCTTTCTTCACTATCGTAAAGAGCCATTTTACTGGAGATAGCATTACCACTGTTGGAAGGTTCTGGTGAGAATTCTTTCTTTGGGATTGGTGACACTTGCACAATTTCAATTTTTTGTGGTTTAAATGAAGATCTTTTTGCTTGCATTTCTTCTGGACTCATAACTTGAATAGATGTTGAGTAATCAAAGGCATTATTTCCATTTCCTCTTTGTATAGTTCCTTTCCATACCTGGTCATCATTTCTAAGGATTTCAACTTCTCTCACTCCTTTAACACTTTCCTTTTTCGAGTCAGAAATCACCTAATAACAATTGTTACTTACATTAATACTCTTGTTAAAGTTCCAAACAATGATATTTGTTACTGGAAGAAAGCTTGGAATTGTTATAAATATTTCTAAATAACTTAAAGTAGGGAAAGAGGTTTGCCACATGTTTTGGTCGTTTGTGGTCTTTTTCTTTCCATTGAATAATCGCATAATGTTTCCTTTTCCACCAAGTCCACCCTTAAGATTCACTTGATCATCCACAATCTCGATTTTTGTTTCATCAAAAGAATAAAGTTCTATTTCAGTAAGACCAACGTTACTAGAATGTCCCCAAGTGCTTAAAATTCTTATGCAGTATGTATCATTTTGCTGTTTTGAAGGTGTTTGAACAGTTTTTTTAGGAGTTTCTTCGTCCTCTGAAACATCTAATTCGACAGTTTTATCTGTCTGTTCCAATTTTTCTAATACCTTTAGCAAATATTTCTGTTTGGATTGGTCCAGTCTTTTCAATTTTTCAATTAAGGTATCCATTGTCGATAAATGAGCTAAACTCTCTTCATTAGGACAATCTAAAGAACTTAGGCTCTTTCTGAGAGCTTCAATGTCGTCCTTGTTGAGTGTGACTCTCGTTTTCTTTCTGAAGAGTATTTCTGAGGCATCCTCTTGCTCATCATCGCCTTCAAACATACTAGGTTTTTCTGGTGTTATTCGTTCCATTTCTCCATTTTCCTTCTTCATAGCTATTGTTGATTGTTTCCAACCACGTTTCTCTTCACTTTTTATTTGGTTTCTGTCCGCGTAGCCGGTTGGTCTGCTTCTTCTGATTTTAATTTTTGTAGTGGGTTCGGTAAAGTCCTCATTTGATGTAGTAGTCTTCAAAGTTTTATCTTTTTTGTTATTATTAGCTCCACTCCAATTTAAATTAAATCCTCTTTCTTTTTCCTCAAGTTCCCTTTTTCTTGGATCATCCTCCATTCTCTTTTTCTCTCTATTCCTTTGTTGTAGCTTTGCCAAATACTCGCTGTATTCTTTGTTTGGCGGCTCCTTAGTAGCATTAAAGTTGATGTTTGTATTATTGGGAATTTTAAAACCACTTGCTGGCATGGAATTTATGCTAGTAATGTTTTTAGATATTGTTGGTTGTATTGTTCCCAACGACGGTATCGAAGGAATTACTATCGACTATTGTTTTTTAACTATCAACAATATAAGCACAAAACCTACTTCATTCAAAGATGGAATACTAAAACCGCCTCCACCTCCATTATTTCTCTTCATATCCCATTTGTTTTTCCTTGTTGTATCATCCAAATCATCGAATTGATCATTTTCTAATGGAGAAGAGCCACCAAAGGCATTGAGTCTTCGGGAAGGGCTATCACCATCACTCATTTTTTTAAGGTTTTATTTATTGTAGACTTTGGCGCTTTTTTGACAACAAAAGGAAATACAATCAACTTCATAAGTGTTGCATGTTCGTTTATGAGTAGAACGAAGGGTGAGAAACATTCATCCTGTTTTTACAAGTTGCTCTCTTCTCAATATGAGTGAATGTTATCTCTGTGGAGGGTCATTGTGAGCTGAAGAAGAACTAAACTACCACCAATTTGGATTTCTTATGTCTGTTGATGAATCCCGCCAAACAGTTATTCACGAGTAATTACAAGTACTTCCAATAAAAAATGAGTAGGGTACAAAGCGCCTCATCAAACAACAACCCGGGAGAGGAATACATTTCTATCGATCAACTAGATAGGTATCTCGAAATGTTTTATGAGCATGGTGATTTGACTCCTAAGGTCAAGGCATCTTATTATATAATGATGCTCTCGAAAAATCCAGTGAATTTACAGTACCTAGTGTCTCATGGTAAGTAAATAACATTAGGAATTAGTTGAGGTGGAACAACGAAATAGAACAATTATTAAACTTACTCGGAAGAACATTGAGGGAGGAAGGAAAAAAGAGTATGGACTTGATGATTAATATACTCTATGTGTTTTATAGTTTTTCCCATTTTTCTCAATTTCATGAAATAATCACCAAATTCAAGGTTGGAGTTGTAGTGATGGAAGCAATTGCCTATGAGGAAAAAAGAAGAGAAAAAATGTTAAAGAAGAAGGAAAATAAGAATGAAAATAAGAAAGTTGGAGGTATGATAACCAAACAAGAGAATCTTCTTTATGTTTGCTTTAGAATTTTATTGAATTTAGCAGAGAACATTGACATAGAATCCAAAATGAAGAAGAGAGGATTGATTCCAAACTTGGTCAATGCTCTAGATAGTGAAAACCCTGAACTGCTTTGTGTTCTAGTAACATTTTTGAGGAAACTTAGTATATTCCAAGAAAACAGAAGGGAAATGTTGGACGCTGGACTTATGTTTAAATTTGAAGATATTTTCCAATATGACAACATTATTTTGTTGAATGAAAGTATGAGATTGATTGTCAATGTTACCTTCGATCCTCAATTAAGAAAGGATGTCATTCCTTTGGTTCCTAAATTCATAGAGTTACTTCGGTTCCCAGACCACTTTGAATACTGTGTAAAGCTGTTGTATCAATTGAGTCAAGATGAAGAATTTTCAAAATTGAGAATTTCCTCTGATACTCTCCCATTTATTCTTTTGGAATTTGTTGCAGAATATCCTGGTACAAGAGTCAGCAAGGAATTAATTGCCTTAGCCATCAATGTTACACTTCAAGAACAATTGGCTGTTAAAATGTGTTTGCACAATAATGGTCTTACAAGATTATTGGAGAGATTGGTGAGGACAAGAGATCCTTTCTTAGCCAAGATGATTAGAAATATTTCTCAGCATACTCAACTGGCTATTCAATTCAAGCCATTTGTAAATGACATCCTAGGTATTTGTTCTAAGGCGGAAAATGATGAATTGGTTGTAGAATTACTGGGTATGTTGGGAAATATGAGTAACTCGAATGTTATTTCATTTTCTCAGCTATTCAAACAATTTGATTTGGTTGCTTTCTTATTCAATTTCTTGAAAAAGGGGGTAAAAACAAGAAGCAGCCTTGTTAACTCGTTAACCAATGTGGAAGGCGACAAAGATGATGATATTCTGTTAGAATCAATTATTCTTCTTGGTAATGCAATTTCTGATGATGAATCAGCAGCTTTAGTAGCCAATTCTCCAATGATAATTACCTTATGTAATATATTTATTGAAAAACAAGAAGATGATGAAATAGTTTTACAAACCATGTACACATTCTACAAGATGCTTTTATTTGGACCAACAAGGGAAGGTTTAATGAGTCAGCACCATATTATCAAGGTTATTATAGAGTTATATCAAGACGAGAATGAACAAATTGCCTCAACATCTGATATGATGCTTGATATAATTTGTGAATGTGATGGTCAGTGGACAGATATCATTAAGAGGAAAAAATATTTCCTCTATAATGAAAAGTGGTTGACTGAAATTGCTAATCTACCAATTCCGAGAGATATTTCCCAAGTTGATGAAGGAGTGCCCGTTCAAGAAGAGAGTTCACAATATGATATGGCAAATGTTATCGACATGTCAGAGGTTAGTGAGGATATGGAAATAGGAACGTTTGCTTAAAGTATCATTGCATCATTTTGTAAATTTTGAATAGATAAGTAAAAAAGCACTTTTCCAAAAGTATCACAATAGCTTTCCCCTTCTCCTTTTCCAATTATTTTAAAAAGTGGATCCTCTTCAATAGAAATAATTTCAAAATTATCCGATTGAATATCATCATCTACCATAACATTTTGTTTTAGCCTTAATTTAACTTTTACAACAGATTTAGTTTCAATATGAGGTAAAACTCCAACCTTAACTTCTAATTGGCCAATTTTAATACTTGCCAGTGAATCATGCTTTTCATACATCATTTTGAATGTGAATATTCCTGATTGCATTAACTCTTTCAAATACGTGCAATTATTAAAAGTTCTAAATACTAATAAGAAAGGAGAGGTCTCATGAACGTAATCCCCTTCCTTATGATAAAGATATAGACCATCTGTTTCATAATTTGGATGGTATTTGTCAACATTGGCAAAAAATTCGTTGAGGGAAATCCTTTCACAAAGCTCCATATCTATCTGATCTTTAGTGTACATATTGTCGTTGAGATCCTCCCTCCATTTTTGGGTGAGCCAATAAAATCTAAACTCGGCTGGGTTAGAGCTAAAATAATGCCCATTCCAAGCAATTAGATCAAGTATATAAAGCTTCTTCTCTTCATTAGTTTCGTATAAAATAGCATCTAATATTGTAAAAGACTGACGTTTTCCTCCAATACTTTGTAAAACTGAAAGATATTTTTTGATAAATAAATTATTCTCTTTAGCTTTCATTTCCACAACAAATGTATACATATTGTTAGATATTACCAATACTCTCCTCCCTTGTGGCCTATACAACAAATACCAGTCATTTTCATTCCAGTTATTCTTATCAAATACTAATCGTAGCATTTGGTCATCAGTTTCACAAGTAAATTCATCATTCGGAAGTAAATACTCCTCTTGCATCAAAGGCAAAAGTCTATGCTTTTTAACAAACTTTGTGATAGTTTTTTCCAAAGGCTTTTTCTTTTTACTTCCCGACATTTCCAATTCCTCATCCCCACTTTCTCTAATTTCCTCCAAAATTTGTTCCTTCAACAATAATCGTTTTTTCAATATTTGCAATCTTCTTTCTTCTATTCTCTCGTTCCAAACAATGCTAGCCTCCTCCTTCAAACACTTCCGTTTAATCATTTTTTAAAAATTAAAATTCTTTCTCTTGATCAGATGGTTGATCCATATTGCTAAGAGTATCGTCCTTCAACAGTCGGTTGCAAAGATTGTATCATCAGCTTAAGCTCGACCCCATTACAGTGCAAGCTCCTTTATCATTTTTATTTTTAAAATATTGGAGATTATGGGTTTGAAAAGTAACAAAAAATGTCTCATCATTGTTGTGATTCTCACCATCATGCAGAAGGTTCGGAAAGTGAAGAACACAATCAACATTCGAGATGGATACCCGGCTCTATTATCATGTCGAATGAGGAATTAATGCAAGAGGATTTGGAAAGTGAAGATTTTGTTTTTTCCAAAGTTTTGATAGCCTTCTCAAGATATGAAAAGTATTATTTCAAGTATTTTGATAGGAAAATTCAATTTTTCAGACAAGTTTGGAATCAAAATTTGGGAAATAGTAAAGCCTATACTGACGTAAAAACAGTATTACCGGACCATTTTGAAAAATTCAGACAAATGAAGGAAGCCATCCAGAAAAATTATGACAATTTGATATTGAAAATATTGGACTCTCATTCTCTTGGATTTTCGGAACAACAAATTAATGATAAACCTCTGGAGAGTAATGATGCATCAAGTATTGCTCTTGATATGAGGCCAAGAGTAATGGAGGTTGACATTCCAGCATATCAATTTAGAAATGATGATATTGAAAGTATTTTATCATCTGAGGATTATGATAAGGTATCTTCAACTGTCAAACAGTTTGCTAGAGACTGGAGTGCAGAAGGTGCATTCGAAAGAAATGAAAGTTACCAACTCATAATCGATGAATTGCAAAGAGTACTTCCTCTTTTTGGAGAAACTAACAAGTATCGAGTGCTCACTCCTGGAGCTGGTCTCGGCCGTTTGACATGGGAAATTGCTAGATTGGGATATGCCAGTCAAGGTAATGAATTCTCATTTCAAATGTTGCTAGCTAGTAATTTTATTTTGAATCATCCTTACAAAATATTTGAAGAAAACAATCAGAGAAGAATAGAACAATTTCAAATTTATCCATTCGTTACACATCTTACTGATCTCTATTCTAGGACGGATCAGCTCTATTCTTTCAATATACCAGATGTACATCCTGGATTAGAATTAAAAGAGGGTGTAGATTTTTCAATGGTTGCTGGTGATTTTGTGGACGTATACAAGAATGAATCGCAGAAGGAATCTTGGGACTGTATTGCAACTTGCTTCTTTATTGACACTGCTAAAAATATTTTTGATTACCTTAACACTATATTTCATTCATTGAAAGAGGGAGGATATTGGATTAATTTGGGACCATTATTGTGGCATTATCATGAAATGGGAGATAATGGATTTTCTATTGAATTAACTTATGAGGAAATTAAATCAGTAATGGAGGGAATGGGATTTGAAATTGTAAATGAAAAGGTCAATATTAAGAACACCTACATTTCATCATTTGGAAACACAAGAAAAATCATGAGACAAACAGTTTATGATTGTGTCTTCTTTTGTGCTAGAAAGAAAGTAATTTCGGAAAAGAAAATATTGTAAGAAGGTAGGTACTCAACTTGTCAAAATGTTTGAAAATCAAAACCTTCTAGTAAGGAAATTACGTATTGGCGCCTTCTAGTACTTTGGTTTTTTATTTAAAAATTAATAATAAAAAAATGAGTCAAGACGATCAAACGGATGTTATTGATATTAAATCAGAGGGTAAAGGAGAAGAAAAGAGAACCCGAATTAATATTATTAAAGGTGATCCTTCTCGTAGAAAGTCAAACTCTCTTGCCGATCAATTAAAGAAAATATTGAATTTTTACAAAATGTTAATGGAAAAGTACCCACCAGTCGCAGTTAAATCAATTACAGCTGCTCTTATTACTTTTATTGCTAATATTGTAAGCCAAAAGTTTATCAAGAAAAAGACAGAAATTGATTGGAATTCAGTTATTAATTTTACAATTACAGGAGGATGCAGCTCTGCTTGTTCTCACTTTTGGTATGGTTTTTTGGATAATATTATGGATTATTTGAAGGAAATCAAATCGTTGAGACCAATCGTTTGCAACCCAACCATTGAAAAGTTTGCATTGGTTCCTACCTTAATTGATCAAGCTGTTTATGCTCCATTCATCAATGCTTTTTATATTGTTGTTTTGGCCTTTGTTGAATCAAGAGCTTTTGTGGTAGATAAGGCTTTGGCCAACTTGAAACGTGATTTCTATACCACTTTGAAATCAGGTTATATGCTTTGGCCACTTGCTACTATTGTTGTTTTGAGTTCTAGCCCTCCAGACCTTGTTGTACTCTTCTTCAACATTATTGGTTTCTTCTGGAGTTTGTATTTGGCCAAAACTCTCTAAGCATTAAGTTCAACTAAGTGTAAATATTGTAAATAAAGAAATGAAACTTGTGAATAAATTAATTTTATTTTAGATTCTTTAAATGGTAAAGACAGCAAAATCAGAAGCCAACTCTACATTGGCAAATACTTGTTGAGCTTGCTTTCTCAAGAGAGAGACTGATACTTCGTTTTCGTGTAATTCACTTTCTGGTTTGTTTTCGTCAACGTAACGAGCAGAGAAATGGGTAAGAATTAAACGAGCTGCATTGATTGAGATCGCAAAATTAGCAGCCATTGACGGTACAGAATGTCCACGATCAATTGCAAGTTCTTTCATGTTATCCTCCAAGGTACTTTCGTGAACCAAAAGAGTGCAATCCCTAGCAATTGTGGCAATTCCTTCAGGATTATGAGTATCTCCAAGCATTACTAACTTTTTACCCTTAATAGTTGGTCCAACAACGTCTTCTGGTTTGATAACAGTTCCATTATCCAAAGTAATTGTTTGGCCATTCTTAATTTTTCCAAGCATTGGTCCTTTAGGAACTCCAAGTTGTTTACACTTTTCCATGTCCAATTTACCAGGTTTGTCATTTTCAGTAAACACATACCCAACACAGAAAACTCGATGCAAAATTGGTGCAGCTTGAACAGTCAATCCAGCATCAGTTTGAGTCAAATCAAAAACTGGGTAAGAATTTGTTTCCTTATTCAAATAAATAAAAGATCCTGCACTCTTTGGTGGTTCTGAACAATTTTCACTATCATATTCACAAGCAAGTGGAGCAATGCATTGTTCATCATACTTTTTAACTTGTTCTTCTGTCATTTCTGGTGGAACAATTTCATGAATATCCAATCTGAAATTCAAATGGGCATCACTCAATGAAAGTGTTTGACGAAGGAAATTCTTCAATCCAACAGGTCCAACAATCGGAAGAATAGTTCTAGTTACAGGATTATTTCCGGATAATGTACACAAAAGTCCAGGCAATCCATAACAGTGATCACCATGCAAATGGGTAATGAATATTCTTGTAATTTTACCAGATTTCAAAATACTTTTCATATATTGGTATAGCAATCAATTAGCATCATGATCAATAAATTATAAACATACTTGTAATTGCTGTTGTGTTCCTTCTCCGGAATCAATCAAATAAACTTCTCCGTTATCCAATTGCAAACCACAACTGCTGACATTTCTCAAAGGTGTTGGCACACCAGAACTTGTACCCAAAAATATCAATTGTTTCATTTTTTTTAATTTTGAAAGAATATTCGGAAGTTCATCACTCTCTGCTGTTGTTGTATTTATAATAAAATTATTATCATTAATATTATGCTGCTTCGTGTGAAGATCACTGGCTAGTAAGCATGAACTTGAAGGAACCTCTTCGGAAATGAATTGGTTCAAGTTGGGATTTGATATTTGCAAGTTCATTTTAAAATTCGTAATTGAGTAGTGAAGTGCTGGTAGGGATTTGAAGATAAAGCTTCGTTTCAAATTTAGAATTGATGCTGCAGGGCGTTTTAACATTTTTTTGTAAAGTTGGTAAATCAATTTGGAGTGTTAATAATTTATTTTGATTTTTTGGAGGATGCATATTTGGAGGATGCACTGCGTTTTCTCTTACGTTTAGCTTCTACTATTCCATCATTTAGGAATTTAACAATTCGTCTTGTTCGCTCAGTACTGTTACCTGCAAGTTTGATTTTCAATAGTTTACAAATATCATAAATCTCTTTGGCTGAATAGTTGGTGTAAATTTCAGTTGCTGTTACACCCTTTTCAATTTTAACCCTTCCTTTACTTGATGGAAAGGTTGGTTCGTTTGAGGTTTCTTCTGAATCCTCGTCTGAACTCTTTTCATTAGGTGAGGCAAAAGGTTTACTATCGTTTCTGTTGGAGGTTTTAGTTGGGATAGTTGACACAGATGGCTCACTAATATTATTGACTTTCTTTTCTTTTTCATGCTTCTCCGCTGATTTTTCTTGTTTCTTATCATTTTTCTCTTTCTTTGTATTTTTTTCTTCCTTGACACCCTTCTCTGTATTTTTGTCTTGCTTTGTGTGATTTTTTGCAAGTAATTGAAGGACATCCTTTTCAGATGATGTTACCAATTCTTCTGATTGACCATTGGTAAATGAGAGGGCTTGAATTTTCTTCAATGATCTATTATTAAGCTTTTTCAGTATTTGCTCAGAGTTTTGAATATAATCAATAAATTCCTTTCTTATATGAGGAAAACTGAATGAAAGAAAGAATAAAGCATACGCTTGCTCATCAAAATAATCTGAAACACAATACGAATCCTCAAAAAATGGATATTGATCAAATAATGATTTAAAATTTTCTCTAACAGATGTGAGAGCTGCATTAAGAATTTTTAACTCTTGTTTGCGAATAATTTCGCAAAATCCGATAATCAATATCTCCTCTTTAAGTGCTAGCTCTAAACTTTCTTTATCATTTACATCCTCAGTAAATCCAAAAGCTTCACACAATTTGTGAATTATTTCTATTGGTAAATTTTGAAGAAATCTATCAAAACCTAACAGACACCAAATATCTGAAACTATTTCTTTCTTAAATATCAAATATCTTGATTCCAATTGTGCTTTGGAATGTCGTGATTCTAGATATGGTCTATAAATATGGATTAGTGTGTTTAGCATTTCGTTATCAAGAGAGTGGGAAAAAATACGAAATCCTAAAATCACATTAAAATTATTAGTTTTTTGTAAACCTACCAGCTCTAACGGAGTGTTTAATAATTCTGTTAACCACAACATATTTTTCAGATTCGTATTGATCAAAATTGGAATCTGTTCCTTTTGTTATATCCACAATAGTATTCAAAATTGCATCCGGAAAAGAATCAAGAAGGCACTCAAAATATGCCAGAGAAGGCGTTGATGGCAACGTAAACTGTTTGCTAGTGGTCATTTTTTTTAAATTATTAATAATTTAATTAAAAAGAAAAACAATTTATTGGGCGGGGCAATTATTAACAATCCACGGATGTTCAAATAATTCTGTCAATGACATTCTTTGCAAAGTATCCTTGACAAGTAATCTACTGATTAAATCTTGAGCATCAATAGAAACGAAAGGTGGGAATCGTAAATCAACATCCTTAATTTTCTTAAATGTTTCTTCTTGTGTTGGAGCCATGAATGGTGGTTCACCAACTAAGAATTCATAACACAATACTCCCAAACACCACAAGTCAACTGTTGAATCATGTTCTCTTCCTTCAACCATTTCAGGAGGTAAATAATCCAAAGTTCCACAAAGTGTTGTTCTTCTTGTGGTTGGTGCATGAACACTCCAACCAAAATCAGCAATTTTTACATCATGATTTGAGTCCATCAATAAATTCTCAGGTTTGACTAGTATTTGTTAATTGTTTTGCTTGGAAATATTGAAAACTTACTATCACGGTGAATGACATTTCTGTCATGACAATATTTGAGAGCTTTGGCAAGTCCTGTAATGTATCTAGCTGCTTCTGGTTCAGAAAAACGTTTACATTCTTGTAATTGTTTGTATAATTCACCTCCAGCTGCGTATTCCAAAATCAAATATACCTTTTGCCTATCATAGAAATAGCCATATAATCTCAAAATGTTCTTGTGTCTGAGATGGGATTGAATTTCAATTTCTCTTCTGATTTGATGTTCTACACCTTCTCTCTTTAATTGTTCTTTATCTAGAACCTTTAATGCTACAATATATTTTGTTCTCTTTTCTCTTGCAAGGTATACTTGTCCAAATTTACCCTTTCCAAGATAGTTTCCAATTTCAAAATCTTGGAGTTTCCATGTAGATTTCTTAGCCCCAGTTGATGATTCCTGTGTTGTAGTAGATTGAGTTTGTTCAGTGGTTGACTCTGTAGTCTTCATTTCAGCATCTGGAACTTCCTTAGTAACAGTATGTGAATCAACAGCTACGTCATCAACCATTTCATTTGTTTCTTCAACAATTCTTGGTTGTGATGGTGGATGAGGAGTAAACTTTTCTGGTGGAGTAATGGTAATGTTGGCATGCATATTTTGCAGATTGGAGAGTTGATTAGATTTTTGATTACTCAAAGTGCCCAGAGCTTTTCTTTGGGTACTTTTAGCAGAGCTTGGAGTGCTGAAAATCTTCTTATTGTGCACAACTTTAGGAATACCACTTGGTTTTTGTGTATTTGATGATGTTGATAATGATGGTGATGGGGAAATACCATAAGCCACATGGAAAGGAAAAACTTTTTGACCAGATTTTAGTTTGGCTTGTTGAGAGGTTGGTGATGTATTGCTGTTGGTTGGTGATGATGTTTTAGATGATCGCGTCTTGGAAGGCATGGTTGGAAAGTGAAAATGTTCATTCTCCTTGTTCATCGTGTTGGTAGAGGATGGAGAAGAGGATTGGTGTGGTTGCATTTCTTTGATGTGTTTTGATAAAATATTTTTTCAATAACAAAACAACGATTTTAAAAGGCGGGAATGTAAAAGTGGCGCCAACAATATAACGGTCAGCTTTTTAAATTCTATGGCAGAAAAGCATATCCTGCTTTCTTACTCACGCAAAGGAATGAACAGCAAGTCAAATGTTGGATACTTTACAAAAAAATGGCACAAAAACAAACACTTGACACTAACTATCGTTCCGATCAATTATTCGTTATTAAATTTCTAGAACAAACGGAACTTTATGAGGGTGAGTACAAGTTTACCAAAGATCTATTAGTAATATATTATTTGCAGAAATGATGGTGGAAATAAAGAGTTTGATTTTACAAATTCTCAACTCTAGTCAACCACGACCGACTGATGAAGAGAGGAACCTGTTGTTGGTAGCCTATAAGAATGTAATTGCTTGTTATACAACTCCTCATCATGTTGTATTGTCAATAAGAGATAGACTAGAAACAAAGAATGAATTTCATAATGTCAAGTTGACTGAACGATTTATGAAAAATTTACAAGAAAAATGTATTGAAATTACAGTTGAAATTATTGAAATAATAGATAAAATTCTACAATTGGAAGATCAATCAGTAGAAGATTGTGTTTATTATTGGAAACAAAAAGGAGACTTGTACAGAAATATTGCACGAGTTGATTATCAAAATTCTGGACTGGATTGGAAGGGAAAATCATTGGAATGTTATGAAATATCAAATGAATTTTCCACTAAATTGAGTATTCTGAATCCCCTTAGATTAGGAATGATTTTGTCTCAGGCAGTGTTTAAATATGAGGTTGTAGGGGAGTGTGAAAAAGCTGTGGAAATTGCACAAACAGCATTTTCAAAAGCTATGAAAGAACTTGAGATTTTGATCGAATCTGGTGAGGACATTTCAAGTGAGATAACGTTAATATTGCAATTATTGAGGGATAATTTGAGTAATTGGACTGCTGATGTTAAAGGCCCAGATGAGGATTAGTTTCTCACTATTCAAATTGTTCACAAATAATACAACGTGAACTCTAGAATGACCCCAATATTTACGAAACTTTGCAGTCCTTTCACTATTACAGTACCACTGAGTTCAATTTGATCATAATTTATTGGTTAATTAGCAAACAATCCTGTCTAAATCATTTCAGATTCTCCATCTCATCATTGAAGACTGAATTGGTGATTGGTAATTTGACATTCAAACAGCTCAAGACAATGAACCAGAATTAATCACCATCCATTATCAAATGTCCAAAACCTCAACCAAATATTCGAAAGGAGAGATTCAAAGATTTCATTCTTAAACCACAGAATTTGTAACTTGGAAACAAACAGTAAATTTTCATTGAAAATTCTTTTTCAGGGCATTGAGGAAACGATATAAAACACTAAGAGAAATAGTGATCTTATAGAGAGAAAAAGCATAGGTTTATTTAAACTGTTAAGCAATGGAGTGTTTCTCAAAAACTGGCAAAACCTATCAAGATGCTCAATATTACATCTCCTATATTGAGGGGTATTATTATGAGAAGGGAAGAAATGGATATGAGAAGAATGTATTCAGAGCTATCACTACAAGCAATCATGCACTGGAAACTTTTTAATACCTTTTGCATATTACAAGACCGGCAAGTTAGCATGGAAAGAAAAATACGACGATTTGGCCTTTACTATTTTGAAACCTCTCGTTGCACAATGTCAATTCAATCCTAATTCTCCTGTTTTCATTTATATACTGGCTTGTCTTTATCAAGGTGGCTACTTTTTAGATATAAATCAAATGGAGGCCATTAAAGTATTCGAAAAAGCTGCCAATATGGGATATCAAAAAGCTGCCAAGACCTACAAACGAGTTCTCGAAAACCTCAACAATTCCACCTCAAACTTTTTGTAAACTTATGGAGCTGATTTTCTTAGGATATTGAGTAAGGTTTCCAACATCTTTAATTCCAAAACAATTCCAATAACAATCTCTCTCTGAAAGCATTGTAGAACAATCCATAATACAATTATCTCCTTGCTTTTCCTTCTAAAAGGTTTCGTTTCTCAATATTCTTGAATAATCTCAGAAGAAACCAAATTCAACTTTACAGTCCTTTACTGTTAGTGAGCGTAAAAGACCATTGACTTCAATTTAATAAAAGTTTCGGAATCTGAGGTTCGGAAGTTGATTTTCCTTCACATTCCGAGAGCTGAGGAAAATCCTTTGCGCATAAAAATAGTTTGTCGCATTTTTCAAAACGTTAAAAATGACCATTCGAAACACAAACAAGAAAAACCAACTTGAAAAAAAAGTCTTAATATCTTAATATTGACAACAAGCGGTGTTGTGAATAAGCGATCAAATATATTACAAAAGAAAATGTTTAACATTCTATTCAATTTACCAATTTTTATCCAAGATGGTAATCACCATCGTCAGCAACCAGAAACAAACCAACAATTTTGTTTCTATGGTGTGCCATTAACAATGTTCTTCTCACCAAATGATATGCAATATTCGAATAATGTTCCGTTCTCCAATCTGTTCGATAATGTAAACATGTCAGATTTTGCCAATCAATCCTTCCAACAATATCAACAGGATCAAATCAATAAGAAGGCACCAACGAAAAAGAATGCTTTAGAATCATTACCTACTTACAAATTGTCACCTCTCCGAAAACAAATTATGACACAATGTGGTGAACACTGTGACCAATCATGTGCTGTTTGCATTTGTGATTTTGAAGAATGTGATGAACTGATAAGACTTCCTTGTGGTCACGTTTTCCATAAAGATTGTGTGAGTACATGGTTGAATGAACATAATACCTGTCCAACTTGTAGATATGAATTACCAACAGAAGATATTGAAAAGGAAAGTATTCGTCTTAAGAAAATGAAAGAAAGATTTGGTGGAGATGATGGAGTGAAGGTGTTCGATATTGCAACCAAAATTGAAAATGTTTTGTCACGAGTCGATCAATTTGTTTCTGATAGAGAAAATAACAAATCATCAACAGTAGTAGTTGATTCTAATCAAATACTGAAACAACTTACAAGATTTGATGGTGAATTAATGAATTTAACAATTGAACTGGACTCGATTGAATTCAAAGAAAGTAATTGGATTAGAAACCAAAGAAAGATGCAAATTGTGAAAATTCAAGCCATTCTTTCAGTTTTAGATCAAATAAGAGCACAAATTGTTTTTTAATAAATTCCATTTTGTAAATACTATTACCATTTTCATTTATGTATTTAACATTAAATACAATAATGAGCCTACCACTGCATGATTTTTCACGATTCAATACATCAACTACAGTCTTTAAGCGTAAATATTGATTTGTGTAATTTTATTGGCGCCTTTTCAAACTCTCATACCTTCCTTTTGTAGCTGATAGGTGTGCCATATTGAACAATTCATCATCATTATAAAGGAACCACTCATTACCAGATTACCACCATCCACACCATCACAACAACACCGTGTACCAATTTATTGGTTTACAAAGCACTCCATTATTCTTTGAACGAAGCAATAAAAACCAAGAGGTAATTATTGAAAATTGACTCCAATAAAATGTCCACAAACAATCCATACAATTCTTTGAATGTTGTCAGAGGCTCCACAACAACAGCATCTGCTTCATCACAACCAGCACGGAAGCAGCATCACGGTTTGTTGGTGGGAAGAAGAATCATTGACCAACAAGAAGAGTACACTGATACAATTAAAGATGATGATCATTCAACAGCATTAACACTCACGGATTGCCGTAAGGATCATGAAAGAGGACCCGAAGTGATTATTCCTTTCCCCAATCGTTCTCATCAACAGGTAAAGAAGAGAATAAGAGCATCAGCTGGTTTTCAAGTTAATCTATTATGTTCAGAGGTTTATGATGATGAACAACACAATTCTGAATTATTAACTCATCATGAGGATGATTTGGACCATAGTCAGAAGGAATATGATTTGATAACTCCTCTCGATAGCAAGCTTCCTGATAGTTGCTTCCCAATGACAAAGAAGAGAATTAAACACCATGCAGACAATCAAACATGCTCACATCAAAATATCCATACAAAATATTTAGAGATTAATTCAACATCTACTTCGTGTGCTCCATCAATTATCGAATCACCAGAAAGCCCACAAGCTTGTGTTCCATCCTGTCATTTACCAAGTGATATTATTGAAATTATATTCAATTTCATGGAAGATTCTTCGAGAAAGATTGCAGAGTGGGTGAGCATTGATTTTCACAGAGCTTGTTTGCAAGTGGAGAAGAGAGACTTGTTCAGACTATGGAATTTGGAAAACTCTTGCCTTCTCAAACCATTGAACGAAGACACTGTCAGTCCAATACTCATTACACAACTCGAAAGAAAATTTCAAGTTATTCTTCCATATCATTTAAAGACCTTTCTCATAGAATTGAGTGATGGAAGAGCAAGTTGGCATAACAAATTCCTTCACGTTTCAAACATGTTGCTACCTATTAGTGAATGGAGAGATGAAGGTGAACAAGTCAAGATTGGTGAAACTTCAGATGGCTCAACACTCATACACTTGTGTAAACAGAATGGCTCTCTCTGGTTTAAACATACAAAACATAGTGAGATTGTAAATTTTAAGAATTGGATTCAGATGAAGAAGAAACACTTTTATCATGTTCACTACAACATTGGTTCCATTTTACAGAGAGAAAGTCTTCCATATTCATTCCATACATACAGAGAGATTCCAAGTAGTTGTAACTTTAAAACAATAGTCAAAGCTATGGTAACTCAGAACGGTAGCTTGTTTAGATATGCCAATGATACATTGAAGGATGATGAAGAGGTTGCCCTTTGTGCTATTCAAAATAATTCTTCAGCATTTCATGAATGCTCTGCTGCACTCAAAGACAATGTAAATATTGCTAAGGCTGCTGTAAAACAAAATGGTTTCCTATTGCAACATATTTCTCAAAGACTGAGAGATGAGTTTGATATTGTGGAATTGGCCATTCGTAACAGACCAATGGCTCTTCAATATGCAAGTACTACTTTGAAGAAGAACCCAATATTGGCATATCTTGCAGCAACAACTTGTGGTGATGTGTTTGAGAATGCTCTTCAATTTGCAGGAGTAGAACTAAGAGCAAACAAAGAATTCATGGCAAAAGTATTGAATGTTAAAGGCATTTGTCTAAAATATGCATCTGATGCTTTGAAGGACGATGTCGACACGGTATTTTTAGCTGTAAATCAAAAGGGAACAGCTATCCAATATGCCACACCAACCCTTAAAAGAGATCTCACTGTCATTTCAGCAGCTGTCTTTCAAGATGCCAGATCATTGAAGTATACTCCCGAGTCAATTAAATCCCAAAAACAATTCATATTAGATATGATCGAGCTTAATCCAAAAGCTCTCGAGTTTGTACCAGATCATTTCAGACATGATAGAGAAGTTGTTTTAAATGGTAAGTTATTTTTTCAATTCAAACCAATTAATAGAGATAGCTGTTCAAAGGGATGGCATGACACTCTATTTTGCTTCTAAAACTTTGAGAGGTGACTTGCCAATTGTTTTGGCAGCCATTTCACAAACCGATAAGGCATTACAATATGCCACATATGAAGTTCAACATGAAATCAATCAACAATAGTCAATAATTTTGTACTCTACTTTGGACTGATTTTGGTAGCTTGAAGTAGCTCCCATCATACAGGCCCTCATCATTAAACTATCATGTTTTCTTCACAATGTCCAAGATTTCATTGTTCTCTTACTTTTGACTGTTCTTTGGTGGAATGTCCTCTTTAACAGAGAACATTGAACAATTTAAAAACAAAAAAATGTGCACAATGATTATTGTGGTGGGTTATTTGGCGTAATTGATGGGCATGGAGGAATTGAAGTTGCTGAATATGTTTCTCGTAATTTGGAATCAATTTTAAAAGAAAAATTAAAAGAATCGGATACAATTGAACAAGCTCTTATCCGAGCATTTGAACAAGTTGACTTGAATTTAAAACTCTTTATTGAAAAGCAAAAGTTTTCAAAGATCAAACCAAGTTGTGGAGCTGCTGCAAATGTTTGTTTTCTTACCAGTGAGTCAGTTTATTGTGCAAATTTGGGAGATTGCAGAGCTTTGGTATTTGTTGGTGAAAGTAATAATCAATGTGAATGCACAGTCATGTCAAGAGATCACAAAGCTCATTATGAAAAGGAAAGAATGCAACAAATTGGAGTTAAGGTTGTGAATACACTCCCTTCTAGAACTGTAAGTTCTATTCTCGATTACTCTTAATCAAATTCTTAATCATCAACAATAGTTTGGAGATTTTCAATACAAACAACCAGCTGTAAAGACAACTTTGAACAAACCAAATTTAGAGGTTGATGTAATTATATCCACTCCTGAAATTAGATTCATTGATATTTCTGGAAAGCATGGAAGTGTTTTAATAGCATGTGATGGTTTATTCGACAAGTTGACCAATGAAAATGTTGAAAACTTGTTCAAAGAACTAAAATTTGAAAAGGCAAGAACTTCCCAAGAAATTGCTTTCGATTTTTGTCAAACTGCCTTAGAAAAGAAAACGAAAGACAATGTTTCTGTAGTAATTGTGCATTTTTAAACGAAACCTTTTTTGGAGAATGTAGTATAAAAGTAATAATCGATAATCAACAAACTTTCCAAATAGAGATTTGTTCATTGTCCTTCAATGTTTACTCACCATAACCTTTCCAACACTATAAAAGTCCACGATTTCCATCACTATTCGAATCAACAATTCAAAAAAATATGATTAAACAATTCATTGTATTTACAATTGCAACACTTCTCATTGCAACAGTTGCAGTTCATGCATCTGATGACAAGGAAAAGAAGGATTCTGCAAGTACTTCTGGTGGTGGTTACTATGGTGGTGGTGGTGGTTATGGAGGTGGTTATGGTTATGCTGTTCCACCAGTAGCTCCAATTCCATACTATGGTGGATATGGTGGTGGTGCTTCTTCCAATAATTATGGTAACAATTATGGTTACAATGGTGGTGCTGGTCAAAATTATGGAGTTGCTGGAGGAAATTACAATCAATATGCTCAAAATACTCAAGCTTACAGTAATCAAATTAATGCAGTTAGCTCAAATCCATACTCAAGCTATGGAAGCAATTACGTTGGACCAACTAGCTATGGTAATAATAATGCTTACAGTAGTTACTACCCTGCTCCATATTATGGTGGTTACGGAGGTTATGGTGTCCCATACTATGGTGGTTACGGAGGTGGTTATGGTTATGGAGCTGTTCCATATTATGGTGGTTATGGAGGTGGTTATGGAGGTGGTTATGGTTATGGTGCAGGATATGGATATGGTGGTGGTTGTGGTGGATATGGTGTTTGTTAAAAAAAGCAAGACCAAAATTTTTGAGACAATATAGTCAAAATCATGTGAGGTTATTAAGAATCTTATCAATTCGATAAAATTCCAATAAACAATTCGAGAGTTTACAAAAATTCGATAACATTGTTATTATTTTAAAAACAAATTAAAAAAAATGTCTGAAACTAACGATTCCACTCACCAGCAACAACAAGCAAATCGTGCTATTCTCACACCATCCTTCTCAACGCTCATTGACTCACCATTCCTATTAAATTCCGTTCTCATCAGTCGGAATGAGGTTTCTTCAGTCATGGAGGAAGAAGAGAAGAAGGCGACTAACATTGATGATAAATATTCGGAAGATAATTTGGAGGATAAAAAATCAATATCCGATAATAAACATGTTGGAGAATATATGAAGAATTTATATGTACATAATAATGATAACGATGAGGATGTGGATTATATTAAAAAGTCTCAGGATTTGATGAAATCAATTAGGAATGGAAAAGTAATAGAGTATGAAGATGTATCGAATGAACATTTATCTCCTCCGAGAGATACTCTGGTTATTGGAAAGAATGAAATAGGAGATTCTATAGGATCTGAGAGGTTTTCGGTCAAGCCAACAATAGAAAAAAGTGAAAAATCAACTATTGAAAAACCAAAGAAGGAAAAGAAGGAACGAAGAGATAGTGGAAAGAATGAGCAATCATCAATTATTGATACAATATTTTCACCTTTTTCTTGGATGGTTGGAGGTTCATCAAAAAGAAGTGCTGCAGAGCAACAAGAAAAGAAATCGAGCGAGAAAGCAACAATTGAGGAAAAAACCCCTAGCTCACAATCCAGTGAACAACAATCACCAAGCAATGAAAATTCCAATAATAGTTCAGAAGAAAAGAAAGCTGCAGCAGAACCATCAATCCTTTCCACAATATTTTCTTCTAGTCTGTTCTCTTCTAAAAAGAATTCAGAATCTTCACAATCAGAAGAGCCAAAATAGAAAAGAAGGAAAGAAAGGAACGAAAACCTAAAACCTCTCCACTTGCATGGATTGAAAGATTTGGAGCTGATGCTGGTAAAGCAGCTTCCAATGCGTTGAAGGATCCTCTGGAGAGATTGGCTTCGTCTCCTGTATTAGCCACAGGTGAAGTAATTGTAGTTCATTCTCTAGATTTGGATGGAATCGACTTTAGGAGAATATTCAAATATTTCTTATTCATGATTTTTAGTTGGAGATTTTCTAATACATTCTTTGGATCAATTTTGCCTGCACTTTTGGGACGATCTTCGAGAAAGAGAATTGAGCAACATCCAACACCTCAGATTGCCTATATCCCTCAATCCCTTTCACCACCACATTATCCCTCCATCTCTGTCCTTCCAAGAAACACAATTACACAATTGTAATCATAATTGTAAAGAGTTGACCAAAAAATGATTTGTAATGAAGAAAGAAGATGATTATTTCAAGTAATTTTGGATGTTGAACATGAATATGATGAATGGGATGCCTAATTCCTTATCCGTTAGTGACCATTCCAAAATAAAGAAACCGATATTCAATTTATCCTTACTTGCTAATTGGATAGCTATTCCTTCTATCAGAAAGTACATTGAGTGACCAACACTCTAATCAACAACGTGCTAGGTGGTGGTTACTAAACGATTCTCAATTCCAAACGAAAATATCATCCCCTTTAAAGCTTGCCAACCAAAAACCGTCTTTCCTTTCCCTTTCAAATAACAATAATAATCCATCAACAAAACAAGCCATTTATTGCCGCAATAATTTTCATAAACAACTTTCAAAAAATTACAAGCTTTGAAAAAATAAGCCAACAACAACACCAAGTTCGATCCTTGTTCGATCATTGTATCATATTTTCAATTCTGTTGTTTGAAGCCAATATTTAGTCGTCTATATCGTAGTGATATTGGTGAGAAGATCTATTGTGCCAAATTGGAATTATAGTAGTGGAGTATAATTAAAAACACATTGGATAGTTAATAGACTAACTATTTGTACATTTTACGTTATTAATTGTAAATAATAATATTATTTTCGGAGCAGAAAAACACAATGGCTGCTGTAGAGTAAGTGTGTTTATATCGGTTGATGATTTTAATAATAATAACGGAATGTATTTAATTATATAGTGTTGTACTTGTCAAACAAGATGATGGTTCATTCCAATCATCACCTTTCTTTATTCGTTTTCCACAAAGAAGTAAGATAAGAAGAGTCATCACTGTTCAAGTTAATGGAAAGAAAATTAGCTGTCCTGGATGTGAACTTATTGTCGATCCTGACCACAATTATGCATATTTCAGTGTTGAAACTCGTGATAATCCACAAGTCAATGATTCACAAACATCATCTGTTCCTCCTCCTTCTCCATCAGGAATTATTGTTGGAAATAATAAGACTGTAGCAAGTGTTGTCCAATCAGATGAGACAGCAACCATGATAGCACAATACAGGAAAAAATCTTTACCTCCTCTTCCTAAAAAAACGAATGAAATTCAAAAACCACCAAGTGATCTATTATACGAAGATGACAAGTCACAGAATAATCCTACAAGCCCTTCTTCAATGTCTCCAAAAGATCTTCCTCCTCTTCCAAAGAAAACTCTTCCACAAAATTTAATAATCAAAACTGAAAATAGAGCAAGCATGTTGGCTACTTCACCAGAAGAAAATGAAGAATTAAGAAGAGAAGAACGAGAAATGATAAAAGAAATGGAACAGGAAGGAGAAGATCCGGATGATGAAGAAAAGGAAATTCAAAGAATGGTTGAAGAGGAAACATCCACTTCAAGGTCTAGATCAAGAACAGGAGCTGTTTTCCAAAGACCAAGAGCTGGTAGTAATCCTAGAAAATCTAGAACAATGACTCCAACAGCTGAGGAAGAATCAGGTTATTATACAGCTGGATCTCCATCAAAAGTTGGCTATATGGATAAATGGCTTAAATCCATTGATCAAGAAACTCACCCAGAACATAGACTTCGTCCATCTAAAGAATATTTAGAATTAATTCATTCACATATGACTGATGGTCGCTCTTCCATTTCATTTATTGATCCAAATGGTGGGCTAGAACCTGTCAAGGCTTACATTTTCGAATTTTCACCACAAGATAAGATAATTATTAGTGATATTGATGGAACTATCACCAAATCAGATATTATGGGTCAAGTGTACAGTAGAATGGGTAAAGACTACACTCATCCAGGAATTGCCAAATTATTTCAATCGATAGCTGAAAATAATTACAAATTTATTTACCTTAGTGCCAGACCAATTACAATGTCACAATTAACTCGAGAATATATCAACTCTGTCTACCAAGATGGGTATAAAATGCCACCTGGTCCAATCATTACATCGCCCAACAAGGCATTTAGTGCTCTGGCAAGAGAAGTTGTTATTAGAAGACCTGAAACATTCAAAATTAATTGCCTTGGTTCAATTGCTAGTTTATTCCCAACAGATTTCCCATTCTATAGCGGATTTGGTAACAGACCAACAGATTGCATTTCATATGTTAGTGTAAATATTGATCCAACCAGATGTTACAGAATCAACAAACAAGGAAAATTATTGGTGCAAGCTACTAAAGTCACCTATAATTCTTATGCAGAAATTGAATCTCAATTACTGAAACATTTCCCTAAAGTTGTAAACAAACATCAAAGATCGCAGAGTGATTGTTTCAGATTGAGTGGTGGTAAACTCGTATCAATGAATCTGCCAAAGAAGAAAGATATTGACCTCCTTCGTGACCAATACATGGATCCTGAAGAATTACAAGTTTAAATTAACATGGAATAAAGTAGTATATTCTGAATTGTAGTTTGACTCACAATGTGTCCTACTCGACTAAGAATACTCAACAATAAGAATGGGACTGTTAGTTACTTTCTGACTTGATGAGTCAAACAACACCATTCCAATCTTAAAGATAAATGTATTTTTGAATTTATTGTTTTTGAATTCTTTGCTGATAGATTTGTAAAATCTTTACAAGATTTTGTCTCTTTCTTTCATTCTTTAACTTCTTAGAATTTATAGCAATTTCAATAATATGTAAATGTTTTGTAATAATATATTCTAATAATGGAAAATACAAATCTTGATTCAATTCTAATAATTCAAATGCAGGAAAACTTAAATATTCAATTATAAAAGAAGGATGATTAACTCTCATTACAATATTATATTCAAGTTTTTTAGTGGAACCAATTAAAAAACCAATTAATTGACCATCAAATGTCAAAACAGGTGAACCACCCATTCCACACAATGCAGAGTTTGAAACAAGAATATAATTATCATTGAAACTCTTAATTCTTCCTAAACTTCCAATTTTGAAAAATGATAAACCAAAAAAGTTATCAAAATCGTCTCTGTATAAAGGAAAACGATCGTTTTCATAATTATCAAGATAATATTGCTTTGTTACACGTTTAGGATAACCAATTAACATGATAGGATCTTCCAATTTAATTGGATAATTGATATTTGGAATAACATAATTAACATTTGCCTCAATGGGAATAGCTCTATTTGGCTTTTTTCTTTCTAATAGTGAAAAATCAAACTTTTTCTTTGGCTTTTCTTTAGTTTCTGGCAATTTTTCTTTCATTCCAAGTTTTCTAAATATTTTAGCATGTAACTTTTTTTCTAATTCAACAATTTCACATCTAAACCAATCTATTCTAATTTTAGCTAAATTTTTCTGATTCACCATCGTGTAATGATTATTAGTAGAATAATAAGAAGCTTGAGGAATATAATGAACAAATGTTCTGGTGGTACTAGCAAATGAAGGTGAAAGTTGAAATCCTGAAACTCCACTTCCAACCACATCTGATACTATTCTTGCATAGCAATAACATTGATACTTTACAGTTTCTAACCACTGAGTGTCATACTTTAAATATTCTTCAACAGGATATCCCTCAACACTCTCTGGAAGATCTTGAGAGTATCTTAGTCTTTCAACTTGTGGATTTTCTCTTGCAAAGATTGGTTGATGATGAGGTGATAACGTCTTACATTTCTCCTCCCACCAAAATATATAACCAAGTATTCTTACAAAAGGCTTGTTCACAACCTTTGATGAATCATTCTCATCATATAAAAGATGAGTTTCATCTTCTGATACAGTTTCATCACGCCAATCAATGATAACATCTGGTCGTTCCATTTTTTTGTTTGCAAATCTGGCCACTTTCTTACATATGATGGGGTTAGCAAGGATAAAGATAAATTTTATGGGACATTTGCAGAATATCCACCAAAAGATGAAACTCAACAATTTAGGTTCTCTCGATCCCTTTACGATAGAATTGTTGATCAAGAATATATATCCCTTACTAGAGAATATTTTCCAATAATTCATCCCGATACCAAGTATGATTTTTCATTGTTAAGGTCTGTTAAACCATTAGAGTGTAGTTCAAAAAGGAAGTTCATTATTCCATCTACTCACATTCTAGAAAGTGGAACGCCAGTAATACTTATTGGTTTTCCACTATTTCCTTCTGAATCCTTCTTTAATGCTGAGGTTATAAGCCAGGACTTAAAGGAGGAATTTAAGAAATTCACCTACAATAGTAGAACAGCTAGTTTGGGAGTTATTTCAGCCATTAATTCAAACTTTCTATTGATAACCAGACTAGTCCTGGAATGTCTGGATCACCTGTTTTTACTTTTGAAGGAGAGCTAATTGGATTTCTAGTTGGTGCAAAGAAGGAAATTAACCTTAACATTGTTCTTAGCATCAATCATCCAACATTTGTGATTGAATATTTGAGTTTTCCAGCTCTTGAGTTACTCGAATTACATGAAGATTATTATTTACCATTGTTAAAACCGTTTATTTCAAAGCATTTCAATTTAATTGAAAGTACTGTAGATGTCAACTTTATTAACCAGGACCAGAGAGACAATTTAGAAAAGGTTAAACTTATTTACCAAAGAATGGTCAATGACTCGTTTTATAATTTGAGTGAAATTAAATTTCTACCACCATTTGAAATTGGCGCCTATGAAGAACATTTAAGATTGATTGAAGAATCATGCGAACCTATCGCTATAACCTATTCTGAGTTGAGATTGGTTTTATGTTATGAAAAAGCAAAATTATTCGAGAATAGTATTAAGGATGAGTTGCTTAACAGATGTTCCAAAGGATATAAGAAAACAGTTGAAAGAATGCCACTTCAAACTTGTGAAAAGGTTTTTGATTTTTACTTTCAATTCTACAATGAGAATGTTGCAAAAAAGGAAAAGAAGTACTAGAAACAATTTTTGAATTTAAATTACCTTACTTGCCTGCCTTTGGTGATCAATCATGGACCTTAATGAAAGATGATGAACCAATTCACAAACTGTATATATCTCATAGATCTGATACACGTATGGTAACACTTACTTTTGTTTAGTGAATTTGTAAAATTAAGATAATTGTAATAATATTGTAAATAAAATTAATGAGTGATTTTCAAAAGAAGGAACTCAAAGCAGCTTGATCTAAATTGACATTCAATAATTCCAAATCATTTCTTAAATCAACCTTTTTTATCACTCAGAGTTTAAAAAATTTCAATATTGCGTTTTATCGCTGTCATCTTTGACAAGATTTCAATCTGACCTCCGTAATTGATTATTTAATGACATTCTAAACTTATGAGAATCATAGGATCACAATCAGCAAAACAACAACATTGAAAATCTTGTGGTGACTCCAAAAAAACTGTTCAAATTGTATTTTCTTCGCCAGTTTAAGCTTATTTCCTGGAGCTCAAAATTAGAAGTTAAACAATGAAAGATGACAATTTTTAAAGACTCCTGACACCAAAATATCATCTTTCTTCAAGTCCAACATGAATACTCAAACATAAAGAAAATGTCATCACTCAAATCCATCAGACATGCTGCCCTCATCCACAAACCTCTACTACAACAGGTTCTCTCTGTTTTAACAACACACCACAGCAACAATAGATTGTACCATCACCAAGATTCCACAAAGGAATCCATAACTATTTCATCTGTTGCTGCCAACACTGAAGCCAAGTGTCCCTATCATAAAGAGGATGGTACAGTAGATGTGGCCAAATCTGTTGCCAAACCATTTGGAGAAATTCCAGGCCCTAAGCCTCTTCCAATTCTTGGTAACTATCTGGATATCAAGAAACACTCCAAGAATACAATGAGTTATTTTCTTGATTTGTGTAATGAGTATGGAGAGATGGTCAAGTTGACTGCTTTAAACAAAAATATGGTTATCATTTCAAACCCATACTGGATTGCTGATCTTGCCAGAGTTGAGGAACGTAGAACAGTTCTAAATCCTTCAAGATATTACAAAGAAAGCCGTGGTTATGAAATGGTACCTATTGAAATGAAGATTGAAGAGAATTGGAATGAAATTCGTCAAATCTTCAACCTTGCCATGAAACCAGAGTTTCTCGATCAAATCGTGGTACCTCAACTGACAGAAATGAACAGTGATTTGATCAGACAATTGAAGAAGAACTTTGTAAAAGTTGGTGAAAATCAATTCAGACTTGATGATGGTCTCGAAGCAACTTCTAGATATGCATTCGATGCAATTATGAAAATTTTCTTTGGTGTCAAAATGACTGAAGAGCTTGAAAAGAGTTTACCATTCAAACTTGACGATTTCTCAAAGAAAGCCATCACAATTCTTGATTTGTGTGGAAGATTAGATTACAAGTTCCCACTCTACAAATATTTCAAGACAGAGGAGTACAAGACATTGGAGAGTTATTACGATCAAGTGATTGACAATGCCAGATATTGTGTTGAAAGATTTGGAGCTTCACAACCAGAAAATGCCAAGCCAAGATTTTACGAAATTCTTGTAAAGAAGGCAGAGGGAGCCACCAACTCAAATGAAAAGGTGTCAACAGTTCTCTCTACATTTATTCAGGGAGGTGTGGATATTACAAGTCGTATCATGAATTTTATCTTGTACAGATTGGCTCATCATCCAGAATATCAAGAAAAGCTCTATAACGAGTGCCTTGAGGTTTTTGGTCCTCCGGCTTTGGATGAAGTTTCATCTGAAAATGGACTAATCATCACCCCAGAGCAATACAAACAACTCAAGTTGGTGAGACAATTTGTTGAAGAAGTTTTAAGATTCAATTCATTTGCTTACATTACAATGGGAAGACAATTGAATTCTGATATTGAAATTGGTGGATATATTCTACCAAAGGAAACTATTGCAATTTTCATGAATTATTATCCAAGCATGAAAGATGAATACGTTCCGAGAGCTTTGGAATTTATTCCTGAGAGACATGAAAAGAAATCCCCTCTTGCTCCAAAATCAATGTTTTCTTCAATTCCTTTCGGAGTAAGTTGTTTCTTTTTAATTTTACTGATTCTAAACATTTCTCCTTTCGAATTCATTTTGAAAATGTTGAAAATGTGAATAATATAGGTTGGTGCAAGGTAAGTTATTTGTTTCTTTTGTAATAGTATTAACTATTTGTTAAGAAAATGTCCCGGAAGTCGTGTTGCAAATACAGAGCTCCATTTCCTTTTGATCAATGTCATTAGAAACTTTACTCTCACAAAGAAACATTCTGAATTCCCAGAAATGGAGACTGACCAATCAATGTTCTACATTAACACTAACAAGTATCCACTATATTTCCATCCAAGAGAACACACAAAGCACTATTTCAATTAAAATTATAAGCAACACTCACTTAAATCACAATAACCGATAGTGAAAAATTAATAAACAATTATTGCTAGTACTCCTTTCCCTTAACCAGTGATTTCTTCCATAGGAATATGAGGTGTTTATAAAAGGAACTTGCTTAAGAGTTTCAGAACTGAACTTTAATTTTTTCCATACAGACAAAAAACTGATTGGGTCATTAAAAAGGTAAGTAGTTTGTAAACATCTTTTTTGTTTTTTACCACTATTTTTGTAAAGTTTTCAAAAATGGACTTTCGATCAAATAACAATTGGGCTGACGATTGATCTACAAGATATTGTGTGGTGAAAAAGGAAACAAAAGCAAAACAAATGCCTTTAAAACATGTTGTGTTTGTATTGTTCTGCATTGTGCTTTCAAGTTGTTTCATAGAGGAGGTTCTCTCTATTTATACCAATGCACCCACAAGTATTATCTTCATTGGAAATGGTCAGGATACACAGGCAGGATTCATTACTGATATTAATAATGATGGCCTCCCTGATTTTGTCATGACTTACTATCAACGTGATTACAATTTTGCATCAACAACGGTAAGTCTTGTAGTTTGTTCTTTTTGAAAATCTGATATTTAAAGTTATTTCTGAATAATGGATGCTTCTTTGTGCGACATACTTCTCCATTTCAACCATTGGAGTATTGTAGAGAGTTTTTCATTAATAAGCAAATGCTTGATTGGCAAACTAAACCTCCGATTGTAAACTTTACAATACCTTCAGAGAATTTTACAGCCATTATACAACTTCCTTATCATCCAGGTTCGTACGTTCTTAGTTTTCTTTATATTCTCAACTATTTCTTGTTACTAATCAACTATGTTGTTCCTCTTCGAATTTCAATGAATTTCAATGGATTTAGGTGATATTCCACTGCTTTTTGATCGTGTTTTTGGAGTGAAAATTAGAGAACCTCACTTGTACTTTTTCAAAGCTGGTACTCCAATTCAGTATCATGCAATTGCAACTGGTGACAATATTGAATATCTCAGAAATCCTCTAAACGGTAGCAAGTACAGTAATGAGGATTCAACTTTTGGACACCAGGATCAAAATCAAGATAATGATTCTGGAGGTAATGGATCTGATAATAATAGTAGTGGAACAACAAATCAGCAAACGGGATCATTGACATCTGGTGCGTCTGGAAGTTCAGATATTGTTGGAGGTAACTCAAATAGTAATAGTGGATCTGTTTCTAGCAGTGGGGATTCGGGTAGTTCATCAAGCACCAAAGAAAGGCCAAGCCGTCCACCTCGAAGAGAGTATGACTACAATTAATTATTCATTACACTGTTCAATTTCTATACCTCAATATAACTAAATTCTTAATCACTAACTCCAGTAAACTCGTTATAGGCATTTCTAAGAGAATTATTTCCAATCATTGTAGAATCCACCTTATTCAGGAATGAATGAGATGGAGAATTAAGTTTTCTATCGTATGGAACTGGATTGGAGATCTTTCCGTGAATTCCAACACTACTTCCGCTTCTTGATTTGGATTTTTGATCTGTACTCCCATAATTTGAGTAGCCAGCAACTTGTGGAGATGAACTATGGGTAGATGAATCAACATCCCTCTCTGTTGCATTATCGTAATCTTCTCTGTTGACATACACGGCAGCATCCATGTCTTCCGTAGATTCATCCCAATGCGTGTAATATTCTGCTGCTCTACTCATAGATTTAATTTTAGGTTTGTAGTTTCTGGAAGAGTTGGATTGTTTGGTGGTGGTTACTGTTTTAGAATTTTCTACTGTCTTTGATTTTTCAATGGATTGAACAGAATTACTACTCATTTTCCACAATGCAAAATTCAAAATAATAAGAGGAATAACCTCTCCAATAGAAAAGTAACAGAAAATAGTGATCCACTGTGTTTCCAACCATGAAAGAAATATTTGAGCAATTAATACTGAACTTCTTCCGATCAACACAATAATGTCTGTCACTGTAACAATACTAATGTACAATATAATGTATAATGCAGATACATTAGAAAATGTTCTATAATTCTTGTAATATTTTCTCAATAAAATCAATCCAAGTATAAAAATCAAAAGAGCACATCCAATAAATAATAATGTAGGAATTGAAACAGCCACTATCTCAATGGCTGTATAGGGTGTTGGATCTGTATAATCGGAGCTATGCTTGGAATCAACAGTAAATTGATAAATCAACAAGCAATCATTTACCACCATGACAAAATACATGACAAAATTGATGGAGAAGAATAGCCACTTTAAAAATCGTGATGAAGTAATAAAAGCAATAAACCAAGTGGAACATGATGAATCATTTTGTTTCCTCTCCTCACATAATAATCTTTTTGATATTATCAATGTTTCTGTCCAGAAGAAAATCATCATTAACATGGTACTTGCAAAAACATATCCTGGCATTGAGCTTACAATAATTAATAATTCTCTATATTCGGAAAATTGCACCACTGAACCTTGTATTGCCAATTGGGCTGATCTTACTGCTGAAAGAATTGAAATTAAAGCAAACATTAATCTCTTATCCGAAAATGTTCTCGTCGATTGTTGTTCATATTGTATGGTTGTTGTTGTAATTGCCACTGATGATGATGTTTCTGTTCGTATGAGAGGATCATCATCCGAGTGTTGATGATCCAATCCATCATCTTGTTTATCATGATCATCATCATGTTGTTTACTAATTATATTGCTTCCAAATCTTCTCATAATAAATTTTGTATAATTCTCTCGATGTTTCATATCAGAGAGAATAACCCTGATGAGAATGCATAAACTTGCCAAACAAATCAAACCATACACTCCCGATAATGCTCCATAGACAATTACATTTTGTGTTGGAATGACCATATTGTGTAATGCTGCTGGAATGAATCTATTATTTTGTTTAATAATTGTCTTGAAATCAATGATGATTTGAGGAAATAACAGTTGTTGATATGATCACACGTTCACAATGATGTTACTTTCATGCACCAATTTTTTATGAACTGCGTTTTCGCTCAATGGCGGGCTAATCAAAGATACGGAACGAGAGATTACAAAATATGATACAATGTGTTTATTCCTTCTTTGGGAAGTAAATGTGTGTTGAAGGAGCAAAATCGACACCATAAACAGCATCCTTATTTTCACCTGGTCTGAGACAATGTCTCTTTTGGAATTCATCAGTTGGTGGTTGAAGTCTACGTTCTTGGAAAGCACGTCCTTGACCATTTTCCAATACCTTGAGGTGCATCACACTACCAGCACCCAAGAGGGCAACACCAAGGATCCAGATTTGAGGCTTGTAGACTATTTGCGATCAAAAACAAGATATTAAGGTATAAATATTAAGATGTTGTGAGGTGGTGCAATAACAGATAAAATCGTTTAGAAAAAGTCAGTTGGTGAACTCGCTCATCAATGAGACCACTTACAGAAATAAGATTGGGTGAGTTTATGCATGCTCATTGTTTGTCGTTGTTTTTTTTTATTGTTTGGTTTAAGGGTTTGAGAGGTTGTTTGTTGTGCTTTAAACCTTTGGCGACTGAAGGCGTTTCAAGGCGTTCGAAAATTGTTCAAATAAGGACAAAAATGGTTCTCAAAGATTACAGAGGTGGTTGTAAAATACACTCTTGTATCTGGACCTGACTCTCTGGTTGAAAGAAATAATTAATATTATAAAAAAGAAAGAGAAACTGGTTAGAACATGAGTTTGAGTGTTCTGTGCTAAAAAGTTTGTTTTTAATGGATCGGGAGATTTTCGGCCCTACATGTTAGCAAATCGGCACTACTTTATAATTAAACGAAGCAAGCTTAATGTCGCCCCAATTACCAACATGAGTGGAAAAATAGATCATAATGGAATTATTGAAGGGTTGATTTGCACACTTTTATCTATTTTATTGACATAGCTGTCATCATTTTTCATCATGTGAAATTTTGCTAGAATTGTTATTAAGGACCAAGACGTACTTGTTGATGAGTTTCAATTTCCAATCGGAGCTAAGATTGTTGATAAAGCTATAAACCGATGGGCTAGAGCTAAGAATGCCAATCATAACAAGTGGTTGAGCATTTGGGATAACATCTAGAAATGTGTAAACTTGGGAAGTTGAATCTTGTGCAGAAAAGTTCAAATTTGAACTAGCCCAGCAGTCAATAACCTTCAATAATGTTGTGATTTCTTTGCATTCAGAATGAATGAGGCCATCAAGGAACATATCTTTACTCATCATTTTGAATATGTGCTCATTTTCGAGTTCGGTACCAACCATCAAAGTACGGAATGCTTCTCTAAAAAGTGTAAACAAAGTTTGAATATTTTCTGATTGTGAAATATTGAAATAAGAGGTACCAAAACTCTTGATGAAAGATCTGGCCACACTTTCTGATGATTTTAGTGCTGCAGTCATAGTATTGGACAATCTACCAATTGTTATTGATTGATAATAGTCTACTATTAGAAATACTTGAAGGAAATCATCAATATGCACATTTACGCTTGTAACTATTGATTTGATAGAAGTGTATAACAATGCTCCACTAATTTTCCCCAGTCTATCTCCAAACATTGAGGTATTCAATTCCAATACATATTTTTCATTTCTCTTTTTACATTTAGTTGTAATCATATTAGAAAGAACTTTGCTTTGATTGCTAACTAGCACTCTATGTGTATCAATACTTCCAAAAAGCTTATCACCTTCATAAATATCAATATCTAAATCAGAGAATTGCATATCAAAAGTGTGAAAATGGCTACTACTAATAGTCATAACTCCTGCATTGATTTGAGGAGTGGAATTGTTAAAAAAACTAAAACTAGAAAAGGCAGGTTTCGTATTTGTTTCATTGAATTTCCAACTTTTGAAAGAGTCACTCTTAATGGTGCCATTTCTGCTTCCTATTTCTTGATTACGGAATGGATCAAAAGTGAGTTTACCTTGAGAAGAAAGTGTGTAAAGCCATCTCCATTCCTCAAATGATCTCTCTTTATACTCTGGCATTGATATGATGGAATAATAGTTTAATAGAATACCAGACAATCCATTATTGTCTTTGCATGTAGTAACTTTAAACCTAGGAAATCTGTTTACTGAAATTGATTCAACCCCATGAGTGTTCTCAGTAGCTGATGAATTCAAAGGATTTTCACTGACCAATGTTGAGGAAACGGTTGGAAAATTAATTGGCAAGTTCAACGTCGGATTCGTATTTAGCTTAAGAAATTGGTTATTCAAATTAGTAAGAGCATTAAAAAGTGATTCTTGTTTTTCGTTAGTGTTGACATTAAAAGTTGGATTTGTAAAATTGGAATTAGAGTTGTTTTGTTCGGAAGTGTTGTTATTGTTGCTAGAAGAGTTTGTCGAAGAGGTATTGAAAACCATTTTTTTGATCTTGATTTTTTAATATTCTTTAAAATTTCAATTGTGTAATATCTTGAAAACGTTTAGCTACACGATACATTTATTGATATGCAATTACGAATTCTGTTGATAAGAATTCCGTAGTTATGCAAATTGGTCAATGATATTTAGTTAATGACAAATGATGAGAAGCCGACATAGCTCAGTTGGGAGAGCGTAAGACTGAAGATCTTAAGGTCCCTGGTTCGATCCCTGGTGTCGGCAAATTTTTAATTAAAGAATCCTTGTAGAGAATTTTTATGCGAAAATCATCACCAAATCCTAATTTTAAGTTCACACGTTGTTTTACAAAACACCACCATTTATGACATCACAAAAAAAATGGCTCAACTAACCACATACATTCCAGATGATATGATTTATTGCATATTGGAATTTATTGATTCTATTGATCGGATCAGAGTGATGCGAGTTTCCAAAACATTTTTTAGGATTTCTCTAAGCGTACCTCTCTCACTGGATTTATCTTTTAAGAAGAGAATTGGTATCCAGAGGTTGTCCCTCATGTTGAAGAGTAGCAAAAATCATCTCCTTAAATTAACGAGCCTAAATCTATCGGAAAATAATTTAACGAAGGAAGTAATAGAAGCCTTATGTAATTGTGATGGTTTTCCAAATTTAAAAAGCTTGAACCTACAAAATAACATGATTCATAGAACTGGAGCAAGTTTTTTGGGGACAACATCCAAGTTTAAACAATTAGAAGAGTTGAATCTGAACTCGTGTTCTATTGATGATGTAGCTATGAGATTAATTTCAGTGAATCAAGATATTGCTGAATCACTTAGATCATTATCTATTCGAAATAATAATGTTGGAAATATTGGAGTGAAATACCTATGTAGCACCATGGTTCATTTAACCAAATTGGACATTTCAAAAAATTCAGCCTTTATGGGAGGAGAAGCAATTGTCAATATTTCAAACAAATTGAGTCAGTTAACTGATTTATCTATCAATGACAATCCTATTGGAAATGTTGCAGAGTTGTGCAAAAACCTTAAAAATCTAACCCATTTAGATTTAAGTAATTGTAAGTTAAATGATAATGGGCTAAAAGAGTTTGCAGAAAATTCGCAACTTGTAAATTTGAGGATTCTCAATCTGAGATCGAATAACATTTCAAATATTGAGCCATTAGCAAAGTGCAAACACATTACAGAACTAAGAATGTTATGTCTTTCTTGTAACTCTATTGGCGAATCATTCGAAAGTTTCATTCAAGTGTCCCGAGTATCAAATCCATTTCCATCCCTACAAGTTCTTGATTTGAGCATGTGCTCAATTACTCAAGAAGTTGCATACAAACTCACTTCCAGCACCATTCTTGATAAACTAAAAGCACTTAATATTAGTGGAAACAATATCGGAAACGCTGAAAATGCACCTCGTTTACAACTCATTAGCAGTGCCATGACATTTTCTCCTAACATGATTATTCAATAAATTGAATGAAAAACTCATCGATATCCATTTTATGTTTCCACCACAAAAACTCATCACTATCCTTCAACAATTCATCTCACCTTCCCAAGAATTCATCATGAGGTTGTTTTTGTAATGAAAAGGTTTAAAAATGAGACAAAAAACTTCTCATTGTAAAGTTTTTAAAAAAACAAAAAAAAAATGGTAAGTGCAATTTGAATGATTCTAATGCTGATAATATGCTTCTTTCGTTGGAAATTTTCAGAGCCAACAACACGGAAGATCACCACCACCACTTTCACCTGGAGGGTTAGTTCCTCCACCATATCATGGACATCCACCAATGGATATGGTTCCTGGAGGTGTACCACTTTCACCACCTGATATGAGACAACCATACGGTGATCAACCTCCACAAGATTTTGATGCCAGACCACCACCAAGGTAAGAAGATGAAGACGTTTCCTCTCATAATTTTATATTTATTTACTAATAATTTATTTTGTATAATTATTTGGTGACGGACTTGTAGCGAGGAAGTTTTGGATCAAGCCAAAAAGGAAACTAAAACATTGTGGTTGGGAGGAATACCATTTCACTACAATGATATGGATTTACGAAGAGTTTTCGAACGCTTTGGAGAAGTTGTTGATGTTAAGGTCGGATATTCAGGCGGTCAGCCTTTAGGATATTGTTTTATTACATTCCATGAAAGAGACGCTGCGGAGAAGGCATTTCTAGCTGTCAAGGACGGATTTATTGGAGATCAACCACCTCAAGAAGGTTTATCGTGGAGAGTTGACTATGATATAGGAAAAGATAAGAAAAAGGAGTTGGGAATACCACCAAGTAGAGGAGGAATGAGAGGAAGATTTAGAGGAGGACCAAGAAGAGGCGGAGGATTTAACAATGGAGGAAGATTCAACAATGGACCACCAATGAGAAGAGGAGGCTATCATCGTGGAGGTATGCATCATCCACCTTATGGAGGTAATGGAGGAAGATCACCACCTTATAACCCACCACCATACGGAATGGGACCAATGGATGGACCACCACCAAGCAATGGACCACCACCATATCACCACCATCACGACCCATATCCTCCTTCCAATTATCCACACAACAATGGAAGAGACAGACCATACTATGGTTCTCAACAAAGATATGAACCATATAGCAGAGTTCCTCCACAAGGAAATTACAACAGAGGTGGTTATAGAGGCGGTTATAGAAGTCCTCCACACCAAGATGCTCATCCTGGTGGTAGCCCTCCTCACTATAGTGGACCAAATGATCGTAGTGGAAACATGGGAAGAAGAGATATTGGTCATAATGGACCACCAAATAACAATTGGTAAATAGATATTGGATTTGTACCTTATATATAAATAATTTGGAAAAGAGTTTTCAATGTAAAGCGCGGAAACACAAATTAAATTCAAATAAATAATCTAGAGACGGATTGGACTTGGTTGTGGAAATATTATGGAAAAAACTCTATTGGATCACTATATATATCGGCAGCGAAACAAATAATCATCATCAGGACGACTACTATTAGTGTTGAATCCATAGTATTATTCAAACAATACTAGGACGCCAAAACTAAACGTCAATAAAAAAAACAATAATTAACACTCTTCAATCACCCTCACCTCGGCACGTGCCGAAACAGGAGTAAACAACAAGTTGAACGAACCAACAAGGATTTTATTCATTCATAGAATTCACCATTCCAACCTTCACTAACATACTAGTGAGGACTTTAACTAGTAAACGACATACCATATATTGAATGAAAAGAATATATTCTAACAAATACCTACAAGATGCCCAAATGTTTGTATTTTTCCCATTTAGAGCCTCCTCAACCTCTAATGTTCATCCAATTACCAAGAACTTGTTTATCCAACAAAGGCCGTACTACCATCAATTAAAGCATTTGGTGTTGAAATAGGGCTTGTAGCACTTCGTCTTTTACTGCCATTTTGTTCACAGTAATTATAGCTGGTGGTATTCACCCATTATTCCAACACGCGTCTTTAGCTGCTGCCGTATGTAAATTTAGTGGAAATTTAAACTTGTCCCACCTTAAACTTTGCCCCTTAAGGGAAAACAAGCAAAGTAAATATCTTTACACTTCAAAAAACAATAAGAACACACAAAACAGAAAGGAAATTGTGATTCTTAACACATTTCACATTAATTCAACACAAAACAACATGAAAATCATCTACTCAACACATAACAGACACTTCTTGCTGACACTCTCACTTCTCTTGTTGTGTTTGGCACATCTCATTACAAGAACTACAGCAATTTCTTGCCCCAACGGGACGGATACAGTGGCCATACAGTTGGGATGGGTTTTTCAAGCACAGTATGCAGGTTTTATAGCTGCAAAGGAGATGGGATACTTTGAGAATGAATGTCTCAATGTTATTATTAAGCAAGGTATGTTTTTAATTTTATATGGGTCGTACTAACTTGCATACTAATCAATGTTCCTTAACATTATTTTAATTATCACAATTATATAAAGGAGGAGCTGGTGTTGATCCAATAGAGAACATTAAATCAGGTTCTGCACAGTTTGCAGTTATTCTCTTCTCTAGAATGTTAGTAGCAAGAGCCATTGATGGTGTCAATCTTGTGGACGTGTTTCAACACTTTAAACGATCTGCAACTGTTATGGTGAGCACTAAAAAGTCTGGGATTACTAAATTTCCACAATTCAAAGATAAGAATATCGGTTATTGGTCTGGTTATGAGTAAGTATTCTGATCAAGGAATTCTTGAGTGATCAAAATAACATGATGGAATAGATATTCATTGAAAGCAACCATGAGAAAGTACAATATCAATCCAGAATCGGAGCTCAGCATGAGACAACAATCATACTCTGCACTTCCTCTAATCACACAACCAGACAGATACGATGTGATTATGGCTATGGTTTACAATGAACTTGCTCAATTACTGGAAAAGTTAAAAACAGACAGTAAGACAGATCTGTATACACTCAATGATTTTAATGTGATGGGATTCAATGAAGAAGGGACTCAAATGTATGAAGATGGTCTCATGATGAATATGGACTGGTTTAATGCTAATCCAACAAAGAATAGAAATATTGTTATTCGTCTCATAAAGTCTATCATTATGGGATGGATATTCTGTCGTGATAATGAAGATAAGTGTATTAACGTTCTTCCAGATCAGACATACCATCAACAGTGGATGATGCGTGAAGTAAATTCTCTCATATGGCCAGCAGAAGTTGATGGAATGGGTATTGTCAATTCCACAATAGCTAAACAGTCTATTGACATTTCCACCCAATTCCAAATCATTCCAAATGCCAGTTATGGTATTGGAGCATATACTAATGAATTTGTTGAGCAAGCTTATATCTCATTGAGTAATGACGTTAAATCTAGTAAGACTGCATCAGTATTTGGTGATTTCTCTGCACTCGGCTATATTCACCAGCGAGTTAACTTTTGTTATGATCAAGTGAAGGAAACAGTATTCATTTGTACTGGTAAAGTTGATAACACTGTTGTCATTATTGCAGTTCTCGTGTCAGTATTGGGAGTTGCCTTAATAATTGGTGTATTGATTATAATTGGCATTGCATGTGGATGGAGATCTCACATTAGAAAGAGAAATAAGGTTATTGCCTATGCTCCAACTGCAAAAGATGGAGAATTCCCAATTATTTTCACAGATATTCAAGAATCCACCAAGTTATGGAGTGAAGCAACAGAAGATATGAAAATTTCACTCAATTTGCACAATGTCTTGCTGAGAAAATTATTGGAAGAATATCAAGGATATGAAATCAAAACTCAAGGTGACAGTTTCATGGTTGCCTTTAAGGATTATTTGAATGCTATTAGATGGATGTTGAGATCTCAAAGTGAATTGATGAAATTGGATTGGCCAACTAATGTAATGAATTTCAAAGAAACTGCATTCAAAGTTGACAAGTTTGGTAACATTATCTTTAGAGGAGTGCGTGTTAGAATGGGAACAGCAATCTGTAATCCTGATGTACATAAGGATAACGTTGGTAAATTGGATTACTTTGGTAATTCTGTAAATTTGAGTGCCAGAGTTGCAAGTGCTGCCAACGGAGGTCAAATTATTATTCACGATAATATCTATGAGCTCATCAAGCATAATTTGCATGATTTAATTGTTGGTGGTGAAATTATGCCTCCAGTTGTTAGACCATTGGGAGAATTCACTCTCAAAGGTATCGATGGAGATCAGAAACTGTACGAATTGTTGCCATACAGTTTGAGAGAAAGAAGTAATGAATTCCCACCAGTGAGTACAGGAATTAAGGGTCACATTTCATTTAAATCAAAGAGTGCAACCTATTTATCAGAAAGTGATGGAGTTTCTGCCTCTACTCCTTCGTATGGTGGTGATGAGACTCCAACAGATGAAGAAAGTCAAGAGTTGAACTAGCCACATTTCCAATTAAATTATTATATTAAATTATTTACAACAAAGCTGCTGTAACAATGGAAAATAATTGATCCAATATTATTTTCCATTCTCCATCAATGAGTCTATTACCAATATTTGAAATGGTTCCGTTGGAGAAGGAATCAGACCATCTATCAAATACCAATCCATATCCATACTTGTTATTTCTTACATCACAAATCATACTTTCAGAGCTATAAAAAACTTGGAAGTAAGCAAAGCATAGTAATGGTTGACCAAGGAATAGTGATATCCACATTGAAGTATTACCAAGTCTATTTAAAAAGTTCTTGCTTTTTCTTGATTTCAATTTCTTTTCAACATCAGATTTAAATTCCAATATTCTTCTTTCAAGTTCTTTGAATTTTTCTTCAGCTTTTGCTGGAAGCTGCAAAAGTGATGGAACTTTCTTCATTCCTGACTCCTTTTGTTTATCCTTTTTCTCTTTTCTTGGCTTGTATTGACCAAAATATTGAGCAAGTAACACAAATGGAGCTTGTACAATCATTGCATAGAAAAAGTATAGTTTCAAGCTTCTGAACACCATGGCCATACAGATTTCATGAAGAATTGCTGATGTCAAGAAGGTAAAGAATACAGAAATTGGCTTGGAAATATTAGAACCGAGAGAAGGTTGATAAACGTGACGAAGGAGCCATTGATGTACAGGTCTATTCCAATTCTTCCAGAATGTTTGAAAATCTGGAGCATTCCACCAATCATTGAAAAAATATCTATCACCCCAACAACATAATTCAGCAAGAATATTGAGATAGCAGTGGAAGAATGCAAAACTGAGAATCAACCACAAAACAAACCAAGGCACACTGGTTTTGAGGAGCAAGTATCCAAATTTTCCTAAATTATTAAGAAAGTGTTGATCAGATTTAGATCCTCTAAATGCATCAATAATGTTCTGTGTTGAGCTGTTTTTGTTTTCCTCAAACAATGTGATCAGATGCTCAATACTTGGAGGAGTAAGATCAACACTGGCACTATTTCTAAAAAGTGGTTCCAAATACTGAATAAATATAAACCATCCTACAAGTCCACAGATAAGAATACTGAAAACCTGTTTTAGAATGAAAGAAATTCGAATGGTATTGGTCATTGGATAACTCCTAAAAAAGCACAATGTTGGAGCAAATAAAAAGTAGCAATACTCCCTGAAGAGAGAAATTGGAGATGTTGGTTTTTCAATATTTCTTTCATCGTCGCTATTTACACTCTTTCCTTCCTTCTTCAAAGTAAACTTTCTTCTTCTAATATAATCATAATAACTGTATGCTTTCATTCCATAGATCATCATTGTGAAAACGATTACAATATTCACCATCAATGACAGTCTCTTGATGAAAATTGCCACTACAAATATTCCAATATATGAAAATGTAGATCCATAAAACACCAATGTCTCAATAATTGTTATTAACTTGTCGACAATTGATCCATCTTTTCCAATAAGTGGCAATAAATACATTCTCAAAGAACTATTCAAATAAATTACAGAATTATAAGTCAATGTAAATATTAATACATCAACACAAGATCTTTGAATTAACTCATCACTTATACAATGTAATAAACCCAGATTCGGAAATAATAAACCTCTCTCTGATAAATTATCAATCATTGTTCTTATCACTGCTGCAACAAGAAAAATTATTGTCAAATTCATAAATCCATCAAAGCTAACTTTCTTCTTCTTCTTTAAATCCAATTCGTCTTCAGAATCCGACTCTTCAAATGTTAATAATGATGGACGTTCCAAAAAGAAATCCTCAACTGTTTTAGGCTTTCTAGCATGATCCACAACTAGGTTCTTCTCAATTTGTTCTTTACTTTCAGGTGGTGGTGCTTGCATTATCTCTTCTTTTTGTTGAGAATCAACCTTCTCAACCTCATTCACCTCCTCCACTACATCTTGCTTATCTTGTGAGGTTTTATTTCGACGCATTTTTTTGTATTATTAATACATCATTGTTTTAGAAGTTTACAATAAGAATGTCCTCCATCTATTTCCGATCCTTATTAGTCTCATGATGATTTTCAAAAGAACGTTATTGGTTAATTCAATAAATCGTTCAGTTACATTTGTTGTTGGTGAGAAGTGATGTAAGGAATTTCTCGAAAATTTGTAATATCTGGTAATGTTCAGTTTCTATTCGAAAAAGAAAAGATTATTGAACTATTTACTGATCCCATTAGTCTATTCTTTTCAAATAGTTTCATTTGGAATACTTTATATCATAGGAATCAACCATGTATGTGATGAATTTAAATGAAAATATTGAAAAACTCAATATTTCATGTTTCTGAGAAAGAAAATACTTCAATTGAATTGGAATTGAAAACTTCTGCACTTTCTTGTTTGTATTTCAAATTGGTCTCACTCCCAAACTTGTTCATCCTTTGCAAAACTCTCTCCTCGGAGTTTTCACAAAACAATCGGCGAGGATCGAAGAAGAAAAAAACGTTTCACACACTTGCTCATCATCAATTCTCTTTCTCCAAGTTATAGAAGCGAGTTGAAAACAAAACCTTCCATCATCACAACACAACACACAATATTAAATTTTTGAAGAGAGAAAAATTATCTTATTTTGAAATATTTATTTATTATTATTATAATTTTGTTATCATTTTTAAATATATTTATTTTAGAAATGGCTCCGCATCAATATCATTTCAATACGATGGATTCGTCCGAAACTACTACAGGCTCATCAATTATTGTTTCACCAACATTTGACCAAGCCTTTTCATATCAACCATCTGCAGGAATATTAATTAATAATAATAGTAGTAATCACCATGGTAATAGTGTAGAACAAAATGGAATGTATTATTCTGCTCCTAATTATGATGATATTCAAGCAGGATCATATCCACCAAAATCTAAAAAGAAGTCATTGTTTAGTAAGATATTCAATAAGAAAAATCATGAAGACCAAGAAGAAGAAGTTGTCTTCTTTGATTCAACTGGTCAACGAGTTCCAATAGATACAACAAGGAGAACTGATGAAGGTTCTACTCTTGTAGTAAATGACATGAATCATGATTATTTTGTACCAAAAAAGAAATCAACTAATAGTTTGGAAAATGTAAATTCAATTAATACTTCAAATGAAAATTTACCTGATGAGGAAAAGGAAGCTCGAAAATTGAAGAGAAAACAGAGACAAGACAAATTATGGAAGGAATTAATGAGTATGAAAAAGACAGGATTATTTTTCTCAATTTGGAATTTAATTAATGATGTTATTAGCCCAGGTACTGTCAGTATGCCTCAAGTAGTTGCATCCAGTGGTCTTTACATGTCAATTATTTGGTTTGTATTGTTTGGTGTAGTGACTGCTTTCACACTTTGTTTAGTGTACGAATTATCAAGGAGGCATTTAAAAACTACATTACCAGAGTTGGCCATGTTAGGTTTTGGAAAGATTGGATTCTTTTTGACTTGTGTTTTTATATTTTTCTTCAATTTTGGAGGTGCTTGTGCTCAATTACTCATGTTTGGACAGTATGTATTTCTCTAATTTTATAGATTAACACATAATAGAGTTGTTCCTGATCTTTTAGCATATGCATTTGACTCTGATAGTATATTTTTGAGTAGAAGAGCTATCTTAATTTATTTGGCAGTTGCCTTGCTTCCAATTGCTCTTCAAAAGAGACTTGGTAGTTTTGCATTCTTCTCATTTGCAGCTGTTTTTTCTGTATTTGCTGTCACAGCTATTGTAAATTATGAGCTTTTATTTGGACCTAAACGATACATTCCTCACGACAGGCAGGAAGCTTTTCAGTTTGTACATCCAAAGTTTATGTCATCTCTTGGTAATCTGGCGTACATTTATATATGTCACGATATGAGCTTCCACGTTTTCCAAGAGTTGAGAAGAGCTACTAGACTGAGGTATTACATTGTAGTATTTGCGACTGTTATTATGACTGTTATTTGTTGTACAGCTATGGGTATTGGTGGTTATTTGATTTTCTGGGATAGAAATTTGGAAGAAGCCAATGTTTTGGACTTATTCCCAAAGAATGTCACAGCTGCTATTGTAGGAAGAATGTTTTTGACAGTTTCTATTGTTTTCTCAATTCCATATTCTGCATTCATGCCAAGAAATAGTATCATTCTAGTTATAGAAGTTTTGTTTGAAGATTGGTACAATTCAAAGAATGGAATTATTGGGTGCTGGCCAAAAAAGAAGACTAGCACAGAAACCAATGCTCTCCTAAATAATAATCCAGACCTCGATGAAAATGGTGTTAGCAAGAAGGCTAAACAATTGAAGAAGTCTGTAATTCACTATTGTGCAACATTCTTTGTTATGGGGTTGGCCTTAGTTATTGCCCTTTCAGTAACTGATTTGGGAATTGTTTTCAATATCACAGGAGGTGTTAGTGCTTGTAGCATGGCTTATATTTTACCATGTTTACTCGCTTTAAAGTTAGAACCTGGAAGATTTACAATTTTGAAAATCTGTTCTGCCTTAACACTCTTGATGGGATTAGTTATTATGGGAAGTACCATCTATTCAGTTATTGATTCACTCATACACAAATAATTCTTGCATGTTATTGAATGAATAAACATTAAACAATATATATTAGATACGTTCCAGTATTTGTTCAAAAATCCAGTAATGTCATCGGATTTATTGGAAATGGACCTTTTAACATCTTATTTTGAAATGTGGTAATATTCATTCCTTATTTAAACCTGAGATTAATGTACAGATAGAGAAATTTTTCGAGTCGCTCAATAATCTGAGTTGAATCAATAACGAATTTTAACCTCTGCTGCTGCAGTAATGAAATTTAACAACCTTAACTTGAAATTCTTGATAATCCTAACATCATGGCAACCAATCAGATGGCCATTAACGAATGCATTGTGTTGAACATTATTTGAAAAGTCAAACCATTAGACAGGGTTACCTTTTCCTGTTCATTGTCGTTCATCATTTGTGCCATCAGTTTTCGAATCTCAGACAAAAGGAGCAAGGCAAAAAAAAACGGCTTTCTTTGACAGTGAACGAAAACCACCAACAAACACTCTGAATCTTTTCTTCTGAGAGCAAGGTTACAACATCAACAATAACTCACTATAACCTCTCCACATCTCCTCTATTTCTTCTTCTTCTTCGAATATGTACAACACAACAATGCGAACAAGAACGATACCAGTCAATAATAATAGTGCATCATCAACGACACCATCTTTTCTTTTTGATTCAAGTAATAGTGGCGGAGTGATAAATTCAAGCCTCTTTAAAACAACAACAACATCATCGAGTACTAATAGTAGAAATAATAGTTTGCTAATACCTTCTTCCGAAATTTTACTCAATAATGGACAGAGTATACAGCAACAACAACAACATAATTCACTTTTAGATGATGAATTTCAAGATGATTTTACTACTGGTTTTGAAGATACAGCATCAACACCTACCAATAATCAACCTCTCTTTCAAAGTAGTTCTAATCCTATTTTCATGTTGAATAATGCCAGTTCAACGTCTCCAACTTCTTCTTCATCAGAGGCTTTTCAATTTTCATCCTTTGTTGATGACGATGATGGAGGGCAAACAACGAGCGATTCCTACATTTCCAGTTCGTCTCATCTATCTCTTACACCACCTGGACTAACCTACATGATGTCCCAACACAGTATTCAACCAAATAATAATCACTCACATTATGGGCAACACACCACTACACCTTTAATGAATACCTATAATCCACTATTGAATCCTAATATGATGAATTCACTACAACATAATTTATTTCAACAACAATTACTAAACATGACACCTCCTACAACTAATGAACAAATGTTCCTCAATGAAGATTTGCTGACAAATTCAAGAGAAGATGTAGAACCTCTTCTTGAAGATCAAGATATTATTGCCAATCTCAGTAACACTCTCCTATTCCAACAACAACTACAAAAACTCCAACAACAACAATTACTGCAGTCTACTGGTGGTTTAAACATTCCTAATTCTATACCTAGGAGTAAGCCACAACTAGTACCTCAACTTGGCCCTCAACAAATGTTAAATAATACACAACAACAATATATGAACCAATACAACATGTCACTCATTGAAGAAATGCTAATCAATGGTACAATACCCCCTTCCACAAACTTGGAAGAATTACAACAAGCAATTTTGAGGGCATCAGCTAGTAATCTTCTTCCTTCTACACCACCAAGTGTTTCTTCATCTCCTCCATCTGCATTCCATCTTCAACAACAAAACTTGGCACAACAAAATTTAGCACTCTCTAGACAATTAGCTCAACAGCAACAAGTTGTGGCATCTATGATTGGTTCTCAAATGAAGTCACTCCAAGTTGTTCAAGAGCTTATTCAACAACAACAACAGCAACAACAACAAACTACTAAACCAGCAGTGTCCACTCCAACCAGCACAACCTCTTCAAACTCCAGTATCACAAGAAGCAAAACTATGCCTTCAATATCCTCAGCGTCTTCCAGCAATATTATCCCAATTTCATCCTTGTATCCACAAACTTCTAACAATAGAAATCCACAAAGACCAAAATCTAATTTACCAAAACAACCAACAGAACAAACAGAGGTCCAAAATAATACTGAAGAGTCTGAAGATTCTGCCAATAAGAATACTATTGATCTTGATGATGCTTACGAAAATTATGCTTTGAATTCCAATAATTTGAGCTCTGTTGAATTGTATAACACCATGATGAATACTCTTCAACAGAATCAAAAATTACTTGCGAATGCATATGGAAATCTTGCAAATTTGGCTAATACCATCACTCAACAACAAAATGCTGTTTCAGGTATGAAAAGATCTACCTCAACTACAAGTGTCTCTAGTAATACATCATCTTCTAGTCAGACAAGTGGATATCCATATAGCTCAATACCATTCAGCCCTTTGAGTAGATCTCAATCAATGAACTGTCTTTCATCCATCAATGCTAATAATTTACACATTCCAACTGAGTCTTCTCTTACTTCATTTGGTGAACAAATTGTCCAGCCTGAAAAGCCATCCTCAAGTGAAATGAAAAGATCAATGAGCACAAGTTCTATGAGAAATTTGAAGAGAGCCAAGTCCAAGAAAATGCCTCCTACCAGAAGTAGTGATAATCTTACAGGATTACTTGAAAAAGAAATGGATAAAGAAACATCTAAAAAGAGAAAGAATAACAACTTTAGCAAGAAGGGACGTAAAAAGAACCATTCAGAGTCCAGTAACGATTTACTTGCTCTAGAGAAGAGTGCTGAGTCAGAATTGAATAACACAACAGAGAATAATAATGATACTGAAACATCAGAGACACTAGAAGTTCCAACACCTACTGATTCAACTCATTCTGCTGATTTTATTGTAGAAGAATCAACAACACCAAGAGAAACAAGACCAAAGGCCAAATCTGTCAAAATTGGTGGTGTGATAGGTGGTGTCAGAAAAGCACATTCTATGGATTCTATTGCACTTGCTGCTCAAAACCAACAACAATTTGCTCCTATGGATCCACCATCTGAACCAAAACAAAAGGCTATTAAGGCCAAATCAAAGAAGGCTCTTGCATTCCAAAATGAAAGTCAACAACCACCTGTGCCCGGTGCTGGCATGTTTGTAATGTCTTCCTTCCAACCTCCACCACAATGTCAAGGCAATAAGAGATGGAAATTCCATGAGTTTGATAACGAAGACAAACCTATTAAGGATAATGATAGTGGTTTTACCTTCCACTTTTATAAACCTACCAAAAATTAAAAGCATTCTTCTGTAAACATTTCTACAAATTGTAAACTAAAATAATTTGTATGCCAAAATCTCTTACCATTGGAAGCACGAGTTCATTGTTTGTAGGAAGATTCCACTTTTACCTGTTGCCAAAAAATTACAAGGATTCTTACGCATTGTAAACTAATGAACCTGTAAATTCCCCGTTTGTCATCCTTGTTGTGACATTATCCAGCTGACTTTCCTTTCACATCAAACAATTTCTTCAACAACAACATTCTACTACATTCGAATAACAAAATTTCAACATCAAAAAAAACATGTCAAAACTCTTAATCACCTTGTGTTTACTCCTCTCCTGTGCCATCCTCTTGGTCAATGCCCAAACCTACTCCAACTGTAAAGACTTTGGTAATAGTTACAAGGCAGAATGGACTGTCGCCAATGGAACTTTGACAGCTCGTTTCACAATTCCAAATTCTTCTGGTTGGGCTGCTGTTGGTTTTAAAAATTCTGGATCAGGAATGAGTGGTTCAACCATTCTCATTGGATCCAAGTCTACCATTTCTGGTGAAGTAAGTTTTCATTGTTGTATTTATCAATTTTTTTTAACATTGTTATTATTTTTTTGTAATGTATTTAATATATTATTGTAAAACTATTATACAGTATTATGCTAGTGCCAATACTGCTCCAACTCAGACTGCCAGTAACTTTACCTCTGCATCTTCATCCCTCTCTGGCTCAACCACAACTTTAACTTTGGTTCGTCCACTAACTCGTCCATCCTCCTCTCCAGCCACCTACTATACCTTTTCAAGTGGTACCTCAATGGATATCTTATTTGCTGCTCACAATTCTAATTCCTATCCATCCATTCATGCAAGTACTTATAGAACTACATTGAATTTATTTGCATCGAGTACTTGTGGAACAACTAGTGCAGCTACTGCTACTACTACTATTGGAAATGGAGTTGGTTTGATGGTTGTGGTTGTTTTGGCTCTTGTTGGATTGTTGGTTTGTTAAATAAAAGCTAGCTTCAAATTTTGTTGTAATTTTTGAATGTTGAGCCGTAAAGATGTCAGTGGTCAAAAATTGGAAAGGATTCTTTCTGTAATTGGACTGTTTGCCTAATTGAAAGATATTCAATCTTGTAAAACGCCACTCACTTTTCATCAAATTACTGCATTTTACAATGTATCATCCAATCGTAAAATTCTTACAGGCCTCAATCTTTTCCAGTTGACTAGAAGTGTCACTTGAAAATTTCACACTTTCCAACTTTTTGATCTATTAATCTCTTAAAAAAATGTCAAGATTCGTAATCATTGCCTTGTTTTTAACTCTCATTGCTGCTACACTCATCAACGCCCAAACCTATTCGAATTGTAAAGATATTGGAAATGGATACAAGGTTGAGTGGACAGCTGATCAAACAGGAAACAAACTTTCTGCTCGTTTCACAATTCCAAACTCTTCTGGTTGGGCTTCCATTGGTTTAAAGTCAGGTTCAACAACCGGAATGACAGGTGCCACTATTTTGCTTGCCACTCAGTCAACCATCACTGGTGAAGTAAGTTGTGCTATTTATTTGACACTAATTTTTACACATTTCTTCACACAAATATTAATTAACACAAACAGTTCTATGCTTCTGCCAACAGTCAACCATCAGCAATTTCAGGAGCTCCATATTACACCTCTGCCACATCTTCCATTTCTGGCTCCACAACAACCATCACTTTGGTTCGTCCATTAACTCGTCCAGGCACAGCTCCTGGCACCTATTTTGAAATTGCCAAGGGAAACTCTATGAGATTATTGATTGCTTCTCATTCCTCATCTGCCTATCCAAACAAACATGATTATACCAATTCAATTGTTTTGGACTTTTTCACTGCTAGTACTTGTTCTCAAGCTCAAACTAGTACCAAGGCAGCTACTTCGACTAAGGCAGTTACTTCTAGAAATGAAGGTAATAGTAATGTGTCATTGTCATGGGAAAGAATGTTGATTGTCATTTCAATGATCATGACATTGTTTGTAACATTGTTTTAAATAAATTTACAAGACAATAAAGTAAAATATTATGAAAGAGTAGTATTGTACTATTGGAGAATTGGAGTTTCACTTTACAAAATAATGAACAAATTAGGAAATATTTAGTCAAGTCCTTTAATAACAGTTTAAAAAAATGTCCACCTCCACCTCCTCATCAACAACAACAGCTGTTGTTACTTCACCAGCAGCAACTCCATCTTCATCAGTCGTTGTTTATAAATCGTTTGATGAATTTTATCCATTCTATATTTCACAACATTCCAATGCCATTTGTAGATCTTTGCATGTGATTGGAACTTTATCTTCAACTGCAATCGGTGGTTATTTATTATATAAGAGAAGATTTAAATCTGCCTTGCCAGTCATGTTACTTGTTGGATATGGATTGGCTTGGATTGGTCATTTTGTTTTTGAGAGAAATAGACCTGCAACATTTACTTATCCACTTTGGAGTTTTATGGGAGATTGGAAAATGTTATTTGAAGTATTGACATTTAAGAGAGGGTTGACTAATTAGATATTTGGTTTATTTTATCCTCAATTGCATTGTAGAAAGTAATGAGATGGTCATGTTCAAATAATTGTGGGAATTTCTTTCTTAATATATGCAACATTCTAAAATCATTTTTCAATCTTGTTAATAATTTTCGTTCAAAGTTCATTCCACTATCTAATATCTTGTCATAGTGAATTTTTGCAACTTGAAATACTGTAATTACTACTAAACTTATGAAATGAATGGTGTAATCAGGTAAAACAGCATACAGATCACTCAACTCATCAGCAAATTCATTTCTAAAATTCAAACATTTTCTAACATTTTCAATATCAATATCATTTCTGCCAATGTTCATCAAGGTGAGAGGACTAGAATAATTGATAACAACTTCATGCAATACCAGGAAGCTATAGCTTGTCGTGAATATTTTCTGGAATGTGAAAACCAAGTCTGCATATCTATGGGTAATCTCAGTTGGGATGGTAAGAGAGCTTACCTCTGATTCAGTCATTTTGAATCTATCAATTGTGAGTTTTTTCAATAATTTTCCATTAAAATCCAATACTCCAATGATCATGAATGGTATATTTGGCTGATCTTTCAGTACAATATTTGGTGAAAGAAGTAAGTTCAGCAAATCCTTCTTTCCCATTCCAATAATAAACAGTGCTGTACCAAATATATACTTGTTAACATAGGAAGAAAATAAATATTTAGGGTCATCTAATAGCACAGATGACGTTCTCGTATAGGGTTCAAAAGTTTGAGGTGTTGAATATCCAATATATTGAGGCAATCTCTCTTGGAAAAATCTAATATCGTCTAATTTAACACCACATACTAATCTGTATTTCAAAACAAAGATTTCGTCTGGTGTTAGTCCTTGATAAAGAGAGGCAATAGGATCCACCATTGCTCCTAGAATGCTTGATGGCAAGTAGCTCTGATTTCTGTAAGTAGGAAATCTATTCTTCAGCATGATATCTGCCTCATTAAGAAAATGGCTTGCTGTAGGAATAAATCCCAAACATAAACAATATTGTGAAAGCATCAGTCTTGCACTAATTAAAAATAATGAATTGTGATCTCTATTACTAGAAAAGTAGACATCTGAACTGCTTCCATCGCTCGATAAACATAAAACGCTAGAACCTTCTGATCCATTTGCAGCAACATCCAAACATAAAATTAAATTCTCAATATTTGATGGATCGTACTGCAATAATCGAAGTGACTTCTCAAAACTCTTAAAAGATACATCTCGTTGTTCAAAAACAAACAAATTCACTGCATGTATTGCATAGATGAGTGAGAGAACATCCTCAGGATATATTTGAGTCATTTGGTCCTCATCCACAAATTCATAAACTCTCTCAATTGTTTTTTCACTCAGCAATGTCGTTCCAAAACTATTAAGGTAAATAGATGGGTATAAACAGTAAACTTACGCAATATACTGTGTGTAGTAGGTGTAAGCATCGGTTCGGAATGTTTTTAACAATAGCTTCTCATCCAAGTGATTTGTCATTAATTTGTACATGAATGCTCTATATGTTTTATGTTGTTGTTGTTGTGATCGTTCAAATTCTTGTTGAGTGGCATGCAAATTAATAGATTGTGCATTTGATCCTAGCAGGACTATTACTATCCATATTTTCCAAAGTGGAATTTGAAGATGCAACAACATGTTGTTGAAGATGTTCATTTCTACTTGGTCTTTCTCTCCTCTTCTTCTTTTTCTTTTCTCCTACACTGAATTTGTAGACCTTATATTTCGATTGGGGATTTTGCAAGTGAGTCAATGCAGAAGAAACTACATTCTGATTCAAATCAACAAATTCTGCCATGTAGTTTTTCCTCAACTTTTTGGGAGTTTCGTAAATGCATGGAAGGTTATTCTCCATGCAATATGAACATGTTGGAAGTAGTTTATCACATTTGGTGTGTCTAGATCGGCACCGATTACATGAGATGGGATGTAGTGATGGTGGTTCTTCTTGACCACTTCCATGATTATTTCCATGGTTATTGTTGTTATTATTATTGGGAAGAATACTATTCGATAAATGTTTGGTCTTATTAACCATAATGTTGAATGTTGTTGTTGTCCTGACAAGGTTTGTTTGATGTTATTTGTTACTACTCGGAAGACTATTCAAACGGAAAGCCTTGGAATATTAGGTCGGAAAAAACAAGCCTTTTTTCTTATCGGAACTGGATGGGTAAATTGTCTCTAAGAGAAAGCAATGATTTGTTTTTTTGAATAATTGTTGGTTCAGGTCAGTGGTTTGGAAGAAAAGGGAGGCCACAACATCCAAACAATTGTTACAGTACCATTTGTCCTTACTTTGGATGCAAGGAATAAACTGAATAAGAATAAATGGATATCTCCTACTGAGCTTTTTAGGAAATAGATGCAAGCCTTTATTGGACAGCTGCAGCTGCAGTGGTGGTATTTTGGTTGGTGGTGTTGGATTCAATCTTTTTATCTTCCTTTGGAGGTGTAATGGTAAGCACATTAATCTTTAAGAAACCAGCAATGGAATGACAAACACTCAATGCAAAATTAAAGTAAATTAATGCCATTGTGAAACTGTAGAAGGCCAATCCCCAAACTCCAGCAAAAACACCACACAATTGAAGGAAGAAGATGATAATATATCTAATATCCAAAATGTTTGGAATCTTTCGTTTCAGTAAGTGAGCAAGAGTAACATTTGATGCCAAATATCCGAATTGGAAACAATATCCAAGAATTGCAACAAGAGGAATAGTATTCAATGCTTTGGTGTTGATTAAGAAGGCCAAGACCATGAATGCAATATAACAAATGAATGGGAAGAGTTCAATGAGTGGTTTGATAGATTTGTTGAGCATGAGAACTTTCTTCATATTCATTAAAGCAGAAACAACAGCCAATGCAGCAGATCCTCCAATACAAATAAGATGGAAAGGTGGACAACTTTCCCATACGAATCCTAATGGTTGCCATTGGAAAACAGCTGCTCCTAAACACAATCCAATAAGTTGTGAAAAAACAATTGACAATACTCCTTCAATTGGTCCATTGACGAAACCCAAATACAAATATCCAATATGAAATTCTTCCCATGTAGCAGTAATGAAAGGCAAATCTCCGGAAACTACAAGTAGTAAGAAATAAAACCATTTAACATCGATACTGAATGTGTCTAAATTGAGTTTTAAAATCCACAATTCTCGAATATTACATACCTGATAATTGCCATACTCCATAATTTCCAGCTGCTGCAGTAGCTAAAAAAGCCATACCACCCAATGTACAAGTTAAGGCATCAACACCGTGATCAAACATTTCTCCAAGAGGAGAGCTTTGTTTCATATTTCTAGCTTGCTTTCCGTCCAAATTATCAAAGGTTTGATATAAAAAGATGCACAATGCATTAATGAAAAACACCCAACGAGGGAGATAACCCATCAGGAAAGTATCTGTGACAAAGTTTTGAGAAAAGTTGCTTGTACTGTTCAAAGATTCATTAAATGGAGAGGTTTGATTTCTCTCTAAAAAGAATTGTGTTTGTTCGGAAACACAAAAATCAGTGATTGAATGATAAGTAGCATTTGGAATTACTGATTTCATTCCACCAACTTCTGCAAGAAAATGTACATGTTGACAATAGTACATTGAAAAACCTCCCCAAGCATAAATATAAGAGAAAATCAAACTGATGCAAATAAAAGAAAACCCAGTCAACGTTATCATATTTGGAGCAATCCACTTTGGAAATAATTTGATACTAGTCTCGTAAATATATGGATTTAAAATATATTTTCTCAATAGAGAATCATCAACACCATTCGATTTGTATCCAATTAAATTTTGCAACTCACTAGGCTTGGCATTAACGTCATCATACACAGGAGGAAGTGTCTTTCCGACATTGCTATTAGGTGATGATATCACTGCCGATGACGAATTGGTAGAAACAGCAGCAGCTTGTTCCGAATTTTCTGTGTGTTGTTCTTGTTCTTGTTGATCATTGTCAACCAATTCTTGTTGGTTATTATTCTGCTCTGATGATGATGGCATCTTAATGAAGAGATTCTTTTGCAATTTTTTTAATCAAATTTTTCAAAAAGCAAAAATCACCAAGAGAAGCAAAGACCGCTCTCTTTATCCTCCGTTGAAGGTTCTCTAGTTTTTTTCATTCACACAAGGAACCATTGGTTTTCATGATGTTGCATTGAAGAAATTTTCCCTTTTGAAACTTCATTTGGGAGTAAAATAAAGGCTATTGGTTGGTAGTTAATTAATAATCATGATTACAATATTATTGATGTTGATATTTTAACACTTCGAGTTGGTGATCGAAGTCAATTGAGTAAAAAATGATTTTATTGAATAGGGGATTGTGTTTATAAAAACTTATTAAAATAAAAATGTCTTCATCTGATCACAGCAAGGACGAAAATCTTTCACCACCAAGGAAGAAAACTAAACCATCCAATCAAGAAGAAGATGTAGATTTTGACTACTTGATTGCACATAGCAATGCTTCCGATTTGTTGAAAGCAGATAAGGGAGTATTCAAAGAATGGATCATTGAAAACCAAGACAAGTTTGGCAAGATTGTTGCATCAGAAAAGAATCCTGAAATGATGAATGTTTTGGTTGATGCTGCTGATTTATATCTTCTCGATTGGTTGTTTGTTGCAGATGAGAATGAAAAGAGTATTGATGATGAAGAAGAGTATGAAATAGATTACTCCACTAATAGATTGATTGATAAGAGAACAACATTGTGTATGGCATGTGAATTGGGCAATGGAGAGATGGTGAAATTGCTTCTTTCAAAGGGTGTGAAAATTGATTTGGGAACAACTACACCATTGTTTGTAGCATGTGAAAAGGGTGATTTGGAAATTGTTGAACTATTGCTTTCAGAGAGTAAAAAGTTTGATATTTCAAAGGGAAGACTTGAAGAATCGGTTGGCGAAGATCATGCAGAGTTTGAGAGTTGTTTCAGTGGAGTAACACCACTCTTTATTGCATGTTTGAATGGATTTGTTGATATTGTGAAATTATTGCTATCAAAACAAGAAATTGAAATTAATTTGGGATATATTACACCACTATATGGAGCTTGTATGAATGGACATGAGGAAATTGTCAAATTATTATTGGAAAATTCAAAAATTAAGGTAAATAAGGGAAAGCACACCTACTCAGGTTATTGGGATGGATATGGTTATACTAAAGTCAATAATGAAAAACCAATAACAATTGCAGAGAGTAAGAAATTCGATAATATTGTTGCATTATTGAAACAAGTGAAAATAACAAATGACAGTGATGAAGAGAATGACGAGAATGAAGAGGAAGAAGAAAATGAGGAATAATTAGATTTGTTGCTTTTCATTCAATACAATAAAATATTTTATTGTCATTGCATATTTCTAACTCCATCCTCCCGAATAGAATCCAATTATCAACAGAAGTGTTACTTGATTATTAAGATATTGATAACTCACCTTAGTATCATTAATGAAATTGAAACATATTTGAACAATTATGAATACATTACTAGCATGTTCTGGAAGAGGTCAATGTGTTGATACTTACACATATTCGAATTCCTTTCATGATTGTACAACAAAAAAATGTCTCTCTCTGTTCGTGTACACATTTTGTTCGACAAACAAGAAAGCACAGTTAAGGCTATGTCTGAAGATAGCTTGATCGGATCTCTTCTAGATGAATACTCAGGTTTCGAATTTACTTGTGGCCATTTGTTGAATTATGAAGACACTTGGCACAGTTTTGGTGAAACACAAATAATTGTTAGCGCCACTGCTTGTGATGATGTGGTGATTGTGAAAATAATAACAAACAACAAAACTACTTCCATAACTACAAAGATGAGTTCCAAAAGACCACTCGGTGCTGCTTTTGCATTGTTTGAACAAGTAGCATACCAACAGAATAAGAGATCCCAACAATGGAGTTATTGTTATGAAAATAAGCCGATTAGGGGAGATGATTCATTGCAAGAATTGCTTATACAAGAACTACTATGGGGTGATGAGATTTCAATTGTTGCATTTTCTGCCCTTGTTAGTTGTTATCCTGGAATTACATTCTCCAATACATGTGACAAAGAAATGCTTCTTTTTGATAAGTCACTGTTCATTGAGCATGTATTAGAAAAGAGAAAGTCACAACACTCACTAATATTGAGGCCAAGAAGGTTTGGAAAATCATTCAATTTGAACATGTTATCATATTTCCTTGATATAAACCAAACTGCCACTTCAGAGAAATTGTTTAAAGATTTAAAGATTATGCAAAGGGAAGACTTGTGCAAACTGCACATGAACAAATATCCTGTAGTCCTTATTTCATTTAATGGTGTAGTATCTAACTCCTTGGAAGAAACTAGATGCAATATTCTCCATTTGTTGACTAAACTAGTCAACGAGTTTGGCTATTTATTGAATAGTGAAACCTTAACAGATTCTGACAAGCAGAAATTATTAGAATATCAAAAACAAACAGATACATTCGCTTTGGAACACCTGATAGAATGTCTACACAAGCATCACCAATCTAAGGTCGTTTTACTGATAGATGAATATGACTCACCTCTTATGGGAAGTGTTTATATGAGCTTTAGAAAAGAGATTTTTGAAATATTTGCAAATATATTTTCCTTTTTAAAAAGGAATGAGTCTATTGAGTTTAGCTTGTTCATGGGTATTGTACTACTTACAGATATGGGATACCTTTCGGGACTCAATAACTTGTGTTATTATTCAACACAAAGTGATGAGATTTTTACGACAGAGTTTGGAATTACCCAACCAGAACTGTCTTCAGCATTAAAAAGAATCAGAGGTAAAGATTATCCAGGATTGGATACTGAGTTCAAAGAGCTCAATCATTGGTACAACGGTTACAATGTTGATGGCAATTCCAAGTTAGTGTTCAACATGTGGTCATTATGCTCATATTTTGCTTTAGGAAAGATTTCTGATTATTGGATTTCAACAGGTACAACTGGAGAGCTAGTTCAGATATTAAACATTGAATCTTCAGATGATATTGAAATGATTGATGATTTAGAAACCTTGAAGAACGGAGGAGAAATAGAAATTGACATGAGTTTGGATGTGGATGTTACAATATTTACTTGTGGACAAATTAAGAGAAAACACGAACTATTCTGGAAATTAATGTTTTATTCTGGGTATCTAACTGGATCTAAAACTTCTCAAACCAGTAATGTGAGGGAAAGTTGCTCTCAAATAACATATACCTTGAAAAATCCTTTCTTTCTTAGATGTCCAAATGAAGAGGTGAGGAGCAATATTCAAAATTCCTTTATTGCAAAAATAGGGACTTGCAATAGATCTTGGAATGAGAGCAAGACAGATGTGCCATCGACTCCTGCATGGATGAGATAACTGTTTTAGATAGAGTGGATATTGAATTATGCTTCCATGATAAATGCTATTTGGAAATAGTTGACAGAAGTACTCTGATCGACTATTCAGCATTGATGAAGATATTGACAGCACTTATTCCAATTGAGGTAATGAAAAAACCTCATTCATATCAATACATACATCCATCAAGTGGTAATATCTTTGAACTGACAGAACGATGTGTCGAAAATGGTACTCTTTCCACTATCTTTTCTACCCACAAGTACATTAAATTTGTTTTTAAAAAGAAATACCGGTAGTACTCCTGAGTTGTCTGTTAATTGAAGGTTAATGTACTCATTGCCAAAAAGAAACGAACTGTGGAAACGCCTTGAAGATACAAGTCAGTATGTGGAATTCCTGATAAATTGAGGAAACAAATGTTTCGAATATTTCTTTGTGTAAAGAAGAGCTCCCTCAATGAACTCACAACTTAAACTCCCACAAATAATGTTATTCCTGAAGAGTGAAAGATATGGATAGGGTCAAAATTGAGTTTAACTAAGGGTAGAATTATGTGAAATAACAACTCCTAGGATTGATTTTCATCTCCACTAATCAATGAAATGAACTACTAGTTGAAGGACGGAGTCAAGTTGGAGTTTTCAACCTCCAGTTCCTAATAAAAACCTCATCCCGCGCTCAAAAAATAATAAAATTTAAAAAAAAAATGAAGAGCTTGTTTATCGCTACACTCTTGTTGTGTTTGGCTGCCGCAGTTTATTGCGCTCCAATCACTGCTGAAGACCATGAAACCATGGCTATTAACTTTAAGATGATTAACGAAATTAATAGTGATCCATCTTCTACTTGGAAGGCTGGTGTCAATAGAAATTTGGCTGGTAAGACCGTTGCTGAAATGAAGAGATTGTTGGGTTTTGCCAAGAAGGAAGGTCAAGTTAGATACTCTGAAGAACAAATGACTACTATCAAGCACTACAATGAAGCTAAGGCTTCCGCTGTCAAGTCTGTTGGTGTTGAAGAAGCTTCCAAGCAATTCAAGACTCTTGGTCTCCCAACTAACTTTGATTCTAGACAACAATGGGGCAAGTGTATTCACCCAATTAGAAATCAAGAACAATGTGGTTCTTGTTGGGCTTGTAAGTTGTAATTTTGTGAAATTTTGTGAAATATCATGATCAATAGTCTCTGCTTCTGAATCTCTCTCTGATAGATTCTGTATTGCTTCTAACGGAAAGGTTGACGTCATTTTGTCCCCTCAAGATATGGTCTCTTGCGACTACAATGATATGGGATGTGATGGTGGTAATTTGGATAATGCTTGGTGGTGGATGAAGAACAAGGGTATCGTCCCAGACTCATGTATGCCATACGTCTCTGGTGGTGGTAACGTCCCAGCTTGTCCATCAAAGTAAGTCATTTCATTTTAATTAGCTCTTTTTAACATGATTTTTAGCTGTAATGGTACTAACATTCCAATTTCCTCCCAACTTTACTATGCCAAGTCATTCTCTCACATTTCTCCATGGATGTTCTGGGAAAGAGTTGCTGATATCCAACAAGAAATTTACACTAACGGTCCAGTCCAAGGTGGTTTCAGTGTTTACCAGTAAGTTTTAAAGACTAATTGACTCGAGTCTAAAATAATTATAATTACAGAGATTTCATGAACTACAAGTCTGGAGTTTACTCACACAAGACTGGTTCTTTCTTGGGTGGTCACGCCATCAAGATTATTGGTTGGGGTGTTGAAGGTGGTGTTGATTACTGGTTGGTTGCCAACTCTTGGTCAACTGATTGGGGTATTGACGGTAAGTATTTCTTCATGACATTTTTAATTTAATATTTTTAATTTTTTTAATTTTAAATAATTTTTAAAATTTATTTTTATTTTAATTATTAAACAGGAACTTTCAAAATTTTGAGAGGACACAACGAATGTGGCATTGAAGATGATGTGTAAGTTTTTTAAATTTTACTCAATAATTCTGATAACATGAATTATTTTTCTGTTCAAATTATTTTATTTAATCGACACTGCCCTTTTTAATATTATCAAATTATTATCATTGCTCTCGTTTAGTTATGCCGGTCCAGCAGACCTTTCAAGAGTTCCAAAGTAAATGTAATAAACATTGCATCTTGAATTGATTCTAATCAAAGTAGCTATCAATTCTTTTCTAATCTAAAGAACTTATCATGAGTTCTTGGTTGATTCTTTCATGTTAGTGTATACTCATTTACAAATAATTCTCAAAACTGTTTCTCATTGAATCCAATCGAATCCTAAAGGATTCGTATTAATTGCATTCCTTGCATCTCGCCATTGTTAATTTAACATACCAGAAAAGATCACAGTTTGTTTCTCACAATACAGATCTCACTTATTCTGGACTTTGACCAGCACAAAATATGACCATATTAGAAAATTTGGCGACACATTGGGTTTTAAAAAAAGCCAAATATGTCAACTGGGCAACAAGCATAATTTATGCTACTTGTCCAACGAATTAATTTGAATATTATTACACACACAGGAAGATCCATATGCATGTTATTATGATTCTGTGCTTTTCTCCTCATGCCGTCCTTCCCGACAATGGACTTTGGATCTGCACACATTCAAAACTTTCCATGGCACTTTCAATCAATTCAATGACCATAACTGGAGGCATTCAATAATATTACCATTCTTGATCCATTCGAAAGAATAATCGAATAGAATAGTTCGCACATTAACACAAAATTACAAATTAGAACAAATTTAATTTGCCTTAAATTTTATGGCACTTCTCAAGTTGACCAGAAAGGTTTAAAAAAAGAATGCAATCACTTGACACCTTCCTTGAACAATTTATTGATAATTGTGATGAAAGTAATGCTGCTGGTTTAAAGACTAGTAATTCCTTCCTTTCGTTTTCAGAAATTGTGAATTATAATTCGTCTAATTTATCAGAAACCATGACACAACATGGTGATGAACACATTTCTCCAAATCAAGAAACACAGCCGGCTGAAATCATCAGCACCGAGACTTGTAACTCTTCGAACGATTCTTGTGCATTGAATGATATGTCATCCACTATTGTGCAGTTTAACTTGGTTTCTCAATTTTTCCCTTTATTCGAAAGTTTGTTTAAAGGTCTGCAATGTTCAGTTTCTAATAACCAACTCTGTACCAATATGCAAGCACCTCCACAACCTGCACCTTCAATGCAACACCAATTTTATCAACCACAACAAGTAATTTTTCACACCTGCCAGAATCCTTCCATATTTAATCAATTCGAATTGACCAACTTTCAAACTAATTACTTCCAACCACCAATTGCTACCTTTGCTAACAACACTTTCCACAACTCTGCTTATTTCCAAAACTCGTTTCCTGAAAACTATTCGAATGTTAACAGTCAATTTGCCTATTCGAATTGTAATAATATTGTAAATTGTGAATCATCCACCAGCTCATATTCCTCTTCCTCCTCCTCAAATAATTTCAACACTTTGCCTTCCAATTCTGTAAAAATTCAAAAAACACAAAAAACCAAAAAAAATGTAAATAAGAAAAAACACAAAATCGTTCTCTGCAATAATGAGTATGAAGAGAAAATGTTTAAAATTCGTAATCCAAATCAAACTTATTACAAATTTGTTGAACGTTAAATAAAAAAGTTAAAAAATGTAAAAATGTAAAATTTCTAAATTTGTAAAAATATTTTAATGAAATTTGTAAAATTTGGAACTACAGCTAATGATTGTAATCAATACTAGTTCCAGTACGGGAAGTTTGATTAGTGTATGATCAACTTTAAATCTCAACCAGCTGAGATAGTGACCTCCACTTCAAGCTCAGAAAGTTTCGAATAAAGTGGACTTGAACAAGAGAGAATCCTTTATCCAACCAATAAAACAACCACAAAACCAGAAAGAAACAACACCATCAAAAACTCAAAAAATGTTCAAACAAACCCTCCTCATTGCTGTCATTGTCATTTCACTTCTTTACACAACATTCGTCTCTGCTGATTGGGGAAAATGTCAAAAAGTTTCAACCATGCAAGAATTCAATTTAGCTAAATACATGGGACTTTGGTATGAAATTGCTCGTTTTGATAATATCATGGAACGTGGTGGTGTCTGTATTCAAGCAAACTATACCATTAATCCAAAGGAACCTTCACAAGTATTAGTTTCCAATTCTGAAATATATGATGGAAATTTGACAACTGTTACTGGTGTTGGATATTGTCCAGATGATAAAGAACCAGCAAAATTACTTGTTTCAGTTGGTGGAAACCCATTCTATGCTCCATATTGGGTTATTGACACAGATTACAATAATTATGCAATGGTTTTCAGTTGTTTCAGTGTTTTGGGTGTTTATCATTATGAAATTTCATGGATTTTGGGAAGACAACGTCAATTACCACAACAAACTTTGAGTAATATTATGGTTGCTTTTAGGAAACAAGGAATTGATAGTTCAAGATTTATTTTGACTAAACAAGTTGGTTGTAAATAAAATGAAAGTTTGGAAACATGTTAATTTCTTAATCGAGGTTTAGTTTATTGATTTGAGACATGAATTCACGATCTTTCCTTAGTACTTTGGACAAAAATTGAATAATCTTTGAATTTTTCTTTGCCAATTTCAACACAAATTCCTTGTCATCCTTTAATGACTTGTCAATATGTTGAAAAACATTGACATTTTGACTGACAGCTTCAAATGCAATGTCCTTATCCTTCTTTAGCTCTGTATTAATATATTTGATTATAAATCCATCTTATTTAGCAATTAATAATATCAAATCTCTATCATCCTTAATAATTCTCCCAATAACATATGTATTCGTGAAAGATGTCCCAATAACTTTCAATATTTCAACAAGAAATTCCTTATCCTTAATTAATTCTTCACTCACATAACAAAGAGCTTGTCCCTCAGTTTTTCTGAGAACTTGTAAAACAAATTTCTTATCGAGCTTTAATTCTCGACTCACATATTGAAATGCACATCCTTGTGAACTTGTCGAAATGGCTTTCATTACAATTTCTCTATCTTTTTTCATTTCCTCACTTGCACCTGATAGAAATGATCCACAATGTGAAATTGCCAGCTCAACAATTTCTCTGTCATTCCTTAATGATTCATGAACATATGCCAAACCAGCAGTTTTGACAGCTGCTAGGACTATTTCTCTATCACTCCTAAATCTTTCATTTGCATAGCGTAAACTTTCACCATCTTGCTTGACAGCTGTTATTACTATTTCTCTGTCATCTTTCAATCTATCAGAAGCAACACCAAGCATGGAACCCAATCTCTTAACAGATCTCAACACAACTTCTCTATCGTTTCTAATAACATCATTCGAATTATTATAAATAAATCCAGGAATTATCCCAACTATTTGAAATATAAAATTTGTATCAAATTTCAATTCCTTTCCCAAATTGGAGGCAATTTCTAATAAATTATAGCACCAACTAAGTGAATATTTAAATCCCAATGCACTGATGGAAACATTGTAGAATGGATTATATCCTGTATTGTGTTCGTTCATAAATTTGAGAATGGTAAACCAATCACGTCTTGTATCGAGAAATTTAATGGTTTCCTTTAATTGTTCGGCGGAGATGATCGGAGCAATGATTATTTCATGTTTGAGATGGTGGGGAATGTCTCTGATTTTAGTGGAGAGTAAATTGGATTGTAATGCTTCATCTAACTGGAGCTGCACTAATGTTTCTTGTTGCATTTGTTTTTGAAAATATTGGTTGACCAATTGAACTTGGAACTTTCAAAAATCCCGTTGCAATGCATCAACAGTTTACAACCATTGAAAACTGAAACCAAGAACTTCCGAGTCTGATCAATGGTTGTGAGATATTAGAGTAGATGAGAATTATGTGAGAGGGAAATTAAAATTAATTCTCACTCACCTTCTCATTTCCTTTTCAAACTAGAAAAAAAAAGCAAGATTGTAACTGCGAACACTTGAGCAAAACAGAGAAATGAAAGAAATAAATTATGTGCAAGTTGAGAATGATTCATCTGATGCTGCTGCTGTTGGATATTACATGTCAGGGCAATCTGAATTTTCAGATGGAATGGAGAAAAGAGGTTTGATTCAGGTGGTGTTGGTTGTTGGAGCTAGCTTGTTGGTAATGGTTGCTTTGGGTATAATTTTGGGAGTTTCGTTTGGAGTTTCGAAAAGAAATGAAAGAAAATTGGATTCATTGAGTGAATATTTGTGGATTGATTCGGATGTTGGAATGGATGATATATTTGCAATACAAGTGTTGCTAATTCATTTGAATAATCAGAAATCACTGCAGCAAAATAATTTATTGATATTGAGCTCACTTTCGTCTGTGCATGGAATGACGCCGAATGCAACTATTGGAAAGGAAATTATTGCAAACATGCTAAAAACCAATACTCTGAGTAGTATTTCAAAAGATAGATCATTTAAAATCGAGAAGGGATCAAATTTTGGTTTGAAAGATAATTTACAAAAGTTCAGATTTGAAGATGCTGATTGGTATTCGAATGTGGATCAACGACAAACTGAATTTTTACAAAAAACTGGATTTGCATTGAAGAATCAATTGATTGATAGGTCGAAAGAAGGAGAGGAAACTTTTCATTTGGAACCAACATTCTCACATCTCAATAATCAAGTAACTCAATTGGAATTTCTTCCAGATAATTCACTGACCATTTTGGCTATTGGTCCACTGACTAATATTGCATTGTGGATTAGAAATAATCCAACAAAATTGGAAATGTTCAAGAGAAAGGTCAGAAGAATTGTTTCAATGGGAGGAAATTCACTTTTTAATGGAAATAGAGATATGGAGTGGAATTATCATTGTGATGCAAAGAGTGTTCAGGTAGTAATGCAAATATTTTCAGAGAAATTCTTCATGATTGGTTTGGATGTTGCTAATGAGGAAGCAATTTCTTCAGAACAGTTGACCAATTTGAAACAATTACTTTTCAACAAGAAGGGAAAATCCAATACTGCTTCACTTCTATCAGATTTACTGACCATTAATCCAGTTTCTTGTACCTATGATCCAATAACTGCTTCCTTTTTGATTAGACCTGAACTTTTCACATTCGAACAAGTAAAGGTCAATATTGACCTTTCCTCAGTAGTGAACTCAACAACTGAGTTTGCTGGAAGAGTCTATAAGGACTCTTCATCCAGTGGCATTCAAATTAATGTTGCCAACTCATTCAATACTACCATGTACTATAATTTACTTCATTCCTTATTTTCATCTCTCTAAAATAAATTAATTTATTTACTTGTAATATCCATATTGGTTGAATTGATTTGGAAGTTGATAGCCAGAGGTATTAGGTTGTGCAAGTGAATCTAAGGAAGGAAGTTGCATACCTCCTTGAGAAGGAGGCATTGGTGGTTGAGGTGAAATAAATTGTGGATTTTGAACTAGATTAGTTGGTTGTGAATAAGCTAATGGTACATTATATCCTCCTTGATTATATGGATCATATTGAGTATTATTACTATTATTGTAATATCCATTATTATTAAATGATGTAGTAACAAATTGACGTGATTGTAAATTATCAATACTTGGTAAATTGAATGAAGGTTGTGAATTGGGTGGAGCTCTATTTTGTTGCAACCCAAGTGATGGTAAATTAGGACGATTACTCGATGGTTGTTGCTGTTGAGCTATGGTTTTTGATCTTGCTTGTTCAGCTTCCTCCAATTTAACTTGTTGTTGAACTTTGATATAGCTCGGAACTGCATCTGGACTTCCATACATTTTCTTTGCAATTTCTCTCTCAGATTTTGTAACTGTTGATGAATCCAATACTGTTAAATTATTCAATCTACTAATCACAAACAATCTATATTGTTCATATTCCTCTGCAGATCCACCAGTGAAAAAGTTTGGACAAGCTTCATTCTTCAACATGGAAAATATCTTTAAATTAGGAAAATGATAGGCAACCTTTTCTACAAATTGTTTTAAATCTTTAATTTTGTTTGAATTGACCCATCTTAAGTATTTAATTATTCATCAATTTAATATTTAAATATTTTCAATTATTTCCAATGATGTGATCCACACACACACTTACAATAATGTAATTTTCGGAAGGGGTTTTCCTGAATTAAAAGTAGAAGCAGAATGTATCCGATTATGATCAAGTACTAAACTCGTTAAATTCTCCAAACACAAAACATTATCCGATAAATCAGTTAAATTATTATGTGATAAATCCAATTCAATGATTTTAGGGGCCATTGCTTGGAAAACCATTTGTGATGGAACATCTCTCAATTGTTTAAAGGCTAAACTGCACTTTCCCGAAGGATCCACCACGATAGATGATGAAGCTAACATTTAATGATGAAATTTCGTGTTTTTGTTGTTGAAGATTTTTTTTTGGTGTTTTTTTACAAATTACATTCACTCCTTGTCTTGACGGAGTTTTTGATTTTTTGATCGAGTAATGGTTTTCACACTTTATTAATTATTGAACAAGTTGAGGAGTTGATACTTTGAGGGTAGATAGTGGAGATGAAATGCCACATGTGGATAGTTTACAAGTTGATGGTATCCATTCCAGGTTTCAATAATACTTTGATTGAACCATCCTTATAATTGGCAAACATGTCATAGGCCTTATCTGCTTGACTGAGTGGAACTTGATGAGTAATGATAAAGGTTGGATCAATATTGAGCTGATTGGTTTCAAAAACTCTCAACAAATCCTTCCAATATCTTTGAACAAAGACTTGACCTCCCTTCCAATTCAAACCCTTCTCCATGAGTGGACCAACTGCAAAATCATTACATCTATTCAAGTAATCTCCAACAATTCCCAATCTGCCACCCTTCTTACAACAAATGATGCAATCATTCAGAATTTGAGGAGTGTCTGTCTCCAATCCAAGAGATCTTTCAATGGTGTGAAGGAATCCTCTTTCGAATCTGAAACCAACAGCATCCAAGCAAACATCAGGTCCTCCTGGAATTAGGGATTGAACTGCCTTGACAACTCCACCATCAACTGATGCCCAATCGTGGAAATTAATGGTATGGAATTGGACATGTTTTGGAATTTCTTGTTCGAAAGCTTTACTTCCACTGAAACATTCAGATGGAATATTTTCTTGTTTGCTTTCTATTTTCTTTTCAGTGCTTTCACTACCTGAGGTGAATGGTGAACTCAATGATAATGATTGCAAATCAGATTCGAGAATGTTCTTTGATTTGCCTTTCCATAGCTCAACATCTGCCTTTTTCATTCCTCCCAATTCGTTGAGGTTTCCAAAGACTTGACGAGCTTTTTCTAATCTGTACTCTTCTCCATCAATGAGGACAACGTGTTGGGCACCTCTGTAGAAAGACCACATAGCTGCCATTAAGCCAACGGGACCAGCTCCAAAGATAACAACCTTGAAAATGATTAGAATTCAGTATTAGAAATTCTATTCGAAACTTACCTTATCATTGAAATGAACATCAGCACATTCAGTGGCATGGAAACCAGTACAGGCAACATCAGCCAAGAGAATGAGCAAATCATCCTTTAGATTTGCATTCTCTACAACGAGAAGATTTTGATCACCTAATGGAACTCTGACATATTCTGATTGACCACCTGCATAACCTCCCTAATAAATTTCCGTATTAGAATCAAAACTATTCTAACAACTTACTGTTAAATGAGAATAACCAAATAAGGCAGCAGTTCTATGACCATACATCTTCTCCATTTCCTTACTAGGATTAGTCATATCACACAAACTAAACTCCTTTCTCTCACAATATTCACATTGACCACATGAAATGACAGCAGAAACAACAACTCTATCACCCTTCTTAACATTCTTAATATTGGCACCAACTTCATCAACAATTCCAACTGCCTCATGCCCCAAAATATCTCCCTGATGCATTCCAGAGAATTCTCCAAAGTACAAGTGCAAATCACTTCCACAAATGGTTGAGGTTGTTACCTTTACAATGACATCTGTTGGTTCAGTGATTTGTGGACGGCTTACTTCATTGACTTTAACTGTTTTCTTGCCCATCCATTGGAGAGCTCTCATTTTGAGAGTTGGGTGTTTCTTGTACTCAGTTTCTGGGAATCTGATTTGTTCGGTTGCTTGAGTTGAATAATCTGGCATCTTGCTTTGATTTTTTTATGTAGAAAGAATAAAAGAGAATGGAAATTTCTTTAAATGTAAAATTTAAAGTGGAAATGAAATATGGAAAGTGACCATTTTGAGACATTGACCAAATAATAGCGTGGCCACATAAAGAATCAATTATCAATCGTTTGATTTTCAATGAATGGATTTTCAATAACAATTTTTGAAAAGAACTGAAACAAGAAACTTTACAATTTTGTAAACTTTAAAAAAATAGAAAAAAATGATCACACAAGGGGAACCAGGTAAACTCTCTGTAGAGGCTTTTGTGATTGAACGATTGCTTTCCTCAGAAATTGATAAAGAGTCTCGGAAAATGCTTGAAAAATTGCAAACAAAATACAAAAGCACCTCTTATGAAGCCTTCCGAAATGTTGTGAGTGATAATTTGTATTTTGCTGTGGGTGATGTTGCGAGAGGCTGGATTGAACAAGATCAAAAAAGGCTTGAAAGTCAAATTAATGTACAACAATTAGAAATTGATTGTGAATTAATAAGAAAGTTGAATATCGATATAAGATATGATATTATTGAATTTATTCCTACTACGAGTAGATGGAAGAGTTTGGAAAGAAAATTTAAAGATTTGAATTCTTGTCCAATTTGGCTCAACAAAGTTTTGGAAGAAGGTGGCTATTGTACTGATATTCCAATGGTCAACTATCACAAAATGAGAGTCATTTCAAAAGAGTTTAACAGGAGAATGATGATCAAAATTTTGTCAATGGAAGAATTAGTTCTTGTGAGTGGCGATAAGAATTATTTGAAAAGAATACTCTATTTACTAAAGCAACAAGAATTCTACAAAACCAACACATTACAAGATAATGAGCTCTATTTATATCAAAATGATGATTGTAGTTCCAAAATAATTCCCAAACATCTCTTTCAGGATGGAGTTCCAATTTTTTCTGGCAAATTGGAACGCGATACTAAAGATGTTGACGAAAGGTATTATCTTGATGATGGATTCTTCTTTCACGCACCACCCCCACCAATACCAATATCAAAGAATTTGCTCGATTATAATTATACTAAACTAGTATTTAGATCATCTCCTGTGCTCCAAAAGAACAACTCAATCAATGAGTTTGAAGGAAATACAATTGTTAAACATTTAGTATTATTAGATCCTTCTGCTAACTTTATCACCAAACATTGTAAGAAAGTAGAGAAAGTGACATTATTTGGTGACTCTGAACAATTACTAGAGACTGTCAACGAACTTGAAATAATAACTAATACAAAAGAAGAGGATATTCTAATGAAGAAGTATAAGTGTAACACCTTCAAGTTCCCTAATTCGACTGGAAATGGGATGAAGAAGTATCTTTCGTTAATGAGCAAAAAATTTGGTTCTAAATTCATTGACTATATGATGTCTTGCATTCCAAATTCATTTGATTTTACGAAATTGATGGACAGCCCTTATAGATCCGACTTGTTTTTAATGAAAGAAATATTAGATATTTTGGTGATTGATATACAATTACCCATTGCAGGACTAGCCTTAAATGGCTTGGAAGTTTCTAATCCTGAAGTATTTCAATATTTAATTTATTTATCAAATACCTATCAAAATGGAAAATTATTTTTAAATGAGGAATCGGAAAGATTGATATATTTTGGAATGTTTAATGGATGGAGATTTGAAGCAAATCTTGAAGAGTTACTCTTTTGTACATTGTCTGACGAGGTTTTTTTAACAGTACTATACAGTATTGGAAAGATTAGCAGAGATTTGTGTTTATCTTTAGTTAAATACTATTATTCTAGTTGTAACTATATCTATTTAGAAAAACTAGTACTTTATCTACTAAAAACACAGAAGGATGAGTTTATGCAATTGTGGTATGAAAAGATTCAATGTTTGCCTAAAAATTTCGAAATATATAGCGAATTTGTTCATGTTCCACTGCTAGTTATCATTATTTCGCAAACTAGTCCATTTACAATAGATATTATATTCAAGGAATTAGATAATCAGGATCTTTCTCTATACGAAGAGAATGAGTTTGGAGATAATTTTTTACATTATATCCAGTTAGCTTTGTACAATCACAAAATATCTAGCTATCCAATTACAGGTCTGTTGAAAAAAGTTCCATTTCTCCTTGGAAAAGAAAATAAGGCTGGGGTAACACCATTTGATTTAATCAAGCACAATAGTTATTCAGTTTTTACTGAATTCGTAACTGAAGAGTATGGAGAATTTTTTAGAGATACAAGAAGATTACTGCGATCTAAAAGAAGTTCAACAACTGATATACCAGATGACAGTGTTGCCCAAATTGTTGTAATTGTAAGTTAGTTTAGATTACTGTTACTTGATCTACATACAGGATGAAAATAATATCGAGGTTTATTTTAAAATTAAGCGATCGACTGCATTACAAAAACTTTTCACTGCCTACTGTCAACATCACTCCTTAAATGAGAATGAAATTATTTTTTCCACGGAACAAGGAGCTCAAATTCATGGATCTGATACTTTAGAGGACTTGGCTATTCATGGGGAGGGAATACTCCACGCACACAGACGATAATCGAACCACGCTGGTTGCATCCATTTTTTGGAAGGTTATTTCAAAGTTTATTTATCCTCTTGCATGGGTGGAAACTTCCTTATTAACAGAATAGGTGCCTTCACCATTTCTATTAACGAAAACGCTGAAACTCTTTCCCTTAAAGTAAACATTGCTGTTATTGACTGATAAAGTATTGGAAGAATCAATGTTAAATCTGCCGGATTTCAAACTGGTAATACTGAGATTTCCACTGACGACAATCTTTCCATTCACAACAATCTTACCCCACAAAGTGAATGAACTGCCAGCAGCAACATTCAAATAACCGTGCAATCTAAGGGTACCATTAACGAACAAGTTACCTTGAACATTGAAAGATCTATTGATAATCAAATCACCATTTACAGTCATGTTACCAGTGAGTCCAACAGCATTATCGAATAAACTGGAATTGAGTTTACCACTAGAGGTATAATCACCACGAATGCAAACGGATTGTCCCCAACAAAGAGATGAATCAGAGCCAGTACTAGAGTTGTAAACAATTGATCCGTTATGGTTAATAGTTCCATTATTATAGTAAATTGAACCATTGTGAGATAATGAACCATTGGATGACAATGATCCATTTCCATAATAAATAGTACCATTATGATTCAATGAACCATTGTAAGAAATTGATCCATTGTTGTACCAAACACTTCCATTTTGAGATGTAGAACCATTGAAATAAGTTTGATTACCATAATACAAGGTACCATTATGATTCAATGAACCATTGTGATAAACAGAACCATTATTGTAATGAATTGAACCATTGTGAGCTAATGAACCATTGGAGAAGAATGTACCATTTCCATAATTCATTGTACCATTATGATTCAATGAACCATTATGATAAATTGAACCATTATTGTAATGAATTGAACCATTGTGAGCTAATGAACCATTGGAGAAGAATGTACCGTTTCCATAATTCATTGTACCATTATGATTCAATGAACCATTGTGAGAAATGGTATCCATTGTGATACCAAACACTTCCATTTTGAGATGTAGAACCATTGAAATAGGTTTGATTACCATAATACAAGGTACCATTATGATTCAATGAACCATTGTGATAAACAGAACCATTATTGTAATGAATTGAACCATTATGAGCTAATGAACCATTGGAGAAGAATGTACCATTTCCATAATTCATTGTACCATTATGATTCAATGAACCATTGTGATAAATTGAACCATTATTGTAATGAATTGAACCATTGTGAGCTAATGAACCATTGGAGAAGAATGTACCGTTACCATAATTCATTGTACCATTATGATTCAATGAACCATTGTGATACATGGTATCATTGTGATATCTGATAACACCAGAGTGTGAATGAGTTCCATTTCCTTCAAAAGTACCATTTCCATATGAAATTGATCCATTCTTTGTTACTGAACCATTAGAATAGAAAGTTGAATTAGAAATATAGATATATCCAGTAGAATTCAAAGTTCCATTAATTCCCATAAAATCATTTGAAATACTACCATTCATAAAGGTGCTACCATTATGGTGATAGGTATTATTTGTGATGAGGAAAGATCCATTATGTGAAACACTTCCATTAATAACTGTCAAATTGTTTCCAATAAACAATGATCCATTTTGATGAATATAACTTCCATTAACAAAAACATTATGAGTTCCATTGAATGAAACATCTCCAGTAGTATTCATTGTTCCATTAAAAACTGAATGAGCAGAACTATTATAATAATAACCAAATAAAGTGGCATTTCCATTAATTGAGTCGAAAGCATCAGATTGTTCTGTGAAATTGAAAAACTTTGGACCATCAACAATTTGGAAAACATATGTCACTTCATCAACTTGTTGTGTTGTTTCCTTTTGGTTCTTATTGGAACAAATCTTTAAAGCACCCTTACAAATTGTCAATGCCAAATTACTCTTCAAATCTTTGGCATGTTTAATTGATCTAGCTCCTTCAAGATAGGTTTCAAGTTTAGTACAGAATTTAAATCCCATACGTCTACAAAAGGCTTTAGCAAATGCTGGTTTGACTGTCAAATGGTGTGTCAGTACTCATGATGACATCATGAATTATTTTACTTACCATATTTGCTAACCACCATTTCAACAGCAGTTTTACAGAATTTACATTCATTTGTAGTGCTGAAAGTACTTTGTGCTGCGCATAAATGTGCTAAGATGGCGAACATCACCACCACAAGCAACATGACACTTGTCAATTTACTCATTTTTTTTTCGAGATGTTTGTTTTTGGAGGTCAGGAAGGACTTCTCTTCAATGTTCTAGAAAAATTGAATGGGGGTTACAATTTTCAAAGAAACTCCTATACCATGAATCTTTACTATTGAAAAATATGTAAACAATCTCGATTTGGATGTATGTGGAGTTGTGAACGAACAGTGCAACTAAACGAACTCTTCAAGTTTTAATATTCGAACACCTAGAAAAGACAATAAATGTCTACATGATCATTCAATGATCCAATTTCGTCTCCGAATTAGAATAGAAGGAAGTGAAAGGAGTTAAGGTCAGAAGATGGGAGTGTGAAAGGACTTGTTTTCATTATTGTCCATGGTACTCCTTAGAAGTGATAATCATTTTCACACACATTCAAGTGGCAACAATTTGATTTGAACAAACAGAGTAGGAGAGGAAACAAGCTCCTTGAGAAAGATTTACGATGAGTTCGATGACCACAATCTCAGTACAGGATCACGATCTTTGATGAGTAGTAATCAAGTAACTGTAAAGAAGATAAGGATGTTTATGTGTAGTCACCATTAAGGTATTCAAATAATGACTGGTTTTATATATTGTGTGAATTATTGAAAGCAAATGAATGATCTGCTGTGTGTCGCTTAATTACTTTAATATCTGGACGTCCAGTCATTACCTTTTAACATTTACTGCTTCAGTTGGTTATAAATGTATTCCCATCCATTCCATATGTTTAGAATAATGAAGGAAGTGGATTGTATCAAATCAAACCTGGATCTACAGTCATGACTGTTTATTGTGATATGACCACTGATGGAGGTGGTTGGACATTGTTTGCTGGCATTCGAATTGATTATAAGGGAGTTCACTTCCATGTTTTTGATGACAATACAGCTGTGGCCACCTCAGAAACCACCTATTTCCACATTAAGACAGAAGAATTGATGGCTGTCTCCAAACAGGTGAGAGCTGTTCCTTACTCCTCATTGACATTTGTAATCCTGATAGAGCAGTCAATTGTACAATACATACAGGTACACAAGTGGTCCCAACTCACATGTCCTATTCAAAAGCAACCAATGGTCAATGTGTTGGATTCAGAATAGGACACAATGTGGGATTGGTCCACATGTCCCAAACAAAAAGTATTTTCACAACTTTTACCTATTATGGAGCTCCTGAAGGAGGATTTCAATATGAAGCTGGTGTATATTATAACGGTGACACTACTTGGAGAAATGGTGCTTTATTCTTGAGATAAATTTTTAAATATTTCAATAATTGAAATCTGCAACTATTTAACTTATTTTCTCTAATTCCTTCAAAGAATAAGGCTATTCCTAAACTCCTTACAAAATCATAAACAAGATTCTTGAAAATTACAAAATTCAAAAAATAAATATATTTATTCATTCCACCATGGTTCACCCAAATAAATCATCTTCTTTGTCATACCACCATCAATGACAAAGTTTTGACCAGTGATGAAACCACCTCCTTCTTGACATCCATCTTGAATCAAGTACAAGCATAATTTTGAGACATCTTCAGGCTTTCATTTGTGAACTATTTAAAATATTATTGTGAAATTATACTTACTCTTCCAACACGACCGACTGGATGTTGACGATGATCCAAATCTCTCAAATTATATTCTCTTTCCTTTCCAAGTTGATGGTCTTGAACATCGATCCAACCAGGAGAAATGGCATTTACATTAATTTCTGGTCCTAAACTAATAGATAAGGAGTGAGTGAGCGATAATACTGCACCCTTAGTGGCACTATAAATTTCTGTATTGGCCTCACTTTGCAAAGCTCTTGTGCTTGAAACGTTAATGATACATCCCTTTGATTGTTTCAAATGTGGGACTGCATACTTTGTAGTGAGGAAAATGCTTGTCAAATTAATAGAAACTGTACGATTCCATTCTTCCAAAGATAAACCAGTAATATCTTTAGCTCCATAGTGTGGATGAGAAATGGCTGCATTATTAATCACTGCATCCAATCTAGAAAAAGTTTCAACTGTTTTCGAGACAACTTGTTGTACATGATCTTCCTTTGAAACATCACAATGTAATAAAAGATATCTTCCTTGTGATTCTTCAATATTTTGGAAAGGATCGATTGGCAATGAACCTTCTTGTGGAATTGCAATATCGGCAACACAAATATTATACAATTTACTCTGTAAACAGGCACGAGAAATTTCCAAACCAATTCCGTTCAAGCCTCCAGTAATTAAAACAGTTTTACGTGAATCCATCATCTATTCGATATCAATTTGATATATTATTATTAATTTAAAATTGGAGAGGAAAAGAGTGCTGATGCAAAGTGTTCTCTTCACTGTATTTTTTCTAATTTTCTAATGATCGTGCGTACTTTTTCTATCCTATTTTACAATGATTTTGAGGTGAATGAAGATATTTGTGAGATGCCTTAATGGAGAATATAATCTCAGTGTTTCGAATTCAAATAGCTCATAAATTTATCTACATTATATTTGGACAATATTTATTATCGTCATCGTGTCTCAATATAATACAACATCAGAGTAATCCTAGAGTAGTAGTAGTCAAAGGTAAGGTGTGGTGATGCATTATTCATCGTGTGCCCATTCGGCAAGTCTATCTTGCTTTCCGTGTTTACGAGCAAGAATTTTCGAAAAGAATTTAACATACAGCACTAAAACTACAACCACTGCAATCATAATCAGAAATACGTTAAAGACCAATTCTACAGAAAGGAAGTTATCCATCAAATTATTGGCAATGCATTTCCAACAATAATCTTGTACATTAGTCTTGAAGAGTTCGGTTATCTCGTGGCCGAACAAAAGCTTACTAGAGTACAATCTGAGTCCTCCAGTAAATGTAACATAGTGATTGATAAATGCATCTAATTGCAAATCGATTGGGAAAGCCTTTTCTAACAATTTTTCTGCAGCACCCCTATTAATGATGTAACTTGCTGCTCCATAAACTCTAGTGGCTGTTGTTGTCATCCAATAATCGTTGTATCTTTCAAATTCTCCACTTCCAGGGAACAAGCTGAAGTACATAAAAGCAACATCAAATTTCTTTGGTAAGTGTGAAAAATAGGTCATAATTTCATCGTAAGGACTGGTAATTTCAAAATCGTCCTCAAATATTAAAATTCTCTCATAACCTTTCTCAATCATATCCTTCCAGATGTTGGTATGTGTAAGATAACAACCAACACCACCCTTTGTGGAAAGTTGATAATCCAAACTTCTTCCTTCCAAAATGGCCTTGTAAGTTGTAATAGATACATGATTGAAAATATCTTGGTCTGTTAATGCTTCACCAAATACAGGTTCAAAGAATGTATAATTCGAAAATATACCACCTAAAGTGTTTAAACGTCTTATAGATTTTTGTCTTCTATCTTCTCTTATTTTCAAATTAATCACATAAATATGATCAATCTTAAAATCCGTATTAATTTCATTTTCTTCTTGTGGTGTTGGTTTTCTAGTTGGAAGTGGGATATCGTGATGGTTTAAAGGTTTGATATATGGTAAAGGCTTAATGTCTTCTGTTTTAACACCTCCTTCCGGTTGAATAGGTGTGGTTGTTTTTGTTGCCTTGTTATTTTCCATCATTAACTTTGGGTTTTGTTCAGAAATTGTTGTTGTTGTTGGTGGTGTTTGTTCTTCTTCTGTTTGTGATTGTATCACCTTTTTCTTATTCTTCTTCTTCTTTTCTTGTGGTTGTTCATCTACACCCATCACTAATTTATCTGTTCTAGGGTCTGAAGACTGCAGACTTTCCCAGGTAGACTTTGATACAGGTTCCTGATGGTGTCTATTCGCTATTAGAGATCCATCATAAGTGCTATGGTCGTAAATTGTTGTAGCTTCTTCTAGAGAGTCCATACTATCATCAACACTAGTTGTAATAGTATTTTGAATCTTTGTAAATACACCAGAACGTAAATTGTACACGAATAAAAGGGAAGCAATTACACAAAGTAAAAGTAGAACCAGGAAAATGGCATTTCTACTTCTAACAATAAAATTACGAAGTAATGTTATAGATTGTTTAAATTCCTTCTTTCGACTAGAACCATTTGAGTCTGTCGATATAGAAGATAAAAGGTTTGAGAAAAAGTTATCACGGGAATTTGTACCATAGTGTTGTTGGTGATGGGAGGTCCTATAGCTAAAAGCATGGGGATTACTATGTGTACGTGGTCGAGCATTATTTGATGAATTACTAAGTTGTTGTTGTTGATGATGTTTCATGGCAGAGGAAGCGGAAGCAGGATTAATACTTGTGGATGAAGTAGAGGAGACAGAAGTGTGGGTGTTAATTGTTGGAGTAACATTATTTGTTCCGTTTAACACAACAGCAGTGGTAGTAGTCATTAACACGCTTGATTTTAAAGCTTGTTTTGTGGTGAGTGAGGTGGTGGTCGTTGTGGTTACTTCTTGTTGTGGTAAAATTGTATTGGTTTGTTGATTATTGGATGATGAATTATGATATTGGTCATTTGGAGCAGATGAAGTTGCCGATGTTGCTGATGTATTGTTGGCTCCAATAACAGCCTCACCGTTATTGTGGGGCGAAGGCATGCGTTTTTTTTTGAAAACTTGCTTAGTAACTTTGTGATGACAAGAGGCCAATTGTTTTTTAGGAGGGAAAATAGTGAGTGATATTTCCTCTCGAGTGCTCAACTTTTTGATTTTCGACCTTGATTTGAGAGGGCAAGTTATCTATCACTACTCAAAACTCCAATAGAAAGGAACAAGAATCAAAAGTAAATAAACTAAATATAAATCATGAAAGATAACGTTGAAAAAGCCAGTAGATTTAGCTCTTCTTGTTTTCAATGAATATTGTCTTGTGGCAACAGAAAGTGAAACGTATTGTTGTGATGAGACCTTGACGAGATGAGTGCTCATCAAAATTACGTTCTCGTAGACGAAGCAATCTATCCAAACACTGCTCGCCACTTCTAAAAAAGTTAACCTTGTTTGTAACCAACGGTTGAATTTCTTTTTCTCGTCACTTACCGTTGGTAATTTTTTTCCCGCCTCCAACTACAACTTCGTGTTTGCGTTTTTACTTGTTCACAACTCTATTAAGAAAATGTGCAGTAATGAAGGCCGAATACTGCCAATTCAAAGTATTAAATGAGAAAAATATTTCATACAAAACCATCTGCGTTTAATTTGTTGTGAGTATTTTATTGATCGAAAATAGGATTACCAAGTAATTGAAGAATGGTCTTTGAATAATTGGAGCTCCTTCCACAATTTTTCAAAACTCTCAATCGTTCAATGAATCAACCTTAGAAGACCTTTTTAGATTGTTCTCTGTTGAGGAATGAAATCATTATAGTTACAATTGATTGTGAAGTTTGAACAAATGTTAATTTCTTCAACTCTTTGGATTGTTTGGATATACAAAGCCAAGATTTTTAACTATTGAGTAAGAAAATGAGTTCTTTAAGTTGTAATTGAAAAAACAATTCATTGCAGCAATGATATTAACATTCCAAACTCCAATCTTTCCATACAACTTTCCTATCCATCAAACAATTCATTGAGAAGATTGAACAACCTTGATGTTGAAATATTAATATCATCTCAATACTCTATCCACAAATTTATTTGCGTTCAAACAATATTCAATAGCATCTAAGAATTCCGCCCTCAAGAATTTTTCATTTTTGCTTTTATAGATCAATTTCTGAATATTTTTAGAATTTCCAACAAGAAAAAAATGTTTTCCTACATCAGCAATTTAATAGGTGGAGGAAGTGCTGGTGGTAAATCATCATCATCATCTTCTTATAACGAAAAGATTGCTGTGGATGGAACCTTGATCGAATATGTAACCAAATCTAAAAATCCGAAGACTGCCATTATGAAGGCACAATTAATTATTGATAAATCAGAAAGCAAGGGAAGAGACATTGAATTGGTGATTAAAAACAAGGAATTTGATAAGGAAAAGATTAGTTTCTTGTTGGAGGAAGCAATGGAATTTGGTCAAGTTGTTGATCAACCTGTTGTGATTGCCTATTGTTGGGTGAATGGTAATACTATTTGGGTTTTCAAATTCTCTGAGAAGAATTACGAATTGTCAAAATGTCTTTCTAGATTGGCTTATGAATGCATCTTTGAAAATAGAGAAGATAGAGATTTTGATGAGGAAAAGGATAGCTATGACGATTTGTTGATGGATACAGAATTGCCATTTGATGTGGATACTCTTGTGATGTTTAAAACTGCATCGAGTCCTGTTGTCAATAAGCCAACAGTTGTTGAATCTAAACCAAGTCCAAAAACTGTTGCTACACTCCCTGTTAAAGAAACATCATCTGTCAAACCACCTGTTGCAACACAACCAACAACTCAACCTTCACAATCATTGTATCCATCTTTGCAAATTGGTGATGAGCAAACAAGAAAGAAATCATATGAAAAATCTATTGGTGGTAAATTGGAAGAAATTTGTTCTGCCAAATGTGATTTATACTTGTTAGATGAAAAGACTCACATTTATGAATTGAAGAGAGAAAATGTTACTGCTACAATTTATGAAGTGTTAGATGAAGAAGGTGATTCAAACTTTGACTATGTTATGGATATTAGTATTGGAGACGAAAGACTGATCATTCAAGATATTAACAGTGAAATGAATGCTCAATTCTACAATCAATTCCACTCAATTACTTGGAACTTTACAAATCCATTCTCTTCATGGAGTTTGATTTTCAAAAATTTGGATGAAGAGTCAGAATTCAAGACTAATTTGAGTAGATCGATTTATGAATTTAACACTTGTAATGATTTCTTCAAACTTGCCATTGAAGATCAAGAAATGCTTGTTAAAACATCTGCAATTGATCAATCTATTGGAAACAGCTCAAAATATTTGCAAGATTTGGATTATGAAGATGAAGATTATGTAGATTTTATTTCTGATTCTGAAGAAGAAGAAGAAAGTGAAGACGAAGAGGAGGTTGTTCCATCTGGTGGAAAACAACCTGGTTTACCAAAATATACCAACTCATTCATGTTGGACAGTTCTCAAAGAGAAAGAACATTTGTCATTAGAGGCAGTGATATTGGCGTATTCAAGAGAGATGATGATACTGATCACCCAGTTTTCGATACTCAAATCAAGAATGTTAGCACCACAAAAGGTGAACTCTTTGTTCCATACAAGGCCATGCTTCATAATCAAGATCGTGACTTGTTGTTCCTTCACAAGGATCAAGATAATGAAGATCATTGTGGTAAGGTATATAGAATGGATATTACAAGAGGTGAAGTTGTTGAAACATGGAATACCTTCCAAGATTATGTTCCAATTACTGAAATTAAGCCAACCGAAAAGTTTGGCGACCAATTACCAACTCAGGTGTTTGGTGCACTCAATGATAATGCTGTTTTTGCACTTGATCCTCGTATTCACGGTTCTGATAAGGTTGTTGGTAATATTTCTGCCATCACCTCAAATTCTAAACCACAATTCTCTTGCTTTGCAACTACTTCTGATGGAAGACTTGTTGTCGGTAGTGAAAAGGGTGAAATTAGAATGTTCAGTGGTATTCCAAACCTTGACAAGACTGGAAAGAAGGGAACCCATCCAAAATCAGCCAAGACCTTGCTTCCAGGTTTGGGTGATGAAATCATTGGTATTGATGTGACTTATAATGGTGAATGGGTTGTTGCTACATGCAAGACTTATTTGATGGTTATCAACACTTCAATGCCTAATAGTGATACTACTGGATTCACTGAAAGAATGGGTAAGAACAAACCAATTCCAAGAAAGATTCAACTTTTACCAGAAGATATCAAACAAGTTGGTGGTTCAGTATCTTTCAAGCCTGCTAAATTCAATAGTGGTATTGATGGTGAATTGTGGATTGTTACATCAACTGGTCCTTATTTAATTACATGGAATTTTAAGAGAATTACTCAAAATAGTTTATTCGATTACACAATGAAGAAGGTCAACAACAATGAAAATGTTGTGATGAGTGAATTCAAGAGTGTCAGGATTAATGAAGAAGGCAGACATGCTCCAATTATTGTAACAACACCAAATGATGTCTTATTAGAAAAGAAGAAAAAGACATCTACTGTACCTTACAAGAAGAGAACAACTCAATATAAGAAATAAAAATGTAAATAAACCTTTAATTTAAACATTGATAAATTGTGCCGAATCGAAAAGGAAGAGCCTTGGTTGTTGTTCAATTTCTTCCAATTCCTCATCGTCACTATCGTATAAATCGGAAGGAACAGCATCCAATATCGAATCTAAAATCTTGCTCTTTTCTTCTCTTCTCTTAGAAAGACTTCCAGCAAGAGAGGTTGAAAGATCAAGTTGCACTTGATTAATTTGTAAAGAATCTCTTGAAACATTCTTTGTTTTGTTTGCCAATTGGTCAATATCCAAACCTTCAATTACTTGAACAACTTGAGCTGACTTTTCATCAGTAGCATGTCCATACCATGGATCATCAATTGGTTTGGTATTTTCTTCATCAGTTACTACTACAGTGGTTGTCTTGGTAATAGAATCTCCAGTAAATGCCTTCTTTACAACCTTAGTGACACCTGCAACATCACCATAGGTTTCCTTCAAAGTTTCAATCTTGCACAACAATTCACAAACCTTGTCTTGTGAAACGAGTTCAATCTTGTCAATAGAAGCAGCTGCCTTATCACTGATAGCTATCAGTGAAGCAAATGATTGAGTATATTCCTTCAATTTTTCTTCCTCTGAAGCTTGTGCCTTCATTGCTTCGATAGAATTTCCACTATTGTGTCTCTTTTCAAAAGTGCTAAGAACTGTCTTGGTGAGTAATCCTTGTTGAATTCTAGTATCCATAATAGATTTGATATATTGTTCCAATTCCTTAGAATTATACAATTCAGCCAAGCAGAGTAAATATGTAACAATGAGAGTATGGATCATGAGCTTGTGTCTGACGTGCATAGTTTGTTGCTTTTCAACAGTTTCTAATGGTGTTGGTTCCTCATCATTGGCAGCTGAAGCAGTGTTGGATGAACCAGTTGATGTGGTAGAGGAGGCTGTTTGTACAGCAGCTTCTTGAAGTTTGAAGAGCATTGGCAAGGCATTTTCAATTTCCTTATTTCTATAGTGCTTTAACATATTTCTCAAAATTCTGGCGATGGCTGCAAAATTTTCTGGAAGATTATCATTTAAAAACAATCCCTTGTAAATGTAGACATATATCTTGGCTCTTTGACTTTTGGAAATGGTAATACGAGTTTTGATTGCAGCACTATTGCTGGCATCAATATCTTCAATGATTGCTGGAGACATGGCTGGTTTTTTATCTGATGTACCAATATTTGGAGATTGTTCTGGGAGGTAAGGTTCTTTGGTTGAAAGCATGGCAAGGAATACATTCAAATACTTGACTCTAACATAGACAGAGGAATTTGGTTTGACACTCGATTCCAAAAGAGCATTCACTAAATGGGATGGGAAGAAAAATTCGTTATTGTTTGATTGAGCATTATTGTTACCTGAGGATCCAGCTGGAACATTTCCAGTGTTGGATTGATTAGTGTTGGAAGAGTTACTGGTATTTTGACTCAAAATGTAAGCACCAATCTTGGCAACATTTAACAAGCAATCAACAAGTAATAAATGTTGAATAATATTTGGTGACAATTGTTCCGATTCAATCAATCCTTGAACGTTACGAGTAAAGTCAGATACTGTAATTTTACCCTCTTGCTGACGAATTAATTGTTGAATAGAATCCATTAATGAAACGTTTTGTTGAGTAAATTTACCACGTTGAGCAATAATGTTGAGACATTCCAAAACAGAAGAAGTCAAGGCGTCAGTTTTGAGAATTTCTTCATATTGAGTTGGTGAAATTTTTGGAGTACTAGATACAAAGTTGCTCTTGAGAGTGTTAATCAATTGGGCAACTGCTTCAAAAGCACGAGCACCACTTGTTGCACCCTTCTTTGATTGTATAGAGATGATGAAAATATTGGCACGAATCATTCCTGCCTTTTGAGCTCTATCAAGAATTTCTTCAAAATGTTGCATATTTGCAGAAACAATGACATATCCCTTACTGGACCATTCATTTGATGATTGAACAATAATTCTCATAATAGATCTCACTAATTCTGGTTTAGAGACCCATCTATTTTGATCATCAAGGAAATCCCAAATAGGTTTCAATACGTGACGAATGGTGCTGTCGTTGGCTTGTCTAGCAATAGCACCCAAACATTCAATAGAAACTTTTGTAGCACTTTCAGCAGTGAGTTTAGAAAAATCAACATTAGGAATTCTAAATATCATAGTGTCATCATATACTTGTGTAGATTTTTCCAAATAACCATTAATTGTTAATAATAATACAGGTATAACTGGTGCAACTCCCAGAGATTCAAGTTTAGGAATCATTTTAGTGATTGCATTAATACTAATTACTTTAAGACTATGATAATTGTTAAATTTTCAATCAGTTGATGATATGACACTTACTCTAAATCCTCACACTTTACCAAGTCAATAAGTTTCAATTCGTACTTGTTAAATGTTCTAATAGAAGCTCCCGAAGCATTATCTACAGCACTTGTGAGCAAATTGACAGCTCTCTTCTTTAATTTTGCGTTTTTCCCATCAATTAACAAGGTAATAATATTATCAACATTCACTACGAAATAACTCAGATCTGATCGGGTGTTAATCAATTCGTAAAATATATCACATCCAACGGCAACGTTACTAAAGTAATCCAATTTGTTGATATCGTATTATTGTTATTATTATAAATTTATAATATTATCAATTGATGACAGTCAATATTATTAATAAAGTAAATAAATATATTATTATATAATAACAATATTGATGCCAGGTTATTGTTGTTGTTATTATTAAAACAACTTACAATTCATTTCCCTTTTGATAATCTTGTTTAATCCTAGCTTCAAGAGTTGCTCCAATACTTGGCAATTGATCAGGATAGGTAACAGCACGAAGAGTCAAGCTCGAAATTAAATTCTTAGAGGTTTCATGGCGCTCATTAGCATCAGCATAGATATCGTTGATACTCTTCTTGTGATGAGGCTCTTTACTTCCGCAAATACCCATTTCTTCTTATCGTTCGAAATTTACTACTACTATTTAATAGTTTAAATATATCCTCCACCTTCAATATAGAAATCTCTAATATTCGGTCGAAAAAGATGATGTTGTTTGTGTGTGGTTTTTAGGAGATGATGAAAACCACGCAACAGTGTGATGAATTTTTTTGGGTAATAGAACTGCGATATGTTCATAGCAGCAGAGGATTCTATTTCACAACGATATCCATTCTCTTTCGTTTTTAATATTGTTATTAACAATTAATAACAAGTGTAAGTATGATAGGAGATTGATAGTTATTCTTGATAGGAAAATTTTCAAAGTGAATGTGAAGGGGATGTAGCTCACATGGTAGAGCGCTTCTTTAGCATGGAAGAGGTACGGGGATCGATACCCCGCATCTCCACTCAATACTTTTTTATTTTCTTCATCAATTATTATTTTCTTGCTTCTTTTTATTCTGTAACGTCAATTAATTCCTTACATGCAACACAATATCCTCGAGCCGATCGACAACAACCACTCAAATATACATATCCTTCACTGGCAGCTTTAAACATTTCATCATTTGGTTCTCCTCTCAAGCACGGAATGATAAATTCTTTCGATGAACATTTGGGACATGTTGGAATGGCAATATTCCTCTCCGTATAAAACTTGTTCAAATACTTTTGTCTCTTTGATGAGTTGGCAAATAAAAGTATCTTCTTTTGTTCTATTGTCATGTCTTGATGGGCAATTGTTGTTATTATTGATGATGATTTTTTCAAAGATTGAGGAATGAACTTTGAAATTCTTATTGTTGTTGTTTTCTTAGAAAACTTGAACTTTTGATAAGGAAAGAGTTCATATGGACAGTGAATTGATTTTGTAATGGCAGGTCAGAAAGGTTGATTGGTGTGTGCTCACTTTACAATAAATTTCAATATACAACCAAGATCTAAAATAATCTCATTTTCCATTGTTGACCTTTTGAATTCAAATACCAAACCAAAGGTTCACCACTCACCTTATTACAATACAACCATTCAATTAGTAAATTTTTCTGAAAATTGTTCTTTCAATTATCCCAAATCGCTCCATTTTCAGCAAATTCGCCAAATTTCACAGTTAAAAATTCCAACAATTTTGAAAATTCACAACTTGTCGCTCACTCTACCATTTACCCAATCTTCCTCTGGTTGCGAACTCTATCAGCCATAGTAGTTTTTCAAATCAGCATCTCAAACAACTCAACAGTACAATTGCAGTAAGAGAGTTGGGATTATTACGGAAAAGTTTAAAAAAACATAACGACACGAATTTTTGTGAGTATGCTGGAGAGAGATGATGGAAGAATTGCACATGAGAGTCATTGTAATGTTCCTTCATCATCATCATCATCATCATTATCACCATGGATGAATCAACAGAGTTGTTTGCTTACTTTGGATGAGAGGAGAGGAAGAAGGGCAGCACGAAATCACTTTGAGAGTTATTCAACAATTGTGTTGGGATGTGGTGATAATTCCAAGTGTGAGTTTTTTTACAATCATAATCATCGTCTTATCTTAATAATATTGAATTATATTGAATTTTGGTTCGTGTGTGTGGGTGTGGATGTGAAATTTAATCACAGATCAATTGGCAGTAAAGAATAGGGGAAATTATGAAGAGTTATTTCCATTGTGTAGTGTTGAAGAATTATTGAGTAGAAATGAGTCGAGAGTGAGTGAGATGGCTTGTGGGGAGAGACATGCAATCATGCTATTGGAAAATGGAAGGGTTTTGTCAATTGGGGATAATAGTTATTGTCAGTTAGCTCTGGATCAATTTTACTTGTCAGAAGTTAACAAGTTTACAAAATCATCTTTGAGAGATGAGATTGTGAAGGTTTCTTCAAAGTTTAATCATTCCATCTTTTTAACAAGGGAAGGAAGATTGTATTCCTGTTCAAATGTTAATCACTGTGGTCAACTGGGTATTGGATCTTTCATGTCGACTAATGTTTGCTATCCAATTAGTTGTTTCTTTGGTGGAAATAGAAATTCAATACTTTATCATGTTCCAAACAAGACATTTAGAGTGGTGGATATTGCAACTGGAATGAATCATTCACTGTTCATTGTTGAAAAGTATAATAATGAAGGTAGAAAGGAGTTTTATCTTTTTGGGTGTGGAGATAGTTCAATGGGTCAATTGAGTAAGCTGCAAGGTTGTGTGAACTCACCTCAGGAAATTAAGAAATTTGAAGAGCCAATCAAGAAGATTGATTGTGGAAGTAATCATAGTGCTGTTTTATTAGAAAATGGAAAGCTCTTCATATTTGGATCGAACCAGAAGAATCAATGTTGTGCCTCTTTCAACATTAACAAAATTTCTGAACCATTCTTGATTAATGGAACATTTTCTGATGTGCAGTGTGGTAAGGATCATACTGTAATGGTATCAATGGACAAACTTGAGATTCTCATAACCAGTGCAAAGTGTAAAGAACCAATCGTACGTAGAATTTCACCAAATGTCAAAATAGCATCAGTTTCCACACTCTCCAATTCAAGAACTGTTCTACTCACCCAAAATGAAACCTCTGTATTTGTGAATATTCTCAATCCAGAGGGAATAATTGAGTCAGCATGGGAATATAATCAAAACAGAGTCATTCCCAAGCAAGGATATGATTTCAATGAGGTAAGAAAACCAAAACATGATCACTCATGTGAATGTGGTTGTTTCACTTCAAAACTACGTTTATTTAGCGGTCATCAGTTTATGTACATTATTTTAGAAAAGTTTTGTCATACCATTTATCAAAAGCTTGGCAATAACAACTTTTCAGATATTCAAATAAATACCAAGTGTTAACCAATCAACGCCATTATATTACAGCTATATCTTCAATTAATACAATTAACAGCAGATCATACTCGAGTATTGTTGCTTTTCCTCTTCAATCTCCATCAGTAATTGCTCCTTGAACTGAGTCTTCTTTTTTTCAACTTGTTTGAGAGCTAGAAAACTCCTTATCATTGATTGAATCTTTGTTGCTGCTTGATTCTGAACTTCAATCTTCATATCTTCAAGCATTGAGGCGTACTCTTCTCTTTCCTTATTGAGTTCTTCAATTAACCTGTTATGACATTCCATCATCTTTCTCTTGTATCTTTGTCTAGCAAGGAACTTTCTTACCATCAATTGAATAGTAATGGCAGCCGCAACCTTTCTTGCATTTTGGAGAGAACCTGGGTTCTTTTTTGAGGATGGAGAAATACACTCTTCTCTCAATAGTTCACTATTTGGTTCCAATTCTGTTGGTTCACTTTCAAAATCACTCAGTGCACTGCTAGAAAGTGTAACATTATATCTTTCGCTATTAGCAATCGATCCTTGTCTCGAGAAATTGAGTGGGGAAAGCTTAATGATAGCAGATCTTGGTGATTCTGAAGGTGTCTTTGAAATATCTCCATAATCATCGAGTAGAAATGAATTATTGAGGATATTATTACTTTCATCCAATGTTGTTTCTTCAGGTCTTTTTAGAGGAGTGAGAAATATTTTCGAAGATTTGAGTGCTTTCTTAGCAAAGGACATGGCCTGTGGAATGTTTTGCTTCTTCTCCTTAACTGATTTTTCAATGCTCATAATTTTACCAAAATATGGATCCACTTTCAAAAGGGGGAGTATGCTAACCAGTTTCTTCACTCTCCTATATTCCTCGGCGTCAATCTCTGCTCTTGCCATAACTTCTTGTCTTTCATTTTCTAGAATGACATAGTGTATTGCCTTGTTCAGTGTGGTAATATAGTACCTTTCGTTTTTAAATGCTGGCTCGAGTGGATCCACCATTGGTTTTCCCTTATTAAAAATTGCATGCATGGAAATGTTGCAATCATTGTATGGTTGGTTTTCACAAATAGAGGTCACAATTCTATACACCTTAATCATGGACTTGAGCCATCGTTTCTCTATAATTATATCGTGGTGGGAACTGAGGTGGTGATTCATTATATCAATAGCTTGAAAGAGGTAGTATCGACTAGGAACCATCTGTTTCGTCTCAAATAGTGCCACACCATAATTGAAGGTATTAAAGCACTTATTAATAATTATGAAATACTCATTGTCACAAATGAATGTCAAAATTCTATTGAAATAATCTAGCAAGCTTGTTTGTACAGAAGTGCTTGGAATTTGGTTTTTGTACAAAAAAATGTTATTTTCAAAGCACTCAATTGCTTCCTCATACTTCTTGCGAAAGAGACAACTAGTGGCATACGTTTGCAAAATATATTGAGCATAAATGCTTGTTCCTGTTTGACTGTACATTTCATAGGCTTGTTTGGAATATTTGTACATCATGTTATATTTTTTTCTTTTTTTGTAATAATTACACATGGCACTGCTGAATAGAGATGTGAAATAATCTTTCAATTGGTCGCTCTTGAAGTGTTTCAGCATCATTTCTCCTACTTTCAATAGTTCCATGCTGTTGTGAAAGCTCTGGTATTGAGTTGACAAAACAGTTGAATAATTCAGAATGATAATTGAAAATAGAGATAAAGATAAATTCAGTTCATATCTGTCCTCTGTTGTGTCGGTAAACATGGAAATCTTTCGTTCTATCAAAATTTGAATACTCTTCAAACACTCTTTAAAGTTGGCATTAGAATAATCCATAAATGATTGATTCAGAAGCTCAATATTTGTTGGTTTCAATTGTTTTATCCTCACACTTGGTTTTGGAGGTTGAAAAGTGAAAGTACCACTATTAAGAGAGGATGAAGGTGAAGGAAGTGATTGAATCTTGTCAATTTGACCAGCATCAAACTTTTTCTCCAAATCCAATAACAATCCCCATATAGTTTTATCCAATGAAAAGTATGCATATCCATACAGCCACAATGGTTCAACAGCACTAGTGTTGGGCTGTGAAGAGTTGTCACTCATTGTTTCAGAAAATGTCTTTTTCTCTCCCTTGTTGGGAGATGCATTCATTCCATCAGCAGCTGAATGTTTCACTGTTGATGGAGGATGAGGATGATGAACGTACCCACCATTTCGTGGAGATACCTGTACAGTCGATGATTTGTATTGTCGAAAATTCCTCATCCTTCTTATATTTAGCTATCTATACAATATGATACAATTTCTGCACTCCTTCTTCGGGATGTAGTTAATAATTTAAACAATCTTCAATAATTCACAATGATATACTCTCAGAGTTTCCTTAAGAAGTGCCCGATCAAGAATGGTTCAACCTAATATCCTTAAAAATTACTGTAAATTTTCTCTGTATGTGGTTTGATGGTGAAGGAAGTGAGGCCTTTTTTTTTGATTTAGAAATTCCTGAATAGTTTATCGTCAGTGATTTTTTTGGATTGAGATGAGATGCAAACATGAAAGTTGCATTCACATTAGAGATTAATGTGAGGTATTGAGAATTATTATTATTATGTGGATATTCAAACTCTAATGCTTGTTAGCTTTGAGTAAGAATTCTTTGTTAAGGGTGAAATTGAAATATTATTTGAGATTAATTCATATTGATAATCATGATGATGATGAAGAAAGATATTAATTATTGGAAAGACAAGTCCTTTCCATTTGAGGCAAACATAAACTTAGAATATGTATTGTTGTAGCATGATGATGCTGTCGGTATTCAATTAATTTAAAACTCTAATAATAAAAAATGAAATTATTGGCCATTCACGTTCTCTACAAGCCAACAACAGCAAATAGCAAATCAGTTATTTTGGCCGGCTATGATGAATTATCTTCATTCGGATTCTTTCAACGTGGTACTGTTCGTGAATATGTTGTATTTATTACTAGATTATTATCGGATAAAAATCCTCCAGGAACAAGACAACAAATTGTCAAGGATGAATACACTTGTTATGTACAAACAAGAGTGGATAGTCAATTAAGTGCTGTTATTGTTACGGATAGTGATTATCCAGCTAGAGTTGCTTTTTCATTACTCTATAAAGTACTTGTTGAGTATGAAAAGAAATATCCAAAGTCAACATATACATTAAATACAAATCAAATCGAAGACTATGGATTGCAATTAGAATCAATTAATGATTACTTACAAAAATATCAAGATCCTAAATCTGCTGATGAACTATTAAAAGTAATAACTGATTTGGATGATACAAAAACTATCATGAATCAAGTATTGGAAAAGATGGTAGAAAGAGAAGGAGAATTAAATGACCTTGTAAATATGAGTGACGACTTATCAATGAGTAGTAGAGCTTTCTATTCAGCTGCTTCATCTGAAAATGGTTGTTGTTTATTAATGTAAACACCTGAAAATGTAAAATAAGAAAAACAAGAAATAACAATTTTGACTCTTTTTCAATAAATTTATTGTAATTTTTGTTGCAAATAGTCATAAACAAGACGGAAAATATCTGTTAAAGATAAGAGTCCCATAACTTCCATATCGTCATTCATAATGAAAATACGGTGAACTCTATCTTGCAATAAACGTTGAATCATGTCACCAATTGTGTGATTTTCAATTTTACAAAATACAAGTGAAGGAGCTGATGTTGAACCATTCTTTTCTCTTGACATTCTTTGGAATTCAAGAACAGGAGAAGCCAAATGGTGATAATCTTCATCAATGAAACCTTGCAAATCACTGGCACTGAGACATCCAATTAATTTATCATCCTTATCACTCAAAACACCAACAGCACTCAATCCCTTATCACTAATAACCTTGATAGCATCAATGGCCAATTGTGATTCTTTAACATTAATAACTTGAGAGAATGGCTTTGAGGAGAGAACAGTTTTCAAAGACATTGACTTGAATTCATCAAACAATGCAGAATTATCACCCAAATCGAGCTTGAATAAATATTGGAAGAGAGTCATTTGTGAACAGACAGCAACAACCTTGTTATTTTCCAAGATTGGAATACGGTGAATTCCATTAGCAAATTCAGCCAACAATTTCATGAAGGAATCGGAGCTGTTCATTGGAATGTATGGATTTTTACCAGACATGTCTTTAAAATGTTAATTTTCCATATAAACATTATCAACACACTTACTCATAACTGATCCAACTTCTTCAACATCGAAAGAAAATTGTAATAAATAATTCTTGAATTGTGACTGGTCAGTATTGTTGAAATATGTTTGACTTGTAAATGTTGCACAATCCAAAACATCAATAAGTCCAATACATGAATTTGTTTGTTCATCATAAACAGGAGCACTAAGAATATGATTACTGGCAAGGACTAACAATGCTTCCTTCAAAGAAAGAGTCTTGTTCAATGAAATAATTTGACGGGAAGAAAGGGAGGCAACAATTTGGGAAAGAGTAAGATTATCAAGTGGACGAATTGAAGACATTTTCGTAAAGGAATTTAAAGCTTAAAATAAATAATGTTGTTATATTGTGTTTTGTTATTATTAACTCTCCAAATGGTGGTGTGTTGATGATGAAAAATCTTTATATCGCACAACAAAGCGGAAGAGTAGGTGTAGGCTTATTTTTTATAATATGAGAATATGATTAATAATCTTTTTAATTAAATAAAATCGGAACCGGAGATGAATATTTTGGGTCCTTAAAAGTAGATGCACTCGGCTAGCTGAGAAAACCTCTTAAATAAAATAGAACTGATGTTCAAAGGTAACATTACTCAATTACAGTATACTACCAATCATATAGGATTTAAAATAATATTAACTGAGAGTTATGTTATTATTGGTGGATAAAGCAAGCATAATTTCTTTTTAATTATTCTCTGCTATTTAAATAACGTTCCATGATGGAGGAACAAAACAATATTTAGATGTGATGATAATTTACCGGAATATAACAATTTAGAGGAAATTACCATCACCAAGTGTTCGGAATTGATAATCTTCTAGAAGCATACAGCATATCATCTATTTTTATAATATTTGAGTATTTTGAAGAAATGTTAAATTGAGACAATAAGAATCATCATTTCTCCAAATAATCCATACTAAATGACACAATGACATTAAGGATGGAGATTATTTCAACGTCGTGGCAATTGAAAAAGTCCATCATATGTTTCGAATATTCTTTTTATCATTGTTCCGAATTCGGATGTCAATATGATGACAATTCCCCGAGTGATAAATGTACTGATTAACAGCAGGACTAAGTTGAAAATATTTGAGGGAACAACAAGGATGGAATCCGATTGAGGAGTATTATTCAATTTGTAATCTGTTCCAAAATTATGAATAACGAAAGAATCCACCACTGTGGCTACAAGTTAGAGAAATCAGCAACGAAATATGAGATCATCACAGACTAATCATATAAATAGCTAATGTTTGAATGAATTAGAGAAAACAATTCAAAAAAATTAACATTACATCAATATGCCTACTGAAGTACAATTACAACAAGAAACTGGTGTTGACACCAAACAATCAATTGAGGAAAGACACGTCTTTAGAAGAAAGAATAAGAAAGCAAAGAAAGAGAATGAAGTTGCAATCAAAGATGATAGAGAACCCGACATTAAGTTTTATCACCATTTCAAGATTATTCAAATCTTTGGGTGGAATCTGATTCTAGTGGCAATTGGAGCTATTGGATGTATGGCTTATGGTTTAATTCCTGTCATGTAAGTTTTCTTATGAATGTAAATAATCTGAATAACATTTTCAGTTGTCAATGGATTTTGGGTGATTTGATCGATGCCTTTTTCCTTAACGCTGCAACTGCAACTGTTGATCAATTGAAAGATGCTGTTGCTCAAACAGCTATCAAGTTGACAATTATTACATTTTGTGGTATGGTTGCCTTTGCTATGCAACATTTCTTCTTGCAATTGAGTAATGCTCGTTTAGGTACAGCTCTCAGAGAAGCCTATATGAAATCCCTTGCCAAACAAGAAATGAGTTTCTTTGATATTAAGAAATTGGGTGCTTTGACTGTTGTCTTGTCTGAAGATATTCCAAAAATTCAAGATGTTTACACCAACGAATTGTTTCTCTACCTACAAGAAATTATTCAATTTATTGTTGGTTTCATTTTGGCAATGTGTGTCAATTGGAGAATGGCATTGATTCTAGTTAGTACATCTCCATTAACTTTTATCAACTATATGCTCATGTCCACCATCTCTACAATCATTACAAGAAGAATTAACAGATTAACTGAAAACTCTGCTGCTGTTTCCAATGAAATTACAGGTAAGTATTTTCTTAAAATTCAATATTTAGTAACATTAAATTACCAAAACAAGGTTGTATCAAGACAATTCGTTCAATGGCTGGAGAATTAAAGGAAGTTGAGAGATTTAAATTGGATTTATTCAAGATTAACAAAAATGGTATTTACAAGGGAATGGCTCACTCTTTCGCTTATGGTTGGGCTGCTATGGTTACTTATGGAACTATTGCTTTGGCCTTTTGGTATGGTGGTGATGAGGTGGCTGAAGGAAAGTCGACTCTTGGACAAATTTTCAAAGTTTTCGGTATGCTCTATTTGGGTGTTATCAGTTTGACTAGATCAGCAACTTTCTATCCTCATTATGGTAAAGCTTTCGTTTCTGAAACTACCTTTTTGAAGGTTGTTTTGAGAAAGCCAGATATTCCATTCATGGGAGGTGTTCAACCAGAAAATATTGAAGGTAACATTGTAATTGACAATGTTGATTTTGCTTATCCTTCCAGACCAAACACTCTTGTTATGAAGGACTTTAGTTTGGATATCAAAAAGGGTCAAACAATTGCTTTGGTTGGTCCATCTGGTTCTGGTAAATCAACAATTGTTGGTTTGTTGGAAAGATTCTACAGGCCAGTTAAGGGAAAGATTTATTTGGATGGAGTTGATTTGGAAACTATTGATCCAATGTATTTGCACAAAGTTATTGGTATTGTAGGACAAGAACCTGTTCTCTTTGCTGGATCTATTAGGTATAATATTGCCTACTCACTTGGTTTAGAAAATTGTACACAAGAACAAATTGAAAATTGTGCTAAACAAGCCAATGCCCACAACTTTATTATGGATTTACCTGAAAAGTATGAAACTCAACTTGGTGAAAAGGGTGTTTCTTTATCTGGTGGTCAAAAGCAAAGAATTGCTATTGCTAGAGCTTTATTGCAAAATCCAAAGATTTTACTTTTGGATGAAGCTACTTCTGCTCTCGATACTGAATCTGAAAGTTTGGTTCAAGCTGCTTTGGATCAATTGATGAAGGGTAGAACTACTATTTGTATTGCTCACAGATTGACAACTGTTATTAATTCAGATGTTATTTGTGTCTTGGTCAAGGGTGTCATGAAAGAAAAGGGCAAACATAGTGAACTCATCAAGATTCCAAACGGTATCTATAGAAACTTGGCTGAAAGGCAGATGGTTATCACTGAAGAACAAGTCAATGACGTTGAAGAAGTCATGGACGTCTTGGTTGATGATGATCATCACGACTCTGCTCACGAAGATCAAAACCAACAATAACCTTAAAACAATTTTGAAACCATTCCTTATCAATAACTTTTTGAAAATTTGTAAATAGAACTCACAAAATAAACTTGTAAAAACTTAACAATCTGAATTGAATCTTTACAATAGAAAAGAAAAAAATGGCACAACAACCAATAGTGATCGGCTTGCACTTTGGAACGACGAATATTTGCATTGCCACTCATCAAGAAAATCAAATCAAAATAATTCCGAATGAGTATGGATTTTTAACGAGCCCGAACAGAGTTTCATTCCTTGGAGAGGATGCTGAAGCTCCTCTGATTGGAAATTCATCAAAATTAATAACATTTCCACAGTGCACAGTATTTGATGTGAAAAAGATTATCGGAAGAAAGTTTAATGATGAACTCTTGCAAAATAACATCAATTTTTATCCATTCCGAGTTGTGGAGGGTCCCAATAATGATACATATTTGAAGGTGGAAAGTAGAATGGACATGTTTGCACCAGAGTTGGTTGCTTCATTTGTATTTGGATATGTGAAACAGTTGGTTTACATGTTTTATGGAATGGAAGAATGTGAAACTCCTCTCGATATTATAATAATGCTTAGTGTTCCAAATTATTTCAATGATGAGCAGAAGGAAGCACTGAAGGAATCATGTGAATTTAATAATTTAACAGTATTGGATATTTGTAGAGAATCTCAATGTGCTTGCTATGCCTATGGATTGGAGAAGAGTTTGAGAAATGAATATGTAATGACACTCAGTATGGGTGGAACATCATTTTTGTTGAGTATTGAATTTATTGATAAGGATGGAAATGTGACATTGAAGGAACATGATGGAGATGTCTATTTGGTATGTTTTTAGAGCTTTGAATAATCTCTTTAACTTCAATTTAGGGAGGTGATGATTTTGATAATAGAATTGTAAAGTACTGTTGTAACGAATTTATGGAAAAGTATAATTTAGACATTAGAGAAAACCCAATGAGACTGAGATTTTTGAAAAGTGAATGTGAAAAAGCCAAGATTAAATTATCTACAGAAAATGAGGCAATCATAACAGTGAAAGGAAATGATCAACAAATTTACGAATTGAAATTGAATAGATCAAAATTTGAAGAGCTCAGTATGGATCTCTTTGAATCTTGTATTAAATCAATGGAAGGATTAATGGAACAGGCAAAAATTACCAAATCAGATATTAGAAATATTGTGCTGTTGGGAGGATCATTCTCAATACCCAAGTTGCAAGAATTATTGAGAAATTACTTTGCAGAAAATTGTGAATTGAATTCACATTTTATTCTAAACTCAATCCCTCCAGAACACGTTATTGCATATGGTTCTGCTCTGAGTGGATCAGAGAGAGACCTTTCCACACTCTCCAAAAAAGAAGCCTCAGTAGATATCAATCCAGTCTCTGTTGGAATTGAAATATTTGGTTGTGTGATGAAGTCAATTATCGAGAGAAATGCATTCATTCCATGTAAGAAGAGAGTTTCCATTGCAGTATGTGCTGAAAAACAAAAGAAAATACTTATCAATATTCTGGAAGGAGAACGACTCATTTCCAAACATGACAAATCAGTTGGTTCAATTGAAATTCCTATTCATAACGAATCATCCTTTGAAGTTGAATTTGAAATTGATTTAACCTACACACTACAAGTCCAAGTCTATGAGAAGGGAAACCCAAACACATCTATCAAATCCCTCTCCATTCCCAATTACTTTTCCCATCTCAATCCAGAGGAAATCTTTGAAATGGTCAAGGAATCCTCTCACACCATCGAAACAGACAAGACCACACTAAAAATGATTCATCAACTCATCATACCATCCCTCGTCTCCAATCCAGACACCACCTGTATCCAATTGACTCACTAAATAATCCAAACTTCAAAAAACATGATCAAGATCAAACATTCACAACAACCTTGTCAATTTACCTGTTGTTGAATATTCTGCTTTCAAGTAAATATTTGAGGTGGTTGCATTTTTAAAAATAAAATAAATTGTCTTTGAAAAAAAAACCACCACTTATTAACTTCCCAAATTTTTTCCTTTTTTCAAAATTTTAATCCGATTTTTAAAACATGCCTCCAGCATCATCATCATCGGGCAAGAGAGTTAAAGTCCCAAATGTTCTCTCTAAGAACACTACTAAACAGAAACGTAAAGAAAAGAGTCACTCTTTAAATCAAAATCGTAAAGTTGATAAGACCAAGATTGGTAAAGGTCCAACACAATTGCGTTCTCGTGGTACCATTAAACGTTTGTTGATGTATACATCTAAAGTTAAGAGAAATGAAGATGGTGAAATTATCAAAGGTTATGTTACTCCAAAATCACAACAAATTGCCAAGGGTGAAATGGCTAGAATTGCTCCAGATCGTAAATGGTTTAACAATACTCGTGTGATTGGTCAACAAGAAATGTCCAAGTTCAGAACTGCATTGGAAAAGAAAATTCACGATCCATATACAATTCTCTTAAAAAGATCAAAAGTCCCAGTTTCTCTCCTTCAAGCTAACACTACACCAACTGCTACTTCTTCTTCGATATTAGCACCAACAAAACCAACAATTCCTTCTGTGGGAGGTGAAACTTTAGTACCAACAAGTGATAATATTCATGCTTTGCATCAATCTAGTACTTTCCAAATTAAGAGACAAATTAACTTCCAAGAAACTTTCGGAAACAAGGCTCAACGTAAGAGGCCAAATTTATTATCTAACGATTTGTTGGAATTACTTGGTCAAGCTGGTAAGAAACAACAAGATTATGAACCAGTTAAGGATAAGAAACAATTATACGTTCCTAATGAATATTATTATCTCCATAAGGAAGGTACTAATGCTCAAGATGTTTCTTCAGTTATGGCTTCAAGTGGATTTGTTAGATCCCATTTATATGATCCATGTACTCAACGTGGTACTTCTAAACGTATTTGGGGTGAATTGTACAAGGTTGTTGACTCTAGTGACGTTTTACTTATTGTTCTTGATGCCAGAGATCCAATTGGTACTCGTTGTTATCATATTGAACAATATCTTAAGAAGGAAAAGCCACACAAACATGTTGTTTTCATTTTGAATAAGTGTGACTTGGTTCCAACTTGGGTGACAGTCAGATGGGTTAAAATTCTCTCACAAGAATATCCATGTCTTGCATTCCACGCCAGTGTTGAAAATCCATTCGGTAAGGGTGCATTGATTCAATTACTTAGACAATATGCTCAAGTCCATCGTGATAAGCCAAGTATCAGTGTTGGTCTTTTGGGTTATCCAAACGTTGGTAAATCAAGTGTTATTAATACTTTGAGAAAGAAGAAGGTCTGTAAAGCTGCTCCAATTCCTGGTGAAACTAAGGTTTGGCAATATGTTGCTTTGATGAGACGTATTTTCTTGATCGATTGTCCTGGTGTTGTTCACACTACTGATGGTGGTGAACAATATAAATTGAAGAATACATATACTACATCTGTTGCTGATGAGGAATATCAATATATGAATAGAGTTGCTGATAACGTATTGAAGGGAGTTGTTCGTGTTGAAACTGTTACTCCTGATGAATTGGTAGATGTTATTCGTGTCATTCTCCATCGTATGAAACCAGAATATATTCAACGTACATATCAAATTTTGACATGGAAGGATCACCATGATTTCCTCACTCAACTTGCTTATAGAAGTGGTAGATTGGGTAAGGGAGGTATTCCAGATGTTCAATCTGTTGCTAAAAAGATTGTTCACGATTGGCAACGTGGTAGACTTCCATGGTTTATCATTCCACCTTTCGAAGATGATATTGAAAAGACTGAAATGAGAAGTTTGAAGGGTGAATTCGAGCAAAAGAAGAGAAATCCACTTTTGAATCACAATATTAAGCAATTGTTCTACAAGTTAAAGACTGATGATCAATTGGCTGTTGTTTACTCAAAACACGACATGAAGGGTGTTGGTATTATTCCAGATGGCAAGGTTGACGAACTTAGTAAGGAACTCGCCAAGCCAACCAAGGAACAAATGAAAAAGATTGAATCTCAAAATGCTAAAAAGAAGAAGCTTTTGAAGGACGCAAAGAAGGATGTTGTCGTTGCAGATGAAGATGATGACGACGAACCAGTCGATTGGGATGAAGTCTATGCTCAATTCAACGATGATGAAATCATGGATGATGACGAAGAAGCCGAAGAAGGTGAAGATGATGACGAAGAAATTGATGGTGAAGATATTATCATTGGTGACGAAGATGAAGATGATGAAGAAGCCGAAGAAGATGGTGAAGAAATGGTTGAAGAACCAGTCATTGTCAAGCCAGTAGTTGATGCTAAACCAGTTAAAGTTAAATCACTCACAAAGGCTGACCTTATGTCTCGTCTGAAAAAGTCATCTAAACCAGAAACAAAGATTGAAACCCAAAAGGCTTCCGAAAATGTCTATGTTCCAAAGATTCTCAGAAATAAACTGAAGAAATAATTTATTTTCCTTTTTAATTTCTAATTATTCTCATTGATGTAACTTGCCATTAAGGTAAGTAATTTTGAATTGGACATTAATCCTTCTTCTACAACAGAGAACTCGGTATGTTTTTGTCCAGATAATTTCTCAAATATTTGAATGAAATTCACTGTGTGCTCATCCTTCTTATCTAAATGAACAAGTTTAGAGATTGACTTGTTTGGAAGTGGCAAATTCTTTTTCTCCTTCTTTTCTTTTTCCTTTTGTGGGGATTTTTCTTCTGTTATGTTGTTGGTAAAGTACTTGCTCTTATTCAATTCCAGAATGAGGCAATCAGAAGATTGAGAAAACATGGAAATTTGTGAATTTTCACAATAATAAACCTCATAAATCATCTCCTCCACAGTAGGGTCTGCTTGAAGAGAATTGCGTTTCTCCTTATTTCTTGGAGTGAAAAATCCAAAGAATCCCTTTTCTTCTTTAGTTTTGATTGGAAGAATTCTTGGCTTTGAAGTTATCACTATAGTTAAATCAACAAAGACATGTATCTCAACAGTTTGGAGTTGAGTACGTGGTGTCTGATCATCACCTTGCAATTCTTCCTTTGATCTGATTGGAGTGACTTTGAATGATCCAACAGATCTTCTGTGAGGTTGAACAAAATCATCTTCAATACTCTTGAATGATGGAACCTTATTAATGATGCTATCCTTAACAGTAATGACCAATGTTTGATTTTGATAATCCTTAACAAATGAATTGACCTTGTAGGTAATCCTTTCAATTTCTTTGATTGCTGCTTCAATTTCTTTAAATTGTGGATCTTGTAAATTTGTAAACTTTCCAAGTTGTTTCAAAAATAGGGCATATCTTGGTAATCTTTGAGGTACCATGACAATGAATGACATTAAATCAAGTGAATTTGATCCCTTCAAGCTTCTTGCCTTTTTCAATTGCTCTGCAAAATATGGAAATTGCTTACTCAGCTCATTAATATTCGTTCTACATTCATTATATTTACAAATAAACATGGCATAAATAACAAAGGCTTGCGTATACTCTTTGAAGCAATTCTCCAAAATATTACACTTCTCCCTCACTGATTTGATATTATAACCAAAATTATCAATCTTTTCAGAGACTCCTGGTATGGTAGGAAGTGGTTTTTTAGTGAGAATTGTTGGTGTTTGAGGAGCTTGGTCAATTGAGTCTGATAAATCCTGAACTCCCTCCACCTCTGATTTTCTAAAGATATTTCCAATTACCTTGACACTGTATCGGTAGATATTGTACATGAGTCTGTCTTTTGTGTGCCATCCAAGAATTTCACATTCCAAACTTCTCAAAAATCGATTATTGAGCATGATAATATTTTCCAATTCTGTAGGAATGAGCAAACATTCAGATCTCTTATAATAGTGAACTGGTTCAAAGTCTACAATATTTCTCTTTGTCTTGTCTTGTTCTATTGTACTATTCAATTCAATTTGCTTTGAAATTTCTCCCTTTTCCAGAGGTAAATAGTATTGATCATGCAAAAACTTTAAATATTCACAATATTGTCTCTCGCTCACCAATATTTCGTATAGAGTTGTAATTCGTTGTTGTCTCAATTTTTCTTCCTTTGTTTTTTCTTCTCTTCTCTTATCATATTTCATCTTGAGAATTTTAAAGATTTTGTAAAGAATGAAAAAAAGAATGGATGATAACACGCTAATAACAATTACACAATAGGCAATCCAATAATAATATTCCAAATTTTTCTCATTCTTTCTATCAGTAACTTGATGATACTTTCGAATATAATTCGAATAAATATAATCAAACAATGATACAATATACCAAACTATTGAATGATAAATATGCACCGTTACATTCGTCATCTTGTCCATCAACACTCGGAACGAAATATTTCTAATAAAATTTCCTATTTGATGATAACAATTCATAGACGAAACTTTTATCAAACTAATCATATTCATGACCCATTCCTTTCCATTCGAATAAATTTCCACATATCGATCCATTGATAGCCAACTGTGTGCCACTTTTTCTTCCCGCCCAAATAACTTTCCTTCAACAACAAATTGATGGCAGTTAGAAAGTAGGAAAATAAACAAGAAACAAGATGAAATGAATAGCAGGCTTGTTGCTTTTTGTATTGACATTTTTTAATTGGTGAATTGACTTGGCGCAAAAACTAATGCATTCGAATCTTACCGAAACCTTATCAGTGAAAATATTGTTGAAACTGAAAAATTACAACATTACAAAACTGAAACTCCTGTATTTCTCTTCTTCATTGGTATTTTCATTTTGTTTTTTCACTACACACATTCTTCTTTTAATTTTTCATTGTTTCTCCATACAGAGCTATCCTATTTCGAATGAATATTTACAACAGCTTGTAAATTGACAATCGTAATTGGTTAGCAGCTGATAGAGAGCTGTAACATAGTTTAGCAAACAATCAAATTCAAAGTTTGAACAATATTATCATTAATTATCATCACTTTCGAATAATAACAATGTCAACAATTCAGAACAATCAATAGACAAGATATTTGTGAGTGTGACATGCAAAAATTGTTCCCATCAACTTCTCTGGATGGACATTAAAACAGAAACACCACTTTAAAAAACTAATCAACAACATCAGTTAATTATTATTCGAAATGCATCTTCCTCAGACGATTCTTCTCCGATTTAATAGTCGAAAGAGTTTAAATCTTGAAGATGATGGAGATTTAGAACAAGTTTCGTCTAATCATAAACGAACAACTCAACAACAAACAAATTCATCATCCAATTCTTATAAGAATTCAAACAGTCCACCCTCTAATTCGAATACAGAAAATGTTTCGAATAATAATTCGTCTACAAATTCAAGTGTTGGAAGTGAGTGGTAGCTCCTATTGTTACTTGATAGAATCACCAACTTGTGTCTATAGTGGATGGCTCCAAAAGAAAGGCTCTAAAATCAACAAGGGATGGAAGAGAAGGTTCTTTATTCTACTTTCAGAAGGTTTCTTATTGTATTTTAAATCACAAGCTGAGGTTATGAGTGATCCACATCATCCTCTGGGTGCTGTTTATTTACGTCCGAGCAGGGAAGTATTTGTTTCTGCTCGTAATTCGAATACAGAAAATGTTTCGAATAACAATGGAAATAGTCATGAAAATGATCTGCCACGTGATAATATGTTTGGATTTGTATTATCTGTGCAGAGTAGACGTTTCGTATTAGCAACTGAATATGAAGATGATAGAAATGATTGGATTGATAAAATAACTAAAGTTGCCTATTCGAATCAACAACAAGAATCTCAAGATGGTTCCGATAATTCATCATCCACAACTAATTCGAATAATAATAATACATTGGAATCTCCACGAAACAATTCAACTGGCAATAATTCAAAAATCGTCCAATCACGAAGACGAATCGTTGGTGATGCAGAGAAATGGAATGAAAGTTTGGATCAATTCGAAAAGCAAGGTCTCATTAAACTAGTTCAAGGAATTAAACGATTGGAAAAACTAGTCCTACCTGAAAATGATCAATTGGAAATTTCCTCAATTGACGATCTCTATTTGTACTATAATCAATTTGTGAATAAGGACTCAGAGGAGGAGAAGACTCATTCTCCCTACGAACCAATCACTCCAAAGAATAATATTACCATTTCGAGTCATCCTACTGAGAGATTGAATGCAGTGAATGAATTTGTCTTACAGGAATCGTGTAGTACACTGAGACAATTGTACAGAAAATTGCAGGAACAATTGGAGAATAATGTGGAGGTGGAACAGTTGAAGAAACAGGTGCTTGCCTTAAAGAGTGAAAATTTGCAATTGGAGGAAAAAACTAAGGAATATACGAAACATAAGAAATTATTGGTGAATGAAGTGAAGAATTTGAGAAGCAAATTGGAAGAAAAGAACAAGTTGGAAAATGTTTCTACTACTTCTTCGAATGAAACAGCCGAATCTCAAAAGAATCAATAAATTTTGAATGAACCATTTGCAAGCAATATGAGTATTTCATTGAAAAACACAACTTTTTGAATATCATTCTCAATGATTATCATGTCAATTTCCAAATTTGAAACTTATTAGAAAGTTTTGATCATTAAAAAAAACTGCAAAATTAAATTTTCAAAATCAAAAAAAAATTCATCATCACACTTTAATAAGCAATGGATTTATCTCAGAGTGTTCTCTCACAAGCTTCCTCATTGTTTATGAGTGCTCTTGGACCGGAGGATCAGGATATTGAAATTTCCGATACTCGGTCACCATCCCTTCTCGTTGGTCATTCTAATAATTTAGCATCATCAAATATAATAACCAACAACAATCACGATGATCCCTTGCAAAAACAAGGAGCACAATATGAAACGGAAATTCAAGAACAATTTAATTCACTACAAAATTATCAAGTCAATAATGATAGAACATCGTTGGATGGATATCAAAAATTGTTGCAAAAATTGCGACAAAATATTCAACTCTATGAATTGTCATCATCATCAACTAGTCAGACACAACAATACAAGCAACAGTTGAAATATTATCAAAATAGATATAATGTAATGGAGAGACAATTTTTATTGAATCAACATGTAATTTCATCAAATAATGAGCCTATCAGTAATCAGTCGTTGAGTGATGATGAGGATGAGGATTTGGAATATGGAAGAAGTTCCAATAATAATGCACTCTTTGAAACTGAGAGATTGTTGAGATCGAGTGATCAAAGTCTCAATCGATCTATGCAATTAATGCATGAAATTGAATCATCGGGAACTGAATCTTTGGGTATGTTGAAATCACAAAGAGAACAAATGGAAAACACAAAACACAAACTTAGAGGAGTGCAAGGTGATTTAGTAATTAATGACAGACTTTTAAATAACATGACAAGAAGAAAATATTACATGGTTGGAGGTATTGCTCTAATGATTATAATTATTATTGTTTTATTTGCCTTGATTACTTATGGATGGGTTAATAGAATTACAAACTAAATGTACATATATTGTAAAAACCAAATTAATTTATTTTAAATTCCTCAATGAATAAATAACAAAACAGTTGTCAATAAGAATAAATTGTCATTTTGGACTGAAGAGCTAAATTCACACCACAATTTGAAGTATCTTTCAATAATTTCTCTATGGTTAACCTTCATATCTTCCTCCTTAATTTCTTTAAATTTCCAATCGTGCACAAATCCACGAACATAACTTGCTTCAATCATTTCCTTCAAGCTCATTGTATCAATAACTTGCTGTATGAAGTGATCATCTTGTCTAATTAAATTCAAATAGTATTTCAACATCTTTCTCTTATAACTAATAGGAACCATCGATCTGATAGATGAAGTATTGCTGGCAGAGGCACCCATAAATAAATGCTTGATCATATACTTGATAGAGTGAATGTTTGATTCCAATCCACCTGATCTACTTCCTACGATAGATCCACTACTTGTCAATTTAAAGACACCACTGATACCATTGAAAATAAGTCTTGCAACAAAACTGAATCTACACAAGCTATCAATAACAGAGTCTGAAAACTTTTCAATTGTCAAGTGATTATTAAATAATTCTGATTGATCCAATTGTTTCAAATCTTTTAGCAAAGAATCCAAGTTTGGTAGTAAATGAATAGGGAGATTATGAGTTTTAAGTGCATTAATTTTTTGAATGACAGACAATAGCAATGCAATATCTTCACTCACTCTTGTATCTTGTTGTCCATAATTCATAGTATGTATATTTGATGTTAATCTCAAAACTTCTTGAATGATAAGATCTCTTTGTTCTTTTCTCATTTGATGAGAATTTTCTCTGATAGCCTTTTTAAGTGAATCAGATTGATAATAGGAAGGTCTAATGCTAGGATAATAATAACATAAAGGCAAATAAACAAGTAATAATTTTGGATACATGAAAATGCCTGAAGCTGGTATTAACAATTTAACAAAATCAAATCTAAATCCATTCATAAATAACATTTCCTTTCTACTAGCAACTCTAAATGGTCTATAGGAAATTTCCTTTCTCATTTCTCTATATTTTAATAAATCCCCAAATATACCAAATGTACCTCCAATCAAGAATTGTTTATAATCAAAAAAGACTTGAAGAGGAGAAAGTTGTTGTTCATACTTGAGCTTTTTATCATTATATTTCTCATCATCGAATTTTCCTTCTCGTTGATAAAGATTGCAACAAAACTTCTTTTTACCACCTTCGGAAAATAATGTTGGTGATGCGAAGGTAGAATTTCTGAGAAGAATTGGAAGACCTTTGTGTTGTTTTGCAAGAGGAACAAATCTTTTCATTTTTTAATAATAGAACAAGTTGTAAAAACTATTATCAAGTAAATCAGCACCAATCACAGAAATTGTTAACAACAATAGTTTGTTAAGAAGAGTATTAAATAATCAGATGAACAATTGTTGTTATTCTTGATAAGAAAATTTTCAACGTGAATGTAAGGGGATGTAGCTCACATGGTAGAGCGCTTCTTTAGCATGGAAGAGGTACGGGGATCGATACCCCGCATCTCCACTCAATACTTTTTATTTTCTAACCAGATTTTAAGAAGCTGAAACTTTCTTATCTTTTCCACAGTTGTCTACTGAAACATGAACAGTTGAATTCAATATCTTGAATAGCACATCTGCCATTTTACAAAATGTTCCCTGGTTTTGATTTTAAAATAATATTTTTATGTGGGTTGTTTGGAAGAAAACGACCAGTATCCACTTGTTGTTTCCAAGGAAATACTAGCTGTGGAGGGAGGAGTGAAGTTTACATGTTTAAAATTAATAACAAAATTTAGAAAATTCCTTTCTTCTTCTTTTCGATGAAGGCTTCTTGTTCTTGTTCCAAGTCAGTGTTAACATTAATAACGTTGTCGACAACGAATTTAACAATATCAGGTCTCTTTTGTTGAGTCTTTTGTTTGATGTTATAGATGATTTGGACCTTCTTTTGTTGTAATTCATTGTTAGTACCACCGACTTCCAATTGTTCCTTTGTGAATTTTTGGAAGTATTGTTCCTTGCTAGCTTTGAACTTGGCAATTTCCTTTTCAGCTTCTTCCTTAGCTTCTCTCAACTTGATTAATCTTTCTGTTGTTTGTTGATGATAATCACGATTCCATTGCAAAGTAAATATTTGCATCAAATATAATGACACATCGCCGATGAACATTCTTGATGATTGACAATCTTTAATTTACTACTTACGTTTCTTGGCTTCCTTCACAATTTCTGTGGCTTCTTGTTCAGCGGCGAGCAATTGTTGGATACTGGCGGATTTCTTGGATGACATTTTTTTATTCTTTATTTTAAAAAAATATTATTTTATTTTTAAAAATTATTGGAGTTTGATATTTGGAAAAGCTTGCAAATCGGTATTGGCCAACTCCGGTTTATATTGGTATGCCTTCCGGTCGATTTGAAAATAAAGATTTGTTTTAATTTTTCTAATTGTTGGTTTATATTGGTCAAACAGAAGCAAACTGATGATATGACCATAATTTGACTCAATCTCTGTTATGCTTATTGATTTGAAAAAATCTTGTGCATGTATGATTGAATCGATTCGAAGTGGTTCAGATGCAACATTAAAATGGTGGGCAGTGAAGTGCTGAGTTTTATTAAGATCATTGATTGTTCCCGCCTTCATAATTACAAACTTTAAAAAATTAAAAAAATGGAATATGAATCACTAATTGAAAGTGCCCCATCAGGTGGTGAAGATGAAAGTACAGTGCCTAATGAATCACTCATTGAAAGTGCCCAAACTGATGAACAACAAGAGGAAGAATTTATTGAGGTCTCTGAAACCCTCAACGAATCAGAGGATAAGGAATACAACGACGATCAACAATCTAACGAATCTACAAATGAGAATACAAACGAGGAGGTAACCGGTGAGGATAGAATACCTGAAGAGGAGGAAGTTACTCAAGAAGAATTACTCACGAAAGATGAACAACCTCAAGAAGATGTGGAGCAACAAGAGGAAATTCAAGTTGCCAAAGATGAAGAAAATTCCGAAGAACAAATGATAGAGGAAGAACCTGCTGACGAAGAGAAAGCAAACGCATTTGAAACCTCATCACCAAATGGTCAACAATCAAATGGAGAAGAAGAAAGTCCATCCCCAAAATCAGAACCAGAAGAAACACAACAAGGTATGTATACTCTAGAACGAAATTTATTTACAAGGAAAGAACTGAGACCAATCCAATCTGAAGCACCAACCCTTACATCTCCATCATCATTCAAAAAAAAGACAGCTTTAAAAACAACTAGCCAATCACTCCTAACTCTTCCCAAATGGAGACAGGATCTCTTACAGAAAAATAAGGATGAGATTGAATTCAGAAATAGTTTAAAGAACAAGTACAAAACTGACGTTCATGGTTCTGTTGATGGAAGGCTGAAGAAAGTGGATGAAATTAAAAGCATGAAAGATTCTCTCTCAAAAACTTATACTGCATTAAAGAAACCAGCCTATGAGCCAGAAGGAAAGTATGTGCCACCCCCAAAATTTCAAAAGAAAATTGAAGAGGATAAATTAGTTTTTAAAAAGAGATTTGAATATAACTCAACTGTGGTAAAGCCAATCCTTAGTGAAGTCTCTAAGACTTCCCAAAAAGTGCAGAAAGAAAGAGAATTGGAAAAGCAACGAAAGTTAGAAGAAGAAAAAAAGAAAGCTTCTGTGGAAGAGGAGAAGCGTAGAAAGGAAGTCGAAGAAAAAAGAAAGCTCTTCAAAAAGCTAAGTGAGAAGAGGCCTCAAATTAGTGGCGAAGATTTGCATAAGCAAAGGGTTGAAAAGGCTAGGGAAGAAAAGTTAAAGCTTAAAAAGAAGGTTGACATTCTTTATCCTGTTTACAATCCTAAAGTCTCCACTCCAAGGGATAGACCACAATCTGCCCAAGTTGTCGAGCAGACGAAGGAAAAGAAACCAGTCACTGCTGTCCGGCCACAAACTTCCCAAGCAAGAAACCATATTTCAAGGACTCAAGACAGGCCAAAACCTGTTACCAAACCAATTGAGGAAAAGAAAGTTCACAAACCTTCAAGCACTACAAACACAGTCAAAGAAAAGCCAACCTTGGTTAAAAAAACATCTTCAGCTATTGTTTCAAAGAGAAAAACGCCATCACCTACAAAAGATATCGAGGTAGCTACAAAGGATAATTTTAAAATCCAATCAGAATCAGAAGAAATAGAAGAGCAAGTGGAAAGTGAAAGAATTGAAGCAATTAATGCATCTCAACCAATTCTATTTGTACCAGAAATATCATTGGATGCATCAGAAACCTCACCAAGTCCTTCTAAAAAAGTCGAACAGCCATCTCCCTCCCTTAATACACTTCAAGTCAAGAGAGATGACGATGAGGAGTCGTACCTTATTGACTACCCAACTGAGGATTGTGGTGATGAAACTTCTCCACTTTTGACAGAAGACGATGTTGACTTTGACTTACCTCTTGCAAAAACTCCTCTCAAAGAACAAGAAGAAAAAACAATATCAAGCCCAGAATATTTCTCCCTCTCTCCAAATATTAAATCTCCTCTGTCAGTCACCCTTTCTCCTTCCTCAAAGTCAGATATTTCTGAAGATGCCGATACTTTGTTTATAAGAAAACTTCTCTCTGAGATTCAAAGTGATGAAGAAGAGTCACTAACAGCTATCCAAGAATGTATTTCATCGTTTGGAAATCAAATATTTGATAAGGGATTACTCTCCTCTGAAGACTACCAAACTGTTTTTTCTGGATTGCAATCCATAAAGAGTGTCAAGGCAAGTATTGTAAGCGACTTGAAGGCATCACTTGAGTGTAAAAACTTTGACGAAGTTTTTGAATCCTCAAATATCATCATGTTTAAATCAGCAATGCTTGATTATTTAGCCACACTTCCTTCTGCTTTACAAGTTATTTGTCAAAATATGCAAACAAATGATGTTTTTAATTACATGAATACTCAATCACAACCAAGAGATTTAATCTACTATTTGCTTGATCCAGTTACTTGTTTGCAACAACAAAAGGGAAAGCTTACTGAATTGGCTGATATTTTGGCTACTGACTCTGTAAATATGTTCCTATCCACAATTTCAGAAGTTGATGATTACAGAGGTGATGTATATTTGGAAAACCACACATTATTTAAGGTTATTGAGTTGTATAAGGATTTGGGCATGACTGAGTTGATGAATAAGAAACGATTTTTGGTCAAGGAGGGAGTTTTCAAACATGAAAACGAATTGCACGAAATTTACTTGTTCGGAGATTGTTTAGTAGTTAAAGCTCCAACAAAGAACTGGCTTATTCCATTTAAAGTCACCGATGAAATTGTTGGAGATGTAAATGTTGTAATTACGAAGTACAAGGAAGAAAAGAGTCTTGAAATTGATGAACATGATATTGAATTCCATATGTGTTACCAATTTGAGGATTATGAGGATGTTAAATCGTGGAATAAGGCATTTACTTCTTGTTTCGACACCCTAGTTTAATAAATATTAATTTTAAAACAAATTATTAAAAATGCAATGACAAATATTAGGCTGGTTTCTTCTGAAAATCAACAATTTAATTATAAATATCTAAATAACCTGTAGTTCCTTTGAAGAAAAACCAAAGAAGCTATTAAATGATTTCTATGTGGCAATTTAATTCAATGTAGGAAGACAATGCTTTTTGATAACTGAATAATAGTATGAAAAATTCATGATGAAGGTTTGATATCCTTCCGAATATTTTGTGGAATCACATATTCTTGTCCATCAAGGAGTCAGTTTCAGACATTTGTGAACAACAGAAAAATTCAACGCGTTCCAACTCTCTCGCAAATAAGAACAATTCAAAACCAGAAAAAAAACAATGCAAGCTACAAGGATAAATTTGTTCCTTAGTGCTTTAGCCTTGGTGGTATTGATAATTAGCCAATTTTATACACCATTCAAGTCGAGCGATTTTACAACAATACCCTCATCAAAGACCATAATAATTAACGAGACTTCACTCATCGATTTGTCTCTGCTAGAGCAAGATTGCCATTCACAACTCATCAAGAATTTTTATTTTGTTCAAGCCTTAACAGAATACAAGAATGGTTGCGCTTCCGATAACAAATACTGTGGTGTGGCCAATTTAGATAGAAAAATTGATGCAATGATTTCCAGGCAATTAGAAAAGTCTTTGAATAGTGAGTGTGGTAATCTTGTTATTCATCATGAGCAGGTTGTTCCAATTTTAAAGAAGGAGGTTGATCATCGTGTCTATTCGATTTGTAGAGGCTCCACAAAGTGTATGAGTGCAGTCTTTGAAGTAATTATTTATATGCAAGTCTTTGAATATGCAAATGAAAAGACAAACCTCAACACTCAACACATCAGAAAGTTCATGGAAACAAAGGCTTCCAAATTATTTGATGAGCCCGATAAGGTTTCACAATTCATTAGAACTGTACCAGGGTTGGAGGGATATTCAGGATTTGATATTTCTGTCAAGACCACAATGGATAACACTGATGATGAGAGGGAAGATAAGGTTGTAACATCTATCATTTTTGGTATTATGGTGGTATTGATGGTCATGCAATACAAGTCTCTCACATTGGAGCAAACCTCATTGGAGAATAGAATAGATAGGCTGAACAAAGATCTAGAGTCTGCTAATCAAAGAAGCAAAATCAAACAGAATGAATTAAAAGAAAGCAGAGATTTAGTTGCATCGCTCAAAGACACAATAGCTAATCTTGAACAAAAGTTCGAGGAAGCAAAAACCGAAGCAAGAACTCAAAACTCAAACCTTGAGAGATTAGATGAGCAATACAAGACCTCAACTACCAAACTTCATGCAGAAAGTGCAAAAGAAAAGGAGGCAGCAAAGAAGAAAGAAGAAGAATTATCGAAGAAAGTTTCTTCTCTAACAGAAAAGAATAGGGGTCTTGATAAAGACTTATCCTTGCAAAAGAAAGAAGCCACATCTCTTAAAGAAAAGTTGGAAAACGAAATCCAACAATTAAAGACAGAATCTCAGAAAAAAGAAAATGAGGTACAAATAAGACATAATAATATTTTCCAAGAGTTAAAAAAGGTAACCAAAGAAAAGGAAAGATCTACGGAAAGATCTGCAGAATTAGAAAGAGAAACAATCAATATTTCTGAAATAGTTACCAAACTTAAAGGAGAAGTTTCTTCTTTACGTGAGGAAAATGAAAACTCTGCAAAAATTATAGATACCAAAAACACAAAGATATCGGAGCTGAAAGATAAGTGAAAGACTCTCTGTCCAATATTTCTGCTCTAGACCAACTTAACCAACAGAAGGAAGAAGAGTTGAATGCTTTACAAACAAGAAATGATAGCCTTTCTCTCCAATTAAATGAGAAAGATGAAAAGCTAGCAAAAATTACTAATATGTGGGAGAAAAAACAAGTAGAATCCCAAAGTCTCCGAGAAAAAATTAAGGATTTAACCTATGAACAGGATACTAAATCTCAAAGAACAACACAACTCGAGGAGGATATAAAGCGATTGACAGAAAGACTAAATGCTAGAGAAAAAGATCTTGAGGACTGTTGCAACAAGAGAAGAGAAGAGGCAAATATTATTGTTGAGAAGTTGAAAGTGATGGAGAATGAAACCGAACAACTTAAGAGTGATATCGAAAGAAAGGATGAGAAAATTAGCGTTTTACAACACTCAATTTCGGAAAGATTAAACGAACTCAATGTAGAGAAAGAACAAACAATGGAACAAAAGAAGAAAATTGACCAACTCGATCAAGCTAACAATGAGATTGCTTCTGAGAGGCAGCAACTTTTACAAGAGAAGGAGAAAATGCACCAATATTTAGAAGATCTAGTGCAGTTATCCAAGTCTCTCGAACAAAACAAACAGGATCTTTGTCACACCATTTGTGAGAATGAAAAGAAAATTGAAGAATTGCTGGGTGAGGTTGAAAATTTAACTGGAGAAAACCTTGGTAAAGGTGAAGCACTCTTCAAAACCGAGCAGCAAGTTGCCGAGGCTATGAAAACAATAGAAAATCTTAGTGAAGATTTAGCACACAGAAATGATGAATTGAGAGGTCTACATGTACAAATTTTAGAAGTTGAGAAAATGTATGATAACTTGAAGGATGAACATGAAAAAAGGATTGAAGATATGCGGTTGGAAGATTGCCGTTTAGCAAAGGAAAGAGAAAGACTGTTGGAAGAAATGAAGAATGAAGTGAAGAAGGGAAAAGAAATGGTTCAAGAGAAACAAGCAAATATTTGTGGAATGGAAAAGATCAACACTGAGCTATCAAAACAAATTCAACAATTATCATCTGAAAGAGATTCTATTCAAGAAACTCTTAAGAAGGAATTTCAAGTATCAAAAGACAAACAATCGGTTATCGATAATCTCGAGCACACTAATCAAGAGTTGAAAGAAAAGATTAGCAATGCTGAAACAACATGTAACGCTAAAGAGAAACAAATCAATATTCTCAAGGACCTCATGAGCACTCAAAAAGAGCAACTCAAAGAAAATGCTAATGAAGCTAATTCAAGAATGAAACAATTAGAAGAATTTTCAAAAGAAAACGGCAGATTGTTGGAAGAAATGAAGAAGTTGGAGAATGAAGTGAAGAAGGAAATAGATGACTCAAGAGAAACAAGCAAAGATTTGTGAAATAGAAAAGATCAACACTGAGCTATCAAAACAAATTCAACAATTATCATCTGAAAGAGATGCCATTCAATTCACGCTCAACGACGAAATTCAAGTATCAAAAAACAAACAATTAATGATAGCCAACCTTGAATCCTCCAACCAAGAGTTGAAGGAAAGCATTAACAATGTTGAACAACAGAAGACTATGTTGGATCAATATATATCTCAATTAAATACAGAAAAGGACAATCTTCAACAAGCAAATTATGAAACAATAACAGGATTAGAGAAAGACTTGACCCAAATCAAAACTCAGAACATAGAGTTGGCTAATAATTTAGAGTCTAAACAACTTGATTTACTTGAACAGCAGTCACGTATTAAACAGTTAGAAAACAAAATAATAGATCTTTCTGGAGAAAAGAAAACCCAAAAGGAAGTCATGGAAAACGAAAAAACAAGATTGTCTAAAGAGATTCTTGATAAATCTAAGGAGGCTGACTTATTGACTAAAGACAAAGCAGAAATACAGACAACGTGTAATACTCAAGAAAAGAAAATCAAAGTTCTTCAAGATGTTATGAACACTCAAAAAGAGCAACTCAAAGAAAATGCTTCAAAAATTAAGCAATTAGAATCAGAGAAATCAAAACTCCTAGAAGAAGTGAAATATCTTGGTAAAACCATTAACACATTGAAATATGAACTCAAGGATGCTACCATGAATGTTAAGAAGCAAACAGATAAAGTGAAAGAACTAGAAAAGTCAATTTCAATTCTGAAAGAGTCAGAAAAGAATTTAAATAATGACAAGAAGAGCCTTGAGAGTGATAGAGAACAAATAATAAGACAGCTTGAAGATGCAAGGAATGAACTGGAACAGAATAAGAATAGGTATGATGATTGTGTATTGAAACTAAAGGAATCTATTACTGTATTGGAGAAGGAAAATGAAAAGAAGAGTGAAGAATTTTCTAAAGAAAAGGACAGACTGTTGGAAGAAATGAAGAATTTAGAAAATGAAGTAAAGAAGGAAAAGGAAATAGCTGAGGAGAAACAAGCAAAGATTTGTGAAATAGAAAAGATCAACACTGAACTCTCTGAACAAATTCAACAATTATCATCTGAAAGAGATGCCATTCAAAAGTCTCTCAATAATGAAATTCAATTATCAAAAGAGCAACAATCAATAATGGAGAACCTTCTTGAGACTTCTACTAAAGAGCTTAAAGAAAGGATAAGCAACACTGAAACAGCATGTAATGCTAAAGACAAGAGTATCAAAGTTCTTCAAGACCTTTTGAACACTCAAAAAGAGCAACTCAAAGAAAGTGCTAAAGAAACCATTTCACAAATTTCACTAATCAAACAGTTGGAATCAGAGAAATCAAACCTGACAGACAATATTAGACAAAATGAAGATTTGCTGCTCAAGTTATCGGACGATAACCAGGCTTTATCAACAGCAAACAATCAATTAGAAAAAGAAAACACTCGTATTTCACAGGAGCTACAAAATATACAATATGGTTTCAGAAAAGAAAAGGAACTTTCAAATCAACTGGCATCCTCAAATATTACCCTTCTTGATAAATTGAAACATCTTGAAGACACAGTGCAAAACCTCACCAAATGTAATCAAGAATTGGAAACAGTTGTAAACAATTTACGTGAAAATGTTCGACAAGGCGAGATTAAACTTGCTTCGGTTATTAATGACAAACAGCAGGAAGATGATAATCGCCAACGAACATTGGAGGATCTTGGTCAAACTATTAATAATTTAGAATCTCAATTCAAAGACGCTACCAACAATTTAGAAATGTACAAAGATAAAGTGAAAGAGCTGGAGAGGGCCCTTGAAACACTGCAAGAGTCAGAACAGAATTTAAAGAAAGATATAGAAGAAATAATAAGACAGCTTGAAGATGCAAAGAATGAATTGGAACAGAATAAGAATAAGTATGGTGATTGTGTATTGAAACTTGAAGAGTCCATCAATGTATTGGAAAATGAAAATGAAAAGAAGAGTGAAGAATTTTCTAAAGAAAAGGAAAGACTGTTGGAAGAAATGAGGAAGTTGGAGGATGAAGTAAAGAAGGAAAAGGCAATAGTCGAGGAGAAACAAGCAAAGATTTGTGAACTCTCTGAACAAATTCAACAATTATCATCTGAAAGAAATGTTATTCAAGAAACTCTTACCAAGGAAATTCAAACATCAAAAGAAAAACAATCATTTATAGAGAATCTTGAATCCTCCAACCAAGAGCTGAAAGAGAGCATTAACAATGTTGAGCAACAGAAGACTATGTTGGATCAATATATATCTCAATTAAATACAGAAAAGTATAATCTTGAACGAACTACTTCTGAAGCAATAACAAGATTGTCTAAAGAGATTCTTGATAAATCTAAGGAGGCTGACTTATTGACTAAAGACAAAGAAGAAACACAGATAATGTGTAATACTCAAGAAAAGAAAATCAAAGTTCTTCAAGATGTTATGAACACCCAAAAAGAGCAACTCAAAGAAAATGCAAAAGAAGTTAATTCACACAATTCAAAAATTAAGCAATTAGAATCAGAGAAATCAAAACTCCTAGAAGAAGTGAAATATCTTGGTAAAACTATTGATACATTGAAATATGAACTCAAGGATGCTACCATGAATGCTAAGAAGCAAACAGATAAAGTGAAAGAACTAGAAAAGTCAATTTCAATTCTGAAAGAGTCAGAAAAGAATTTAAATAATGACAAGAAGAAGCTTGAAAGTGATCGAGTAGTTCTTCAAGAGAAGCTAGATATTTTGAAAATTGGTTTGTTGAAAGAAGAAACCCTTCGTGCAAATGCTGAAGAACGCTTTAATGAAGCAGAAAATACTAGCGTAGAGTTGAAACAGAGAGCACAACAAGATACTCTCTGTATTGAAGATTTGAAAAAACAGGTTCAAGTACTTGAACAACATAATTTAGATCTTGAGGCAAAGAAATTGGCACTAAGTGAAAAGCAAGAAGAAATAATTAGACAGCTTGAAGATACAAAGAATGAATTGGAAAAGGCAAGACAAGAAATGGAACAGAATAAGAATAAGTATGATAATTGCGTATTGAAACTTGAAGAGACCATCAATGTATTGGAGAAGGAAAATGAAAAGAAGAGTGAAGAATTTTCTAAAGAAAAGGAAAGACTGTTGGAAGAAATGAGGAAGTTGGAGGATGAAGGAAAAGAAAATTGTCGAAGAGAAACAAGCAAAGATTTGTGAAATGGAAAATATTAACACTGGCCTTTTTGAGAAAAAGCAAACATTAGAAACTACCAACAACGAGCTTACAAACTCACTAAGCAATTTGGAAGATCAACTTAATCGAATGAAAAATGAGCTTTACGGCAAGAATTCCACAATGGATATGTTGAAAGATAAAATATTAACCTTGGGAAATAATATTGCAGAAAAAGAAGAACTCTTACAGGAAAAGGAATCGAAATTATTTTCTATGAATGAATCGATCAATTCTAAATGCAAGGAGTTTGATCTATTTAGAAAAGTCCAAGAGGAGAAAAATCAAGAGTTAACTGAAAAGTACTCTCAATCACAATCAGAAATTCTAAAATTAAAGGAGTCACTTGATGACTGCACCTCACAAGTCCAAGATCAGCAAAACACAATTGAATCCACCAAGGATGAAAATCTACAACTACTTTCACAAAAGGAAGCTCTCGATAACGAGCTTTCAAATTCAAAGTCTGATTTGTCACATCAAATGCAGAAGTACAAAGAGCTCGAACAACAGCTAATAGAAATGACTACTATTGCAGAAAATGAGAAAATTAATTTTATTTCCCAAAATACCACCCTTACTGAAAAGTTATTGGATACGGAAGCAAGGATTCAAGATATTACATCCTCTCTAGAAGAATTGAAATCGAAGAATGACCAATTACAACAAGAATGTTCTGTTCTTAATAATGAGATTGTAGCTCTCAAAGATATTAATAAGGATTTATGTTCTAAATTGGAAGTTTCTGATTTGAACATTGAAAATCTACAAAAAGTTATTTCAGATACAGATGGAAAGTTGAAACAATTGGAAAACAAATCGTCTGCTATCGAAAAGGAAAGGGATGACCTCAAGAAAGAAAAAGAAGACATTAAAGCTAAAATACAAGGTATTCTTCATTCAAGCGAGAGTGAAGTTGAAAACTTGAGAACTACTATTGATAAATTGCACGAAGAAAAATCTAACTTGGTAATCTCACTAACAGAAAATATCCAATCTGAAAAAGATGAAAAGCAAGCAATCTTGGATGAAACTGAAAAGCTCAAAAACCGTGTTAATGATCTCGAAAAAGACAACTCGAGACTAAAAGAAATCGTATCTGAGAATACTGTATCAAGAGTCAAAACTGAGAGTTTCATAGAGGCACAACAGCATAGGGTGAGAGATTTAATGCACGAAAACAGTGAGTTGCAACAAGACTTGACAAATCTGAAAAAAGATATATTAAATCTTCAAGAGGAACTCAATTCTCTTTTGGAAGATAAATCTTCAAGAGAAATCAAGCTTAAAATTCTTGAAGAGGAGGCCAAGAATGCAACAGAACAATTGGCCGTTATAATATCTGAGAAGGCCAATCTATCCACTCAATTATCTGAAAAGGAGAACTTGATATGCTCCCTTAAAGAAAAGTTAAGCGAAAGGGAAGAACAAATCACTAGAGAAAGTAACTCTGTAAGAGAATTACACAAAGATCTTGTTGATATCAAACAGTTGATGATTGAAAAGAATCAAAAAGAAGAAGATTTATCCAATGAGCTCGCAAATGTCAAGCAGGAATTAGAAAAATCTCTTGAAGGCATTGAACGTGCAAACTTAGAAGGTGAATCCAAGTTACAAAGAGAATCAGCAGTTAAACAAGAACTTGAGAAGGTGGTAGAGAGTTTGAAGCATATAGAAAACGAACTTTCAGAGGAAAATAGAAGCTTGACAGACTTGAAAAATCAAAATCAGAAAGAAATTGGAGATTTAAACAACTTCCTTAAGAAATTTGAAGAAGAGCTTACACAAAAAAACAAAGAGATAGAAAAAATTATGAATGAAAAGAAAGAATTTGAAAAGGAAATGAACCTGTATAAACAGAATATGGAAATTGACTTGAGCAAGATTGAGATGGACCTTTTGGTTGAAAAAGAAGAAACAAACAAGCTTAAAGAGTTGGTTAATTCAAAAGCAGAATTGCTGGAAAAGGAAAAATCAAAAGTGAGAACCAAGGGAGAGGAGTTTAAAGAATATCAAGAAAAATCGGTTGAAGATATTGGGCGCCTTAAGAATGATTTGGAAACATTTAAAGATTATTTAGAAAAGGAAAGGAAAAAAACAAAACAGCTAGAAGAAGGTATTTTCTTGCAGACAGAAACTTTAAAGTTGCTAAAAGATGAAATGCAAAAGGTATTTAATGAGAAGAAAAAAGCAGATGCTGAAATGAAAATAAGAGAAGACGAGCTACGATCAATTTTAGAGAAGGAAAAGAGTCAGGCAAAGAAGGAGATTCAACTCTTGCAGGAGTCTATGAAAGATTTACATGGTATTCTCCAAGAGAATGAAAAATTATCTCAATCTCAAAAGGAGCTACTTGTTGACAAGCAAGAAGCGTTGGAAAAGTTAAAAAACCAAAACGCAAAGGAAAGTTCAGAACTAAGAGGAACAATTGAAAATCTGAATGGGGAAATATTACGCCAACAAGAAACCGTCAAGACTCTTACGGACGGTATACAAGGTTTGGAAGCTTACACAAAGAAACTCGAGAATGATTTGAAATTTGCTATTGGCCAACTTGAGCAATTAGCTACTATCATGGCAGAAACAACTAAAGAAGGTTTATCAATCTCCCAAGGGCATATGGATATTCCACAATCACCTTTGAGAGAAGATTATTTTTACCCAATTCCTTCTTCACCTCCTCAATTATTAGATGAAATTGAGATCAAGTTAGCTAGCTTGCAAAAAGCTTTTGCTGCTGTTTCCTACGATCAAATTTCACCAAGATCACCAAGGAAATAATAAACTTTTATTGTGTTTCAAACTTGAATACATTGCCCAATAAATTGGTGACTTGGTTCATTGTTGGACGATTTTTTTCTTCTCGAGCAAACATTGACAAGATGATGGAAACTATTTCACTAGAATATGATGAGTGTATCCTTGATTCTAGCAATGTGAATACGTCTTTTTCAAACTCATACTCCTCAAATAATGAATTGACCTTACTCTCCATATCAAACGACATTAGTTTGTACATTACACACGCAACCTGGAATGTATCTTCAGACGTAAACTGGTCACTGGTAGATTTGATTGCATTTTCCTTCACAGCTTTGGTAAAATTACCAAACTTATAAGAACTTATAGCAGATCCAAACGATTGGTCTTGCACATCATGTTCTATTTTGAGTGAGTTTCTGGATCTCGAATCTGTAAATTCACCCAAACAAATATCAATTTTTTGTGGTGTAAATTGTCTTACAAATATGTTTTCCAACCTGATATTCCTGTGACACAATCCACATTCATCATGAAGATACGAAAGAGCTTGGGAAAGTTGATACAATATCTGACCAATATGAATCTCATCAAATATTTGGTTTTGTTGAATTCGCTTGAGTAGTAATTCATTCAAATTTCCAAGCTCGAAATATTCAAGAGCTAAACAAACTGCCTTAAGACTTGTATCAACAAACACCTCGTGTAACTTGACAATATTAGCATGTTGAGTACGAGACATGTTCGTATACTCTTTCACAATAACAGAGGATGATGAATTAATTTCCTCAAAAGAAGAAAATCCAATCTTCTTAATACACACAACCTGACCTGTACTAATATTATTAGCTCTATAGAGAGTATAGTTGGAGTGAATGGAAATGGTTTCTAATAATTGATATTGTCCATTCAATAGCTCAACATTCTCAGTCACTCGTTGATTGATATTCTTTTCAGTTTGTTGTTTTTCTGATGAAGTATCAGAATTCTTATCAGATGAAGAATGATCTGAAATTCCAATTGGAGAATGAGATCCAGATGCCTTATAGGTAAACTCTGTCATATTTGGTGTATTTTCCTTCTTTCCTCTTCCTCTACATTTTCCAATAATGAACAACAATACCAGGAGTGAACAGCATATAAATATCAAACCAACAGTTGACAAAATGGTGGCCAAAGCTATGGTCAAGGTGTTATCCTGAAGAAGTGGACCTTTCACATTATCACTATTTTGTGGCAGTGGTCCTATAAAAATACCTTCATAGGTATAAATATACAAGTTTCTATTCAAATCTGAGAGTGCCACTAAGCATACCACTGCTGATTCGGATTGGAATGTTGTGTGATTCTTTGGTTCTTCCTGGAAGGAAAATGATCTACATTGGGCTCTTGTCTTACTATTCAATTGGATTGGGAAGGTAATGTTGACATTTAGTGAAGAATCGGTAAGTGGAATGGAATTCTTCGTTAGTGCAACTTGTACATTAGGAATAGAGGTAGCTTGTTGTAATGTTCTACTTGTTTTGGATTTGGTTTGATAAATTAGAGCACTCACTTCAAATAGAGAATTCAAAGAATCTGAACTAATTTGTGAAGGAAGATTGAGTGAAAGTGTACCGAGATTGATTGGCTCTGAAATTTTTCTTCCCAACACATTCAAGTTAATGATTTGATAATTTTCAAGAGTAGTATTGGAAAGTTTGGAGAAGTTTGAAACCAAATAACCATTCTTCATCTTTCCAAACAAATTCTGTTGATTAACTATTCTCAATTTGTTGAATAATTGAGTTTGTAAATCAGTTGCTACTAGTGGAATAATTCTGTCAACAATAGTAAATATATCATTAATACTACTACTTGGATTAGTTGATGAAAAGTCTTGTAATATATCCAACGTAGAGTTGATCAGTCCATAGACTCTATCTCTATTTGTTTGTGTGGTATTTGAAAATTGTTGCAAGAATTGATTCATTATCGGTAAACTTCTTCCAATATACGTAGAATCCTTATTCTGTTTAGCATAGCCAACGACTTTTTCGAATATATCCAGCAAGCTCAAACCCAACTCTGTTCTATATTCATAATTTGGTACAATACTCGAGTCAGCACCAAGAATTGACATGAAGGTGATGACACTGTTGACATAATCAAATCCTAAACTGTTTGGAGAAACTTCTTCATTGAGAAGATCCTGAACTTTTCTTGTTAAATATTGATAAAATTCTAAAGATGTTTGATAAACTTGTTTTGGATGTTTGAGTTGGATTGGGAACTCTGTTGTCTTTTCACTATTCCAAACATCATTAGTTTTGACTTGAAGTTTGGCATTTTGTAAAAATCCAATTCTAGTAAAGAATGCTCTCTTTCTTCCTTTGGAAAGCTCTAATTGATGAGTACCATTCGTTATGAGGAATTGATAAGTATCTAAATCTAAATTATTGGATAAACATGAAATTGTAAATTCTGTTTCATAAGCAATTCCTTCTTTTGGAGTAATAGCACAATTGATATTATAGTTTGGTTCTAATTGTACATAGAAAGATTGTTCAATATAGGTTACATGTCCTTTAGCATTCCTTGATTGAACTCTCAGAATGTAGAAAGATCCACTATCTAAAAGTGAAGCATTCAACAGGGCTTGTGAAAAGGTCAGATCATTATATTGTTGAACTATTGGAAGAGACGTGGATTGTGATTGGCCTTTCTTTGTTAACAGGAAATCAACTTGTTGAACTGTGCTGCTATCAGAGTCAACCAGAGAAGACAATATCAATGAAGATTTTCTTCCCATTACTTTAGGAATGAATGTTAAGAGCTTGAGTTGCATACTTGTGGAATATTGAATCTTGAGGGAGGCCTTTCCTAATGAACTAGTAAATCTAATCTCGTATGGTTCTTGCTCTTTGATTCCCTTGAAATATACTGCTGAACTACTTCCATCCTTCGCGCCTTGCACAGAAGTGTTAGTATTCAAATTAATCAATTGTATAATATCAGAGTTAGAACTGGTAATAATTGAATATACTTTAGAGGAAGTGTTGAATTGACTCAAAGTGACTACAATGGAATTATCTTGTTGAGTATTGACATCCAAATAGTATTGAATAACACCCTTATCTCTAATCTTAATACACAGTTGTTTGCTCTCACTGCTACGCAGGGAATATACAGTAGAACAACCCTCTGCAAAACTTTTCAAATTATGAATGTAGTTTGTAGTTATATTTCCAATGTCAGGATTGAAAGATGACCTAATAGAAGACCCCTTAATAGGAGCAACACTAAAGGCAATATCACATGAGGCAAAGGATTGGCATTCAATTTGAGATCCTCCATAATTGAATATTGCTTCTCCAGAGTTGGAAGATTGATTCAAAAGCAATTTAGTGGAATATTTGGTCAAAGTATTGAATGTTGAATCGGCAACTTGCAAAACCAAATTAACAGCTCCATTAGAAATTACATTTTGTCTTGTTTTTGCTCCTAAATTCAGTTTGATAATTGACTGATTGGCAAATGAAGAAAGTTGACTGTTAATAGTTGGATCATCACTTTGCCATGATAGACCTAAATTTGAGAGAGGTGATGCAGTGACAATGAGCGGTTCAACCACAGCAGGGAAATTCACACTTGAGAAACTAGTTCTTAATAGAATTTCTGGACTGGTTGACTTTCCTTTAGTGTCAAGCACTTGATATTGTGAAAATGATTTCGAAAGGATGCTACCAATAGTCGAGGAAGATAGTAATACAGTATTGTTCATAACGTTCCTGTTCAACATGATTACAATATCAACAGAGTTCACAAAACAAAATGCATCAACTCCAATGGTATCAATAGATGCAGTTGCTAATAAAGATGCACATTCAACTTTGGACAAACTCTCTGTTTCTATTAGAGCAGAGAGTTGCGATCTTGGTAAACTGCTCATAGATTCACTGGTGGATAGCCATGATTTGTCCTCAGAAACATACATGACCTTATTTTCACATCTTGTGCCACTAAATCCTGCATTACAAACACAATTATTTGAGGTTGGACACTGACCGTATCCACTGCAGACAGTCTTATCAGTGGATGCAATTCCAAAACATTGGGTGAAACTGCAATCATTTCCTTGGAAATTGTTGGTACATGTACAGTTATCAGTTTGCTTACAAGTTCCCTTTGAAGAACAAACAGTTGGTAAATAGTGAGGAATTGAATAACAATAGATTGGATATGCTTGTTGTGAGTTGGAGGATATTTTGATAACTGAACTATTTGTGGCCACAGTATTGATGGACATGAAGAGTTGAACTGATTTGGTTTGTGTTGATGTGAAATCAGTTGCAAATTTACATTGAATACCACCACTCACAGAATAGGTAACCTTGGAAAGAGTTGAATCTCCAAGAGAGCAGTACACTCTGTCCATAATTAACTTTTCATCGTCACTAATTGAAGTTGCTGTTGATAAAATTCTTGGCATGTTGATGAGTAAATTATCAGTGGAATCTCTGGAGGAAATTACCTTTCCAATTGGTGATTCTCTCACAAGAAGATACTTTAATGCAACTTGAGAAATCTCCAGTCCTTTAAACAATACTCTAATTTCATATTTGAAAATGGACTGGGAAGTGGCAACGTCCAAGTTGAGTGAAAGAGTAGACATGTTTAATCCTCTGGTAATTTGTGGGAATCTGACTTGTTTCTGATTGGTTAGCAGATCAGTAAGTTGAATAGCAAGTTTTTGAGTATTTTCAATTTGTAGAGCAGTGAACAAGCTATCTTCAATATTAATCTGCAACGAATAGGTTGCTTGTGTTTGAGGCAATGTTCCAATATAAAAATCAGTAGATTGAATGAGAGACACTCCAACAGGTTTGATTTCTCTTGTTTTAACAAAGGTGAACAGACTTCTCGAAGATATTTCAAATGTGGTATTTCGAATAGAAGTTGTGATAAAAGAATCAGTTTCACCTTCTCTGCTTACTACATTTTGACATTGAACTCTGGTACTGGAAACAAATTGGGCACTATATGACTCTCCAAATATGTTACAGAAAAAGTTGTTTGGACTCAGTAAGGTATAAGGAATATCAAAGGGAGAACTCAATACCAAGTCAATCATGAAATTTCTACTGCTGGATGGAGTGAGGAGTGTGATATTTCCATTAGGGAAAGTGAAAATATTTGTTTGTGGAGTATTAAAGAAATAAATCTTACTCTGAGTGCTGATCACAGAGTATGAAGTGTCATTGGTTGAATATTTTCCAAGAACTGTCAAATTATTCCAGCCGGCTACTGAGGTTACAAGTGGAAATGAAACCTTTCCATCTGACCCAACAGTTGGTGTATAACGAATGGAATTAATTTCTATTTGTAAATTTCTTTTCAATTGTTCAAATATCAAATCTTGAGATGTAATTTCGGTTGTAATATTAGTAAATCCACTGATACCAAAATTAGGAGTAAATAGGAAGGATATTGTTGGTAGTGAGGGAGATGTCAATGAAATACTGTCTGATATTTGTAAATAAACATTATTTCCCATATTAAGCAATAATTGGAGAGTATTGTTTGTGGAAAGGAATCGATTGTCAATATTACATGTATTATCAGTACTATTCAAAGCAGTTCTCAATGTTGGACTCTCATTATATTGGCAAGTTAGCTGAGATTTCAATGAATCTATCAGGTTTGGTTGAATACTGAATGCGGTCTTCATTTGTCTCGAATTATCAATGGTACTCGACAAGGATGTAAACTTGACTTGCTTCAAGAATTGAATAGAAATTGTGTTGGTAAAATCCACATAGTCATTCTGAGATTTTACCATAAATTTCAAATTTGCCTTTTCAAATTGAGCCACTGCCAAGGTTGCAGAAATACTTGTACCTGATGAAACTGTAAATGGTAAATAAGAAGCAGCTCCATTTTGATTTGTTGCTTGCAATTTGACATCCAAAGAGCCCATTGTTTTACCGATTGTTAAAGACAAAGCAAACGATCCCTTGGTTTGCTCATCTGTTGTAATCACCCTGTATTGTGAAGAAGTTGTAAGTGTCCGTGTTTCAATAAAACTCAAATCCAAACTTCTTGAAATGTTATAGAAAATAGAGTTGCTGTATCTATAGACAAGTACTACTGTCGTGTTCCTCTCTGAAAATGGAACATTTTGACATGTAATCTGATTACCATCAATATTGGTAGCAAAATTTTGTTGAGCCACTCTACACATAATAGAGCTGACATATTCCTGTGGGAAATTATACGTGGAATTCAATAATCCTGTCAATGTTAGTGTACCTCTACCATTATTCAAAGTACTGCTATTGAATAAAATTGTACTATTCTGAATACTGATAACCAAAGAATCATCAAAGAAGAAAGTCTTGACAGAATTCATAGAAATCAAATCATACCTGTTCTGAGCAGTATTATTGAAATAAATAGTGATATTATTCCATCCTACAGTGGTTGAAAACAAGTCTGCCGTATAGACATTATTGGAATTCTTCACTGGCCTTTTCGTTCCACCAACATCAACAACCAGATTCTTATCGATAACACTCAGCAGTGTACTTGGCATGTTAAATGTCAAAGTGGATGTAATACCAGCATAATTAATTACACCAACATTGTAATTGGAAGTGAACAATAACTTTGGTATGCTCACATAGGATTTGAGAAGGATAGTCTCGGAACCACTGGCATAATTCAATGTATACTCTGTGGAATAGTTCATCAGAGCTTGTTTGTTAGGACAGGTAGTAAATCCTGTCGAAGAGAGAGTTAGTGGTGTCGATCTGGAAATGTTCATAACAGATGAAGTAGTTCCATTATCGAAGAGAATTGAATTGGAAAATCCTGCAAAATCCAAAGCTTTGAAAAAGCTCAAACTCTGAGAACCTGTGGCTGATGCTCCACCAAAGAGAACATTCGATGAGAGAAGTGTGAATAAATTCCTTGTCAGAGTTGCAATAGGAACATCTGTTTGGCTGCCACAATCACTGCTTTCACTATATCCCTGATCAATGATAATATCCCTGAAGGCATAAATGGTCGAAGGTGAGCTGCCAACAATCTTGTATGAATAGTCCATCTGATGAGGTCCTGTAGTGCCCATGAGCCAAACCAACTCCTTACTAGTGATGGAATATTTGAGATGGAATAAATCGTACTGATCTGTAGAAGTTGTTGAAGTGAGAGTTAGCTGTTCTGATGAGCTAGTGGATTTGGTGAATGACAAAGTTGATCCGCTGAAAACTCCCATAACATAGCAAAATTCACCATTTGAAGACAAGTGCAAATTCTGTGGTATGACTTTAGCATTATTACCATTATTAGTATAGATATATTGAATAGATCCAGTCATATCCAAAATAGCAATGAACATGTTTTCGTAATCTTGACTCGAGGATGAAGTGAGAGCAATTGAACCATTACTAATGGAAATGTCTCCTCTGTATGTTCCTACAATGACAATACTCGTATCAACCACTTTTGAATCTCTCACTGTAATGTAATTTCCACTCGAAAATAAATAGGTTTGTGTCCATTCCATTCCATTGGTGTTAAACTTTGAAATGAAAATTCCTTGATTTGTATTGATAATTCCTGCAAATATTTGAAATTGAGTACTCGTTCCTATTGAAATAATTTCTGAACTTTGAATCGTTTCTGTATTGCCACTTGGTGCAAATTGAATAGATGAGTCAACCTTACCAGTTGACTTTTGAACCTTAAGTGCATACGCCTCACTCGTTAATGATGTTGCCAAAACTACAGAGTTATTAAATCTATCGGGAGATATGACTCCTATAGCACTTGTATCAATACTGCCACTGAATTTACCTCCCATATAAAAGTAATCATCCTGTTGACCACGTATAGTATTACATGTTTGAATATTCGAGTTGGTAATTGACCATGATGAAGAGTAGGGCAACTCTTGGCCAATAACCATCCATCCAATAGAAGCTATAGATAGTATTATAAAAAGTAATATAGATTTCGGTGAGAGTAACTGTTTCATCTTTTTTTGTAACTTAAAGATTCTGAATCAATTAGAATAAAATCTTTTTTTGTTTCATAAATCATAAGATATAGTCCAATAATTGAGCATTCCCAAAAAATCGACAACAACTTTCCATATAAAATTACCATATTTAGTATGTTTGTTGATGAGTAATCAGTTCATAATTATCAAATAACTTTTGAAGCTCTTGCGACTTGCTGAAGTACGATACATTTGTCCTGGTTTGTAAACTTCGTGTTTAACAATTTAACTACAGTGACATAAAGTTCAAAAGAACTCAAAGATCCTTCAAACCAGAATTGTCCATTCAATTGATATCATATCCAATTTCATGAACACTATTATCAACCAATCTACCAAAAAAACACCATATAAAACATTAACGCCAAAACAGTTAGAGCAATGATCACCTGTACAATTAATTTAAAACTCAAATTAAATGTCGTATGATGCATTGTATCAACTTGATTTTCGTATTGATGAAGAATTTCAACTTGCTTGGCTAGCCTCTTCTCACTCTTCTCAATTTCAATTTCAAAGGCTTTGATTTCTGATTCCGAGTACTTGTTCCTATTGATTTCAACGTCCTTCTTTAATGTATCCAACAATTCACGTTGTTCGTTAATTCTTCCTCTGATTTGTTCAATCTTATCCGAGTTGTTGTTATTAATTTTGGAAAAGGCTGAGACGACTTGGAAATACTCTCCAAACCTTCTCATCACGTAGAGTGAAAGTTGTTCTAATTGTTCTAGATTATACATTATTTTAGCTAAAATGTGATGGTGTGGGATGATATTTTCTTCTTCTTTTTAAATATTAATATTTAGAAATAAATTAACGGTAAAAAATATTGGGAAATGATCAACACCCGAATTTATTCTGAATTTTCTTTCAACTCTACCAAAAGCCTTCCTGTAATCATACCAGCTGATATGATTGTTGTTAATAATCTGTTATTGCTGAAGGGATTTTTCAAAAACGTTTTGATGGAAAATTCCCTTCGCTGGAATTTCCTCCCAACAGAATTCCTTCGTTAAATAACTTTCAAAAGATCTTGTTAAGTTTGCTGATCAAATCTTAAAAAAAGGACAATAAGACTTTGCAGCCATAATTATCAATGTTTGGATTTGTGGCCAATAATGATCAATATATGAGCCTAACCTTTGCTGAAGAATGTAAAGGGAAGAGCTTTGAGGAGTGGAGGTGGGAATTTTACTCAGTCTTTGAGAAGGATAGGAAGGAAGAAAGAGATGGACTACTTGTTGCTGAATATTTGCAAACAAGGAAATTTAGAAAGGTTCCTCTAACACTGGAATCTAACAATAATTTACCACTACTGTTTGATTCATCGTTTTCTACTGAATATTTCACACTCCCCACTTCTGAAGAAGAGAATGAAACACCACGAGTCAAAGAATTAATTATAACAGACGGTTATAGATCATTTTTTAATAATGATCTGTACTCTGATTTTACTATTAAGTTTATGAAACAAGGGAAAGAGATTAACAGCTTGAAAGTACACAAAATGGTGCTTGCAGAGAATAGTGACTTTTTCAAGAATATGTTTTCATTGGGTATGATAGAATCGAATAGTAATGAGCTGATTGTCGACTTGGAGGAAGAGAAAGAGTATGCATTCGTTAGAATGATACAATCAATCTATGATCCCACGATATTATTCAGAGACATGTTTTTAAATTATGAATTGATACTATTATTTGATAAGTATGGATTTGATACTCATAAGAGAACCTTAATTAGAAATGTGTTGGCCACTCGCGATAATATTTCATTTTTCCAATACATGTTCAATAACTTGTTTGTTTATGAAATTGTAGTTGATGGCCATTCTAACGAACTGATTCAAGCAATCAATAGGAATCCAAATGTATTGGCAAGCTACCGTGATCTTGCCCCTGACCTACTGGTCAGATACTCTAAAAAATCCTTTTTAAATGAGTTTCAATGGAATACCTTTTCCTTTCTTTATTCAGCAGTGGAAGACAAACATTTGAAAGAAGAATGCTTTGCTATTGCACAGAGAAAATTTTCAACGCCTTTAGATTTTAAAGTCAGAAGACAATTTTCAAATTGGAAAGATTGAAGAAATGTGACAAATCATCAAGTTACACCAAACTCAAACAAATAATCAAAAACAAATTATATTATTAGGAGAATTGTACAATTTCTCTTCCGTTAGATATTAATTTTATTTACATTTATTACTACATCCTAGTTTTTTTAATCTCTATTTGTGGTTGACCAAAAGAATTAATAAAGCAACCATCAAACAAAGTAAGCCTAAATTGTGAAGGGTAAAAACCAACTCAAAGATACTTCTGCTCTCTTCTTTAGAATGCATTTCCTTCTCATCATATTCTTCATCTTCTATTAAGAATGGATCATCTCCATCATATTCCTCAAAACATTTAACTCCATGCTCTGCCAAGAAAGGATCTGTCACTACTCCAGCATCCAATAATGAGTTAGCCTTAAAAACGTCAGTATCTTCCACAAGAAATGGATCCACCTCATCCTCATCAAATTCATCAACTTCATAAAATGGATCTCTGTCATCTACAAGGAATGGATCAACATCTTTCAACAAGAAGGGATCAATATCAGATATTGTGAATGGATCAGATTCGTTATCAAGAAATTCGTCTACTTCCGAGAATGGATCGGAGCAATCATCTTCTTCCTCATCAATGGTATTATTGATAATGTTTTCGAATGGGTCTTGTGTAATTTCCTCCTTATTTTCACTGTCTGTATCAAAGTATTCAGGCATTGATGAAGCCTTCCTATACATTGGTGAGGCTATGTATTCTGTTGCAGTTTGATAGGAGAGTGCCATTTTTTTTTTGTTTGATTTTTAGGCTTCACTTTTGACAATCCAATTTTTGCTGGAAGTCTAAAAAATGGCGCCATAATATTTTTGTGTATTTACAAAAAAATAAAATTTAGTTATTATTATATTAACAATACGATTTACAGTATATTAAACAATTTCTTTTATTGGTACATTATTTACAAATTCTTCTTGTTATTTCTTGGAGTTGCCACTTTCTGTTGTACTGGTTGTTGTGGTTGCTGATGTGGTTGATTAGCTCCAGGTCCAACAGAAGCTGTGCTGAAGTGAGCATCTGCTTCATAGTTTTTGAGTCTTTCAACAACTTCAAGCTTACTCACAATGGCAGCCTTCAATTTGTTTTCCTTAATTTCAAGCTTTTCCTTCAATCGTTTGATTAATTCATCCTTATCCTGTTCAGTGCTTGGTGAAGTACTTGTTGAAGAACTGGAAGGCGTGGTAGCTGTTGTATTGATGATTGGTAGGTTGTTGATGAGATTTTGATCAGATGGAATCTTTTTCAAAGATAACTTGAGTTTCTTTTCCAATAATTCAATCTTCTCCTTCAATCGCCTATTTTCTTCCTTCTCCCTTGATGGTGAAGATTTGAATGTACGAGGGCTTCTTTGCTTTAACATTTGGATTTCCTTCTCCATTTCAAGCTTTTCTTCTGTTAATCTCTTTACATCCCTTTGAACAGTTTCATATTCATCATAGATTCTTTCCTTCTCCTTTACAGACTTATTAAGCTTTTCTTCAGTGCTAGCAAGAACAGTTCTAATAGTATTCAAATCGTTTTTAAGATAAGTAATTCCTTCATCTGCTTGATTAACAATACTACTCAAATTGTTAATTTCAGCCTGGTCAACTTGCAAAAGTTGATCTTCAGATTTCACTAATTCTGTCAATATCACAACTTCATTATCCTTTTCTTTCAATGATTCTTTCAAGTTCTTTGCCTCTTCAGAAAGAGTTTCGGTTTGAGACTTCAAACCCTTAATTTCTTCCTCTAGGCTAGTTATCTGTTCATCTCTTTCTTCCATGCATTTCAAAAGCTTGCTGTTAGACTCCTTTACAACTTTCAGTTCTGCCTCTAATTCTATTGACTTGTCTTCCATCAACTCATTATTCATTTCGGAAAGTAAATTTTTGAGTTCAGTAATAGTTCTTTCGTACTCTTCAATCTTTTGTTTTTCTTTTTCCAATTCCTTTTGGTGTTGGACAGCTAAATTATTCAAGCCATCATTAATTTGTTGCAATTCAATTTTCTTGTCTCCCAATTGCTTCTTTAGAGATGCAACTTCTTCCAATTGCTTCTTTATATCTTCAACTTCTGTATGTATATCTTGCAATTTGGTTTCAAGTGTTGTAACAGTTTCAGATAGAACCTTGCTTTCTTCTTGCAAAAATTCAATACTTTGGTCCTTGTTTGATCTTTCCTCCTCCAAAGATTTGATTTTTTCTTCAAGTTCTTCATTTGTATTCTTCAATGTTGAGATCTCTACCAATACATTTCTGATCTTTTCTGTTTGGCCGTTTAATCTTTGAGTTTCATCATTAAGTGCGTTTTGAATAGCATCTCTTTCAGATGATAATTGTTGAATTTGTTCAGAGAGTTCAGTGTTGATCTTTTCTATTTCACAAATCTTTGCTTGTTTCTTTACTTCATTTTCTAAATTCTTCATTTCTCCCAGCAATCTTTCCTTTTCTTTTGAAAATTCTTCGGTCTGCAAGTCCTTCTCACTCTTCAATTCACTGTGCATTTCCTCAACTTTCTTGAGTTGTTTTTCTAATACTACCTTTGATTGGACGACTTGCTTCATATCATTGATTTGGTTATTGATTTCTTGTTCAAGCTTTTTGAGTTGAGCAGAACATAATTCATTCTCCTTTTCAAGTCTGAGTTTACAATTCGAAAGATCTCTTAATGTTTGTTCTTTTTCATTTTTTAGTTGGGCATGCAATTTTTCAAGTTCTGCAATTTGCTCCTTAGATTTCTTCAGCGAATTGTCCAAGTTGGTAATATCCTTGCTCTTAGTATCCAAATCCTTCTTGAATTGCTTATTCTCATTCTCCACAACTTTCAATTTTTCATTGGTATTCTTTAGTTCATTGTCTTTCTTATTGAGAGTGTCTTGGTATTCCTTCTTGGATTTTTCAAGCTTGTCCTCGATTTCTTTCTTTTGAGTTCTCAATGATGTTGTAGATTTTTTTTCGTTTGCTAAATCGTTTTCTAATTGATTCTTCTTGGTCGTCATTGTTGAAAGGTCATTTTCTAGTAGATTTTTCTCGCTTGTCAATGTTGTTGAAGTTTGCTTTTCATCTGAAAGATCTTGCTCTAATTTTTCCTTTTCAGTATTGAGTTCTTTAACTTTTTCGAGAACCTTTACTGTTGCCTCTTTCAATTTCTTTTTCAATTCATCTGTCTCTCTAGTTGCCTCTGCCATTTTCTTCGAGTAATCATCTTCTACTTGAACAAATGTACAGAACATTAAATACAACCATCCCAAAGCCAATGCCATCAAACCATAAAAAACTGATTGGATGAATGAGTGATGGCTGGAATGTGTTGGCTTCAAGGAAATGGAAAAACCAGATGGACCCTCAATACCTTGAGGATTTCTGATAAATTCCAAAATTGAATTTGCCTTCTCTCCAAGATTGGTGATTTGTAATTGTAAAAATCTCTTAACACTTTCTTGATCCAACTTTAGCTTTTGAACTGCAAAAGCAAAGGCCTGATGATAAATGATCATTTCATGAACAGTTTGAATGCATTCTGTTGAATTACCACAAATTGCATCAAGTTTTGGATCAACAATTGTTTGCTTTGGAAGAATTTGAACATTTTCGGAATGAATAATAAGGTTGTTGCATCTTCTTTCCAAGGCTTGCTTTTTTTGATTGGAAACTAATTCGTCTATCTGCTTAATTACATTCTCAGCACTACCTTCTAATGATTCTGAACCACACTTCTTTTCAACAAGACATTTTTCCTTATATTGGCTCAAAGCCTTCTCAAAGTAGAAATTCTTAACAAGTTGAGAGGAACAATCCTTTGAGAGTAAGCCGAGATCGATATTTGGTGATGATGATTGATTCAATGTTCTTTCTTGATTTAAATACCACCACTGTGAAGCAATAAGCACAATAAGGATAAGGATTGGAACGTGAAATATGGAAGACATTTTCTTATTTTTTTGCGTGTTTGTGTGTAAAATTGGCGCCAACCCTGAGTAACAAAAATAGAGAATTTAATTGTGTGTAATGTTCGTTCAGTGCATTTTCTCCTTGAACGAACATGCTCAATAATAATTTGTTCACTCATGTAGAACATAAAGAATTGGATGTCGGAACTTTTCTATCTATTATTATCAGATCTGCTTAATGTTTAGATGATCCAAAAGAACCTGGATGCATTTCTTCTGGTGCTTCTTCCTCTTCCTCAATAACATCAAGGCCAAAATCTTCATCATCTTCGTCATCGGATTGAATTCTGTTGTCTTGGAAGGATGATGGTTGATTTCTCTCAATGTCTCGACCGAATGCAGTATCAGGGGTATTCATATCATTGATGAGCTGATTGTATCTATATCTCATCTTGTTAGGATTGAATAATTGTTGTAAAAATCCACTTTGTTTGTAGAAAAGCAATGCACCAAAAGTCAATACCATAACAAAGAAGAGAACAATAATGAATACAGCCCAATTACTCATTGATTTTGGACAATCTCTCTTAATAGGATCTAATTGACTGCTCAAACCTCCATTACAAGTATTTCCAGGAATTCTGGCATATCCTCTAGATTCATTATAGTAATTTTCTGTTTGGCATGAGGAAAGAGATGGAGCCTTTGATTCCTCTTCCAATTTGGCATTGATTGCTACACAACTAAATTTGACATCATCAATTCTCTTCTTCTCATATCCATAGTCACATTCATAGTCAGCATATGTACACTCACAATTTGTGATCTTGACAGGTTTTCCTTCAGTGAGACTTGGATTGAAACACATGGAAGTTCTCTTTCTCCTGGTATACTCAACAACTCTACCCAGTAAGCACTTGGAGTTATAGTTGTGTGGTTTGAAATATTCATAGTCACTGTTTTGGTCGTATGGATTGTTGATACCAGTGCATTCCCTTTGGTGAACCTTGGAAAAATCAACACGAATGACAATATCTCCTGATGTATCAGCAGAACCATGAATTAGAGCATATCTGGCCAATTGATCAAACTTTTCATTGGCATACATCTTATTAATTCTATAGGTTCTGAGATGTTCTGTGAAATTGGTTGTTACCCAAGTATTGGCCTCATCCAAACTGTACCTGAGTGTATCAGTTGGTCTATTATTCTCAGCAATCATCATAATTCCACCATGATCAAGAATTTCATAGACATGAGAACCTTTAGCCACTTCAGTCCAACTCAATCCTCCGTCTCTACTCATGTAAGTATTGATAGTTCCTCCTTCCCATAAATATTCTCCAACATTACCATTTGCGAAAATGATACCAACTGCATCCTTGTGTGAATGAAGTCTTGGATAGTTTGGATTAGTACCAGCAGAAAATCCATGAAGGTGCAACTTGCAATTACCACTTGGACAATTGATTAACTCCTTATTGGCTCCATACTTTGGTGGTGTAATGTATCTCCAAACCGACTTGTCGAAGGTAATGAGAGTTTTAGTTTTACATTTCCTTGTACAATCTTCATAGCCATTACAATTGTTACATTCGTACAACTCCATAGTATTCATATCATAGGTTTGAACTTGATTGGCAAGATAAACACCTTCCAATGATTTGACTTTGGTAAAATCAGCATGATTGCCATCTCTTCTGTTATCCCATAATGTTTGTTTATATCTGACACCACGAGCATCTAAAAGAATATAAGTATTATATATTCAAATTATCAACTTACCTGAAATGAAAACTTTACCATACTTGGAAGAAGTTGAAGATGAGGAAGTAGCTGATGATTGTTCTTGTTGAACATTAATCAATACAGCACCTTCGCTTCCATCCAAAATAATGAATGATTTTTCAATGATATGGTTTTGAGTGGATTGAGAGATTGAAACTCTATTGAAAGAACGTCCATTATCAGTACCAACAAAGAGTTTGGCCATGTATTTTTCTTTTTGGTATTTTTCTGTTGCTTCCTCAATGGTCGCAACGAAAAGGAATGGTCCATACATCATGAATTCTCTAGCATGGCGAATAATCTCATTATCATCCTCATCATTTCTAGAACGACTGTCCATATTGAAAAAATAGCTAATTCCATCACTTTCCTTGATACCTAACAAGAGAGTATCGGAATAGAGTTTTGATTCAGAATTTGCAAATGAAATTTGTTTAACACCTGACTTTAAAAAGTAGAAATTACTAGCCAAAGTTTCACTGAGATACAATCTATTGTTACTCATTAAAACTAGTAAAGTGTTATGAATTTTTGGATGGAAAACTACTTTGGTCACAATCGGAGCTTGTTTAGCATCAGAATTATCATTTGGAAATGGTCTTTCTACACAATTAATTCTATCAATGTCAAATTCATTGGCAGAATTGAGATCTGTGCAAATGTAAAACAACTTTTTCAAATTAGAAATTAAAATAAATACGTTATCATCAAAAGGATGTCTAGCAATGGTTTGAATACATTTTGCTTCTTGACAATTTCTAGCCTTTTGATTAAAATTTTGAAAGTGAACACCCTTGTCAGCACTCAAATAAACATATTTATCTGTATGAACATAAACTGTACGTCTGTTTATGAACTGCATGGTAGATATTCTTCCCTCGAGAGGATTCAATGTAAACTCTTGAGAATTTATGGAAGATAACAAACATGACAATAATAAAAGTGATATGAAAATGAAAATTCTAGAGTATTGATAATGTTGAGAAAGAGATGAACACCGGAACAGTGCTAAAGATGATCTCTGATGTGTTAGTGATGATGTTTTAAATGTTTCCTGTAGAGGTAGACGAAACATTTTTTTGAGTTGTCTATTGTCTACAAACACACCACGTAATGTTGTTATTGCAATTAATGAGTGATTATAATGGATGGAATCTTGATTTTAATCATCCAATGTACAAGGAAAATTAGTGAATCAGGTAATATGATTATTTGTCATTCATAAACTTGCCTCGAGAAACAAATTACCGTTATCATATTGCTACTCTGAACATGGTGAAATAGAACAATATCAGTTTCTATTCGATCAAAACGACGTCGTATCAGACACGTTTCTCGAGATTGATTATTAATAATTATATTTAATAATTTTAAAAAAGCCATACTAGTAGTTTTATAAGAGAGGTTCAACGTATTCCAAATCTTTTTATCATAAATAAATGCCAGAACACGTCGACACTAAGATTGCCGATGAGTCCTCTCTGATCATACCCTCATCTCCTGTAGAGGAAGAAGAAGAAGAGGAATTTCTGGAGGTTGAGGGTTTGGACTTGATTCAACAAGATAGTATTGCTCCACCACCAATAACAACAACAGTAATTGATGAACCTACTACTTCAACGACAACAACAAATGGCAACAATACTGAAGATGTTGATGGTGCAGTGAGTAAGAATAACCAAACAAAAGAAGTTGATACAACTGATGATGCGGATAAAGTTGAAGAATTGGTACGAGAATTAGAGCAAGTACATCCAACAACAAGTACCACTGAAAGTGAAGATAGCAAGTTGATAGAGCAAATTGATACAACACCATCAACAACAACAACCAGTACCATTAGTAATTCTGTTGCAACAACAAGTGCAGAAAATCAACATGTTATGGATCCTTCATCACCAAATGCTCTCCTCGAAGAATTAGACCACATCTTTGATACACCTCTCCTAACACTTCCTCAACATCAACAACAACCACTTATCCATCAACCAATCTTTACTCAGAGTTGTTCATCTTCATCTTTGACCATTCCACTCAAAGACTTTTCTCTCAATTATTGCTCCAAAGTCAACAATTTTCAGAGAAGAAAGCGTAAGGATCATCCTTCACCAACACTGTACGAACAACAAATCAAACAACACACTAAGAGAACTAAGACCAATCCAATCTATCAAAACATTCCCATCAATTTTGTCAGCAATTCTGCCTTCCTTTTGAGTAATGTTATAGAATCTTCCGTTCCATATAACAATACAACAGTTTGCTATGATGACCACTCTACTCATCAATGTCCTTGGCTTGATTTATTGTCCACAGGCAATAGGGAAGAGTTGGTATTAGATGAAAGTAGTGTTCTTTTGGGCAAATTGCAAAAACTCTCCCTTCTTCAAAATACTTCCTCTTCATCATCATTAATTGTTACTAATAATTCACGATATAGTCTAGTGACTGATCCATATTGTACTATTATGAGGATTGGTGGAAGAATTTATAGAGAAACCTATGAAGATCGTTCATCTTGTACATTCAATGCTCTTATTAATTGTGGAAATGATAACAAATTCCTCATGCTTCAACTTCAAAACAATGCTCTAAATGATAACATTTTCACAGTCTATGCAAGATTTGGACAAGTGGGTAATACTGGACAGACCTATTCGAGATTATTTGATAATATTGCTCATGCCAAACAATTCTTTGTAGATTCACTGTTGGCTATAACAGGTTCTGCTACTGTTTCTTCCCAATGCTCAATTGCCTCTAGAGTTTGCTATGATATCCCATCCATTTCCTTCTTTTAAAGTGATGAATTAGTTCATTTTCACAATTCAAACTTTTTCAATTCAAATATTAAATGTATTTTAAATAAAATTAAAATACCAAAGAACCACAATCCTCTCAAAAAATGCACCACTCACATAAGAAGAGAGTCTATCAATACCATCGATCTCACCGTTAACTCTGTATCTAAATTGGGTGAGGCTCATCCACTTCGTAGTCTTGCTTTCTCTTCGGATACCATATGGCTCTATGTGGTCAGTAGCTGAGCACAAAATGGCAGTGAGACGAACATCCACGGGCGTCTTATAATAACTGATTCGCACATCTTTACCTTTTGTTCTTGAAACAATAGTTAAAAACCCGCCAACTTTTATCGTTCAAAGTACAGAATTTTAAAAAAAATTAATTTATTGTGATGAGCTCAGCCAGTTCAACTTCATCGGGGTATGTTCCTCCCTTCTCACCATCCTCTTCGTTCATGAAGAAGACCAATGCTATGGATGGAAGAACGAAACGAGTTGATGATGTGATGGTCAATATGGAAGATCACATTGCACTCCTCCATGCTGAAATTATGCAAATAAGAGATGATTTACGATTGCATCGAATGATGGCTAAAAAGTATGGAGAGGAAGGTTTTGGTGAAGGTGAACAACGATTACTCCAATTAAAACAAATGAAGAAGGAGGCCCTTAATAGAGTTAAGGGTCAGATGGGAAAGCTTGATAGAACCATCAAGGCTGGAAAGAGAATTAATAAGGAATTTAATGCAGTGGCTGCACTTGAGGAAAGATTAAAGGAAGCTAAGGAAAAACAAAGGAAGAGAAGAAAGGACAGAAAGATGAGTGAGGAAACACGAAGAATAGAAAAGGGAGAAAATGTCGATCTAGGAATTTACTCGGAAGGTGACAGTGGAAGTGGATCATCGTCCAATGATACGGATGCCTCATTCTACAAGGATGAAGAGAAGAAACAAAAGGTTGTTTTCAAGCAAAATTACACTGGAGACCTGATGGAAAGTCATGTGGATTCAAATCCAACGACGTCTTTGATAGGTTCATTCAGAGGACCAAGATCAAAGATTCTACTCAACAAGGAAGCACCCAAGTTCAAAGGTTACTTCAATTTGGCACATTTGGATGATGACGATCATCCTCACTCCTCCATGGTTCTCATTTAATTTATTATAATCTAAGAAAGACATTTTATCAAATTGTAAATATTAAATTCTTTCAAAACTCTTCTAATAATTATTTGATAATCAGTGTAATGAATCTGAATCTGTCAGTGCAGTTGACACAGTTATATATTTATTTTCTTGACTTTATTCTCAGTTTAATAAAACAGAAAAGATAACAAGAATGAGCATTGTAACTGCACTCATTACAACATTGGAAGCTCTAGAGATGGCCTTCTTTGGATTGGAGGTTTGGCCACCTCCTCCTGGTACATTCAATGAAGAATCTGGTCTTGGTATAGTACTAACATCTCTAAATATTGGTGTAATATCTTGTCTTGGATAAATTTTGAAAGATCTATATTCAAAAGACATGGGGAACTTGTCATAAATTTCCTTCTTGGCAGTAGCATATAATTCAGGACCACCAGTGTACTTGACAAGGAATGAACTTGCACATGAGGCAATTTTGGCATAGAAATTTCCAGTCAACCATCCATTTACAGCATCTTGACTTCTTTGAATTTGTTGTGCATCATTTTGCTCTTTGAATTCTTTCCATGTTTCGTACCATTTATAACTGTATGTGGAATTTTGCATTACAAAAGCCCAATAATAAGCCATATAACGATAATCATGTCCAGTAGCATATAATTGAGTTGTTAACACCTTGTGATATTCGCTCAATAGTGGCTCAACTGGGAAATCCAAATCTCTCATCATTCCCAAAACAATTAACATCATACTCTCTTGCCAGAAAGCAGCAATTCTACCATTTGTATCTCTTAAAAAGAATCTTAATGGAGACCATGTCCAGGCATTGTTTTTTCTTGCCCATTGATAATTTGGACGAGTATTGAAACGAGGATCATCAATTCCTCTCACTCCTTCCCAATATGCAATGGCATCATAAATTGTTTCATAGAAGAAAGATCTTTCAATGGATTCATCTGGTGAGAGAATGGCAGCGTACATTCTAGTTCTTGCAGTCCATGCAATTCCTCTCAATTGATCATTAATTCCAGCATATCCACTCATGCCACGTCCATAGATACCATCTGAAAGTATTCAATTATTAGAAACTGATCCAAAATAACTTACCATTCATTCTAGTACAACCAATGGCTGCCCAAAATTGTAAACTTTCCAAATAGTAGTAGTCTCCACTCAACATGTAAGGAACTGAAAATGGATCAGGCTATTAGAAACAATTATTAGAATACTTTTGAAAATAAAACTTACTTGATGAGAGGCATCAAAAATCCATGGATTGGTAATCTTTGGAACATTCAATGCTCCAGCATAAACATCGGCATTATTAGGGAACCACCAAGTTGGATGAGCATAGATTGAAATTGGTTTTCCAATAGCAGAAACTGTCTTGTTTCTATCCCAATAGAGTGAGGTATCCCATTCTCTGAATTGAGCTCTCCAAGCACCTGCCAAATCAGATTGAATCAAATTTATATGTCTCATTCTCCAATCTCCATTACACAACCAGTATGCAGTCCATTCTGGCATGACACCAATGTCATCTCTCATTCCTGTTGTTGGCATTCCTTTTGTCCAAAAACCTTGTTCAAAGATACCTCTTGGTCTTGTTAAAAATGTATTATAATATGAAGAGATTTGAGATGGCGTGTAAGTGTCATTGAGTGAATAATTTGGAACATAGTTTGTCAAGGCCAAATATTCAACATTGTAATTGAGATCATATTTGATTTCTGGCTCAGCTCCAAACCAATTAATACGTGTCCAACGAGCACCAAACCAATGAGTGACATTTGCTTGATTGTGTGATAATTGAGGATTGCTGACACCTGTATAAATTGAGACATGATATTGTACATCTTGCAATGTATCCATGACTGAATTTTCCAAGATACTCCTCACACGAACCTTTCCATTACTCCAATGTGAAAGATGAAAGATTGGTCTAAATGATTTTGGGCCTCCCAATCCAACATCTGCCTTTCTCTCAATAGAATGATCTGCAACAATTAATTCACATCTTACAGGTCCATTAGTTGTCCACTTGTATAAACCTTTTGAAATCATATCTCTGAGACTAATGTTACTCTCAGTTGAATTTCCTTCCAGTTTAATCTTTACTTCCAACTCTGGTTGATCATTTAACATGCCACTTATTGAACATGAAGAACCAACATGTGGAGTTGTGGAGAAAAATGTTAAATAGCCAAAGGAATTTGCAGGGATATTTGGTAGAATGGTAGAGATTATGGCAAACTTGACAGAACCATCAGGATATCTGTTGGTTACTTCAGTTTGTGAGGTAATAATTGTTCCATTAAATTTGACACCTGGCACTGATGGAATTTCACCTTGAATGAATGGGCGACCGATTTGGAGAGGTATTGCGGTTAGACCATTGCCAGAACGATCAGTTATGGTGATGGTATTGGATGTTCTTGTGGTAAGCTGTGCGAGAGCAACACTTGACCACAACGCAAGTACTAGTAATGAGATTACTTTGCTGATTAGTTTATGTATTAGAAAGCAACTTACCAAAGCGAATGTCAATCATTTTTTTTCGTCTGTTCGCCGCCGTTAGCACTGGTACTTGCATTCCTTTAATGTTTTGTTCCAAGATAACTGGGTTGACTAAATTGCGTGTTTGACAGAAGATAAGTTTACTGTCAAGTTCTATAAAAAGCTGCAATGATAATCTCATCGACATTTAAGCCTAATGAAATTAAGATACTCATTCATTTGAAATTAATATTTTTTAACAGCATTTGATTCTATTAAGCTTGTGAATTTCCTAAACGTTCAGTACTCAAACTTTACGAAATATTTTGCTATCTTGATTACATTTATGAAATATTTTCAATATGAACAAGATCCCGTGTAGTCCAATGGCTAGGATACCTGGCTTTCACCCAGGAGGTCCGGGTTCAATTCCCGGCATGGGAGGATAATTTTACTATTTCTTTTCTATTTTTCAATATTAGAAACAAATAGCGACTCTTCAACAATTTTCATAAAGTATGGTCTTCTATCTTATTGTTAAATTGTAATATTAGTCAACGAATCGGTAGATTAAAATAATTTACAATACAATTTTAAAAAAAATGCAAACATTGCCAGCAGACAATTGTACCTATTTGAAAACCAAGCACGGAAAAACCAGATACATCTTGGATGGACCATCGGAATCTGATCAAGTGGATCATGCCATTGTTTTTGTTTGTGGAATTTCCTCACACTCCTATTCTTATTTACATTTGATGAAGGCTATTGAGCAGACTTTGAATTCATCATCAGCATCATCGGAAAAAACAATTTATTTACGTTATGATAAGTACGGAAGAGGAAAATCTGAAAATCCAGAGATTGAACATTCGGCTGATTTGTTTGTGGATCAGTTGTATGAATTGATTGATAATTTAATTATTAAAGCTCATACAAAAAGAGGTTGGTATATATTTTGATCATGATGAATATATAATGTATTCAAAATAATGATTGGAATCAAATTAGAAACAAAGAGACCGAGAATAACAGATTGGATTTTCGATGGGTGGATGTGTATCTGTACATTTTGCTGCTAAACATTCGGATATTGTGGATGATTTGATTTTGTTTTCACCTGCTGGTGCAACTTGGAAATTGCCATTTGGAAGTTCACTTGTAAAGGTTCCATGGTTGGGAAATGTTGTTTATGGAGCTTTGCATAAGGCATCAACTGATGAACAAAAGGTTGCTACTGGACTTTTTGATTTGAATGATTCTCTAGTTCAGGAGAGAATGAAATACGCAGTGGAAATGAAAAATAAGGAAGATGAGAATAATTCTCAAGTAACTTCATTTGTTAATTCATTTACGTAGGTATTATGATGACATTGAATATTTACATTTTTCGAAAGTAATTTTCCATTGCAGGGAAGTGATGAACAGATTCGAATTGTTGGTAAATCAAATATTAGAGTTTTCCTCATTTGGTCAATCTTTGATTTGACAGTTCCAAGTACTGAATGTTTCCCAATCTATTATGATTTATTGAAGGAGAATAGCAAGTCGAGATTTGTCATTTTGAACAATACACGACACATGTTCTTCATGGAAAGAGAACAAGATACAGCTCAATTGATTGTAAACTTTTTAAAGGATTCAGATGAGGGTTCTGTGCATGATAAATTCGATAGAACAGTTACACACGTCAAGAAACAAGAACCAAACAGACAAATAATGACCAAAGCTGACACAACAATGTGGAACTTCTTTGCTGAACATGAAGAATTCAAAAAATTCATTATTTAAATTGATTAATCATCTATGTTTGTTTTATTGTTTAATATCACCGTTAGCTACTGCTGAGAGAATGGTCATGTTTCCTTCTGGTCTTCTATTCTGCAAAAAGTTCTTCAATTCTTTTCTTAATTGGTCATCCTTGTTCTTTTCCTTTTCTTCCTTGAGCTTGGTAAAAGTAGCGTCGAGTTGTTTCAAGAAGTTTGAAACAGCAGTGAAGAATAAGTGAGGAGTATCGCAGACATCCTTCTCCTTTTCGCCAAAGAATTTGGCAACCTCTTTCAAAATCTTTTCCAATTTTTCTTGGGCCTTGTTAATTTTTTGCATTTCAGATTTGGCATATTGATAGAATTCATCCAATTGCTTTGGGAATTTGTCATTGATAAACTTTTGCTCCTTCTTGTAGAATTCGAGTTCAGTTTGAATGACTTTTAAGGACTCGTTAAGTTTGCCAATTTCTTTCTTCAATTCTGGAAGCTCAATTCTAGATCCGACTTCAGCATAGTCTTTCAATTCCTTGAGAAGTTCTGGAATTAACTTGTCATCCTTGGCCAACAAGAATTCGCAAAGATAATTCATCATTGAACGATTTGGATCGCTAGAAGATTTGATATCACCAAGTTTTGTCAAAAAGTTAAGCTTGAAACCATAAACTCTGTCCTTGTCAGTCTTGGCCTTATTCAAAAAGTTGACAAGCAATACTATTAATGTCATCAATCTTTGTAAACTCTTGCATTGCACAATATTCTTGCATGCTCTATTCAAGGATTCAATATCTGGTTCTACACTAATAACAGATCCTTCAAAGTAAATTTGGCTTGACCATGCAGTGAATCTTTGTTTAAGTCTTGGAATGTCTTTCATGGCATAGAAGAGTTTGTCACCAGGTTCCAGCTGTTCCAAATAACCATCTCCTTTCTGTACGAAACTTTCAATTTCCTTGAATTTGTCTTCTTCAGGACACAAGTCTTTCAAACTGTGAATAGTTTGCTTTTGAAGTTCCTTTTCATTCAAATCAATTACATGTTTTCTAATTTCTCTTTCATTCTTCTTCAAAAAGCCCAATAACAATGCAAGTTGGTATGAAGTCTTCGAGTCAAGGAATGAAACAAGAGTAGGAACATTCTCCTTTTCTTGCGATGGAGCATCTCTTGTTTCCTTCTTTTGGAAGTTATTTTCGAATAGATTCTTGTCGAATATCTTGCTCATTTTTTCAGCATTTTCTTCTAAAATACTCATCCAACCAGTTCCTTCAATGTCCTTGTTATTGATCTTGTCGCCTGCTATGTGAATCTTTTTAGTGTCTTTGGTGGCTTTAAGCTCTGGTAATTTTGGAAGTTTGGTTTTCATTCCAAAAAAGCCACCACCAGGAGGCATTGGAATACCAGAACCTGGCGGTGGAGGAACACCAGGCATTCCAGGTGGTGGTGGAACACCAGGAGGTAGTGGAATACCAGAGCCTGGTGGAGGTGGAATGCCACCCATACCAGGAGGTGGAGGTATTCCCATTCCAGGTGGAGGTGGAATGCCAGAACCTGGTGGTGGTGGAATACCACCCATACCAGGAGGTGGAGGAATGAGAGCTTCTACAGGTTCCACAATATTTACAGAGAATGAATACTTTTCAGCGAGTGGATTCTTTGAAAAATCGACAAGCTTGTCGAGCAGAGGATTGTCTTGAGAATCGAATTTAGAAACACTAACTGTTGCATTTTCCTTATTGTTTCTAGTGATGTCTGTTAATTGTGAGATAATATCCAATGCTTGAGTGCGTTCCTTTTCCAGTGCCTTGATACTGTCTCTTTGCAAATCAATAGTTGTTTGTAATTTGAGAGATTCAATTCTGTCAGCTCCACCACTCTTTTCTGTCACATCTCCAGAAGGTGTAATAGTATCTGCAAGTACCTTTTCAACGAGGGTCCACTTGGAGTCAAGTTTGTCCTTATTCTTATTCATAGTTATGAGAAGTAACAATTTCATGGTATTAATCATACTACTATTAGACTCGGCAGATTCACTCAATCTCATTTTCATTACTTTGGCAATTTCAACAGGATCTGACAAGGAAAGCCAAAGGTCTTCGTCTTCCTTAGAAATACCATCTCCTTTGAAAGCATTTTGGAATATTCTTCTTTCGTTATTTTCAAAGTCAAGGAACATTTTACACTGATTTAAGAGTTTTCCATTTGTAATTTCCTCCTTGCTGGCATACTTTTCGCTGACAAATTTCTTAACATCAAAGTTAATAAATTCTCTATATATATGACTTGCAAAACTCGAATTCTTAGAAGCATAAAGGAATGAATTCATAAACATTAAAATGTGAGCTGCTAGCTCTTGCTCGTGATAAAAAACTGATTCCATACAGTGGAACATTTCTTTGAATCTGTGCTTTTCATTCTTCATCAATTTATAGCTATTGACAGATTCTAAAATGATCCAAAAACCATTCTCGCCATAGTAGGCCACAACTGATAACAGGACTAGAATTTTAGATCTTAGGTTAGACTTTTGAACAATCATTTGGTTGACAAGACCTTTCAGTGTCTCTGTCGTTTTTCTTCTAGATTCTCTTGGTGAGGAAAGAACAGAAATAGATTGAGCATCATTTTCAGGCTCTTCGTCTGAACTTGATCCATCATTATTCTCTGCTCCAGAGGATGAGGTATTAGTTTGAGTGCTAAATGGTTTTGTTCCTCTTGGACTTTGAACAGTTTCATTTCTACTGTTATTAGTAATAAAGTTTGAATAGTCCAACATTTCCTTGAGGAATGCTTCAAAGTCACAAATCATTAACAAGTGTTTGATAACATCAGAGTGTGCAATCAATGCTTCCATTCCTTCATCTGTATCAACAATAGAATGGAAACACAAGATGATTTGTTGTAAAATTTCCAACTCGGTTAATTGATAAGAAATCTTCTTCTTTCTTTGTTTCTCTGTATGCAAGTTCAGTTTGTAAATTCTATTAACTTTGGTCAATAAAAGACTTAATGCATTAATACCATCTTGCTGAATAAACTCGGTAACAAAATTAATCTCGCGTGTTCTTAAGGCAACAGATAAGTGTCTCACAGTTTCCAAGATTACGTGCAATCTTCTGTGATGAGTTCTGACGTTTGTAATGAGATATTCATAATCTTGTAAGTAAGAAAAGATGACTACAAGAGTTTCTCTAATTTCATCAGCAACTGTCAATGGCTCTGAATTTGGATCATTATAAGAATTCTCACTCGACATGTTATTGAGTTGCTCGTTCATTTGAATAAAAACTAGTTTTTGTTTCAAAGACCAATTCTTTTTCACGTATTCAATTTCTAATAATATTCAGGATTAAATATACTAAAACATATATCAATAAACATACCATATTGCTTGACTGCTCTACTCTTTAAAACAGCCTCAAAATCCTCATTTATCTTATTGAGTCTTTCTTCTGTCAACTCCAATTCAGGAGATTTGACTGGAGATCTAGAACTCATTGGAGATAATTGACGAACAGAAATTTCATTAAACTTTGTTCGATGATGCACCTTATCGCCCTGTTGCACCAACACTGAAGTTAAGGAAGGAACATTGAAAGATGTTGGACTTCTTCCATGATGCATAGCCTTTGGAGAGGGTATTTGCAACTTTTGTGGAGTGATTGAATTGGGTGATTCACTTCTCTCTCCCGAATTCATATTTTGCTGACCATTGCTATGATGATCATCATTGATGGTAATATTTACATCTCCCGAAACGGATCCCTGAGAACTCAATGATTGTGTATCAATGGACGAAACAATCGAAAGGCTACTGCTGCTACTACTACTAGTCTGACTATTACTCGTTGCACTTGTAGATGATGCGGATGAGGATGTATTGCTGCTGCCATTTGATGATGAATTTTTTTTACTTTCCCCGCCATTTGAATATGGATGGCCGTTAGATTTTGATGAAGAAGAATTGGAGTCTGTTGTGGCGAAACTTTGCAATAATCTAAAACTAGTTGGTCTGGAAATTTCCATATTCCGTGATCCTTTTCTTGGTGGTGCTTGTTTGGATGAATTTTGTGGTGGTGGTTGACTTGATGTAGTAGGTTGTTGAGAATTATTGGTAGAAGTAGTAGTATTACCACCATTAGTATTACTACCATTGTTATTATTACTGTTGGTATTGTTGTTGTTGTTGTTATTGGAGGAAGAGCCAAGAACGTACTGATCTTTTGATTTGTCAGTATTGTTCGTACGGCTTCCAAACATTCGTTTCATTTTTTCTGAAAGCTGTTGAAATGATGTGGACATTTGATTGGTTTGCTCCAGAAAGTGTTGCCTATTGTTTATTTGAATCCATCAAAGACAGTTTTTTTGGATGTTAGTAGGAGGTTGTTCTAGAGAATCACGTTATTGGATATGAGTTATTGTTAAGAGAATCTCCTTAATAATGATGGAAGTGATTTTTGAAAATTTGACATTTTAGATTTTGGTTAATTGCTGAACGAGAGAAGTTTCAATTTAGAGAACAAGAGACAAAGTAGTGAAAAACCTTATCAGCTTTTCACATATACTACAAGCTGCAAACTGACTTGTAAGCTTGAGTTGACAATAATGAATGTTGTAACTGATAAATTTCTGTCAACTTCCCAAAAGGTTGATTGTCAATTAAATGTTAACGATCACTGTGCAAATTTGGGTTGTGAACTTTGTTGATAGATGTTGTCTATAACCATTGACTTGTAAGTGGCTTACTCTTTGGTTAACGTTAATATTGGATGTTGTTATTGTACCTTAGAATGGATTTACAAGCAGAAATCAATCTGATCAATTAGACAATATTTCAGATATTATTATTAATTAAACCCTCAAGTGATGGATCATAATGGACCAAATGAGTTTGTTTTATAAATTAATTACGAAATAACAAGTTATAATTGCAGGAAAAGCTGGGAGTTTGACCGTGAATATGCTAAGTGTTCAAATTGATAGATTGAATCAATTTAAAAGAAATGAAATTTTCCTCAATAATTTGTTAATCAGATATTACAAGCAAAAAAGAAGAGTAGATTCATAATAGTATTGTGGTGCTAGGAAGTAGAGTAATTTTTATATTGATTATAAAAACTCTTTGTAAACTAAGAGGTACCTGTCTTTATTGTCAAGAAGGAAGAAATAATGAATTTAAAAGAAACATGTCACCTCTATTTGATTTTTAACATTGCTTACATTGAAACTCTTCATCTCAAAAACTCCAAATAAAGACCCTTAATGCTTGTAGTGAATATTCTCTCTTGTTACCTTAGTGAGATGCAACCTCAAAAAAATTATCAACACCAGATGGTGATTATCATTGATGAATACCTCAACATCTAGCTGAATAGTCATCGTCGAGGGACTATTTGAATTACTCCTAAATTACTATTTGAATAATGAAGAGTACTGTAGATCAAAAATTGTACAGTTTTGTTCGTAGTAGTATTCATTGAATCGTAGTGTTGTAGTACCAGCAATGTATTACTCAATTCTCAGCTAAATACCATATAGACAGCATTCCATTATCCCTACAATCCGTATGGATCCTTATTGAACCAACAACTACAACACCAATCTAGTTCTGACAAGGCACTTTGAGCTGCAAAAAATCCCTCCAATTTTTTACTTACATCATCATTACAAACTTTTGTATTATTCATCACCACTATGGCATCGAGCAAGAAGAACAACTTTCAACTCTGAGCCTTTGGGTAAGGCTTGATTTGGTATTTTGATATTGTTTATCATCACGAGTAGTGAAAGATTGAATGAAGGTTAAAAAAAATAGCCAAAACATCAAATACTACAAACACTTTCGCTTTTGAAAAAGAGGACATCATCATATCGTTCGGTTTTTCATAAGATTTTGGAGGAACACATTGTGTATTTTTGTGATTCCTAATAATAAGAAGTATAACTAAGTGACTGATTAGACAGTCTTGTGAATTTTTGTAAATTATTCCGTGTACATTATGAAACCTAAATACCTTGAAGGTGGTAGATTTGAATCTCCTAATAGTAGTTTAAGAAGATCATCTTCTTTGCCTTCCTACATTAATTTATATTGCAATCCTTCAGCAGCATCCACTAACAACATACAACAACATGGTGGTCAACCACTTCCTTTCACAAACCATCATTCTCCTCCTACACTCTCATCACAATACTTGGAACAATATAACAATAACTACCATCAACACCTGTCAATATTTAATAATCAATCTAATGATAATTCTAGACCATCTTTCACAAATACATCCACCCCTACCTCAATTTATCAACATCCAACAAGTGATTATTCAGGAATGCAGATTCCCACAAACATACAAGACTTTTCCCATAATGCAAAAATTGTATCAACCAATGATATGATGGTTTGCCAATCTGACAATTTTCCTCAACAACACTGTAATCTAGGTAATCAAGGAGGTGTCACCACCTCAATGAATCAGGCCATACCTTCCAATCCTCCTTCCCTTCCTAATAATTACCTCCACCTAACCATTACTCCCAACAATTTCCAATCCTTTGATCAATTCCTAAAAGAAAACTCATACAAGTACCAACCCACCTCTGTAAATGAATCCCTAGATGATATCAAAAGAAAGAGAATCATCACGAAAGAAGATAAAGAAGAAGAAAGAGAGCACCACCAAATCAAAATGACTAGGTCAGGAACCTCAACAAGTTGTGCCTTCAATATGTTTTAATTTATTACAATGTCAACTCGAATAAAGTTTGCTCTTGATTTCAAAAATTAATTATTTGGAGGTGTGAGTAGGAAATTAATGGAAGGTAGAGTATTACCTTCTCTCATATTTGGTGGTGAGGTTGTTGTTGAATTTGTTTGCTCTGCAAAAACTTTTCCATTATTGGATGGAATTGGAGGAAGTGGTCTATTCTTCAAATTGTAATAATTGTTGAGACCAGAGGTTGTTTCATGTTGTTGTGAAGAATTGTGATTTTCACCATTTTCTTCTTCAACATTTGCAGCAGAAGCAGTATTATTTACAAATGGATTTGGAGCATTCATCATACCCATCACGTTGGTCTCATTGTGTCTCATTAAAAGTGAGACTACATTCTCTCTGTCTGCACTCACAGTGAATGGTCTAGTTGCAACTCTCACTTGTGCAGTTGATGGAGGAGCTTGGAATGAAAGAGGTCTACAACCAGGTGATGTCTTTGGTGGTGAGGTTGAATTGTTGGCAATTGCATTAAGGATTGGACTTGATTCAAAGGAGGTTTCATCCATCTTTTCAGTGAGCATTGTTGTGGAAGTGCTGCTGACAGCAGTGGCAGGATCATTGTTGATTGCAGTTGCAGTGATGGATGATTGTAATGTCCTAGTACCTCCACATTCATCACAATAGAACTGATCATTCACTGATTGTGAAATGTGTTGATGACTTTGAGATTTTGGAAGGGAAATACCTGCCTGTTGAACACACTTTCTGTGCATATACCTCTCACAAGCGCAACACAAAATCCATGGCTCTGTGGAAACGAGCTCATTAACATCTCTGTAAATTTCATTACAAAATTTACAAAAATGTCCCTTACGATAATGAAGTCCACAAGCATTACACAAATTGGCTCTTCTTCCACCTTCGACGAAATATCCCTTTCTAATACATGTGATTCAAATTAAGAAATTTCACATAATTATTGTAAAATGTTAAATATTTACAATAAAAATATCAAATACTTACCTCCATAATGGAGTATCAGTAGCATTACACTTTGGATTTTCACATTGCTTTACAGAACTCTTTGTCTTTTTAGGTGGTTTAGGTTGAAAATTCGAAAATGACCTAATCATCTTACTATTATTATCCCAAGGTAGTGGATTAATCCCAAACTGATTCGTCATCATCACTGCCGATTGTCCATTCACTGACGAAGCATTACTTGTCGACAATGATGCACAAGACAATTGATTATCCTTACTGCTATTATTATTATTATTATAATTATTAACAATGCCACTGAATGAAATATTGGAAATTGGCACTGGACGTGATGGCTTTGGTGGCAATGGTGGATAAAATTCATTATTATTAGCATTATTAGCATTATTATTAGCAGCACCATGAGAATGATTATAATAATTATTATTATTATTGGCCAATGTATTATTATTAGTAGTATTGGTATTCATCATTACATGTGCATTTAAAGGTTGATGATGAACCACCACCATCGGAGGAGGAGCAGTTGAAGATGAAGTTGAATTTGGAGTGGTGGGAAAGAAAGTTTGTTGTTGTTGTGGATCGTGATGAATATAAAGTTGTTGTTGCACGTGATGAAGAGATTGTTGAGGTGAATGATAAGAATAGGAATTTCCAACTGGAAAGGTTCCAATAACTACATTATTAGAAATGTGATTGGTAGTGGACAACGATGGCGTGGTGCTGTTGGATGGAGGTTGTTGTTGTGGAGTAACAAGGTTGTGTTGTTGTTGTTGCTGGGGTAGAATAGGATAGTGTTGGTGAGGATTCGAATAATTGTTGTGGGAAAGACTTGGAGGTAGATTAATGCCATTTGGAGTGATGACTGCTTTTCTGTTGAGTTGGTGGTTGGTCATCAGAGAGGAATTGGATCGTTGGGTTCGATGTTGGTTGTTATTCGAAAGTTGGTTGTCATTATTCGAAAAGGAGGAGGTTGAAGAGGACATGGTTGGTGATTCATCTTCCATTTGATTATGATTATTAGAATAATCCTGATGATTATTGTGTTGCTGATTATTCGAAAACTGTTGGTGATGATATTGGAAATTATTAGAAACATTATTCGAATGTGATGAATGATGATTACTGAAATTCGAAAGACCACTCATTATCGAATCTTGAGAACGTGGTCTTGAACTGTTCGAACCATGGGAAGCCGAAAGAAATGGAGAAGAAAATGGATAATGTGGACTTGGATAGCTATGATGTGGTTGTTGCTGCGAATTACCACTATTCGAATTCTGAATAAACGTATGAATCGATGGCAGATGAAACGATCCAGAGCCGCCATCTTCTTCGTCTTGATGTGACATTTGCTGTCTATTGTCAAATTGTTGTTGTGGAAACATTTTTTTTCAAGATTTTTTAACATGGAAATGATTTGCCACAACTACCAGAAGGGCCAACTTGACTAGATTGGTAACGGTTTCCACAACCGCATCTAATCTAATGACATGCAATGTTTTATAATTCATTTTCACGAGTCATATTTGGAACTGTTTACAATGGGAGTGAATGGGTCAAAAGGTGATATTGGAGATAGTGGATGGTGAGGAAGAGTTTGTTGGTTGGAGATGGTGTGAGGTGTTGGGATGGCAGAGTTATCTGCCAAATGTCAAGTGTGAAAAGTGAAAGTGTTGGTTGGGACTTGCGAATTGTAAGAAGTGAGTGAAACACTGAAACAAAGCGAATGCCTTTATTTGTAATTGAAGATTGTTGATTTGTGAAATGATCAAGATCTACTAGTATTCGAATCCAATAACACTGTATCAAATGTTTCGTCTACTGTTTCTTCATCAAGATCTCCATATTCATCAGCATCAAAGGCATTCAACAAAATTTGTGATTCTGCACCAGCAGGCAAATCATCAACACAATCCACACCCACCATCAAAAATGGCGGGAATTTCACCAATTGACCAGATCTACAATCATAACATGTGAAATATTCACTATAATTTTCATTGTATAACGAACACAATGCTTCAAAACATTCTTGCTGTTCGCACACGAAAAATCCAATTTCACTTTCTGATTGTTGACCATCAAAGCTAATCTCAAATTTCGCCTTTTTCAAGGTTTTATGCCCACAATTGTCGCAGTAAGGTAAATTTTTCTCTGTTTCATGGGTGGAATGAGTTTCGTCTTGTTCATCTTGTTCGAGCTTGTTTCGTCTAGTTTGTTTTACGAAATCTACTAACTGTAGTAGGGAGTGTTTACGATCTCTTGGACCTTTGGTTGTGCAAATCATTGAGGCGAATCCAAGAGTCATACAAGTATAGGTTAGGGCAATTTCGAATGATCTGACACTTTGGATGAATTTAAATTCGCCAGAGACAATTGGCAGGGTAAAGTGACATATTAGTTTTTTGAGTGATTGGAGGTAGAGTTGGAGTTGAGTAGAAGGTTGTGGAAGAGAACGTTTGGATTGGTTATCAATTTTTGATGTCCAACATTTGGCAGGTGATGGTATGAGTAGTAATGAACAATTAAGGTTCATGGAATCGATATTAATGGATGCTGTGCCTTCCTTACCACCTCTGACTCTTCCATAATCAATCAAATCTTGTGAAATGTTTTGAATTGTAATGTTGAATTGGAAAACTAATTTTGACATTTCATGATAAAGAGTTAGAGAGCTAGAACTTGTTGTAAAGGAGTCCCCACTTGAAATACTGTCGTCCTGGCAGTATAGAGCAGGAATGAATATACCGTAGAGATTTTCTGGATTGATTAATTGAGCTGTGATTAACAGAGATGCAGATGTTGAGGTTGTTGTGTTGTTGTCATTGGTTGACTGGATTATTTGCCAATTATTACGCTTCTGTGGGAAAATGGAAAGAATTTTAAGATAGCTTTCTGTAGAATTGGTTTCATAATTGTATAATTCAGAAGATTGATTTGTGAGGCTTGATAGGACTGAATTTTGAATGGTCAAGTCAACTAGACCATTTTCATTTTCTTTCATAAAGAGGCAAGAATCAACATTCTCAAATATCATCAATATTTTGTAGTTATATGAAGAAGTAGGATCATGAATAGAATCATAAACCAAACAATTGTCTTTTCTATCTAGAGGTTTCATACTCAGTTCGATATTGCATTCGATATTTTCAAATCTTTCGTCAAGAGAATAGAATGCAAATCCAAAAGCATCATTTTCAATTTGGATACTTTCGTATTGAGTTAATGATTTAGAGCTTTCAATAGAGTTAACCATCTTTCCTAAACTCTTGAAAGAATTTCCATTTTCACAATATGATCGAATAGAATATTCGAAACTTCTAATTCCGTTATTTTGAATCTTGATTAGATATTTGAAACTATTCATTGAAAATAAATTAGGAGAATATTTGATAGTTGACCTCAAAGTTTGATTCAATTTTCCACTCAAACCAATTTTCAAACTTTCACTCATCCAATTAGAATTAAAAATTGTTAAATCTCCATAAATGGAGCATTGCTCATCAGAATCTTGTTCGAATTGACATTCCTTTCCACTATATTTCAAACTTGAACAATTACACTTGTCAGGAGCTATGCAATATCCATTTCCCTTACAAACATTAATGTCAGATGCCAAATGACCAAAACAAATGACTTGCTCACAATTTTTTCCTCCATATCCAACATTACATTTACAATTCAAAGCACTTTCACAAACACCATAAACACATGAAGTTTTGTTACAGACTGTCAAATGACATTCTTCACCAAGATATCCTTCATTACATTGACATGTATCCTTTGCAAAACATTGACCATTTCCATTACAAACACTTGTTGAATTTTCATTGTAATTGCCAAAACATACTGGAATGTTACATTCTGGACCGTGATATCCCGTTTCACATTGACATGTGTCAGGATTTGTGCAATTTCCACGACCTTGACAAACTGTTGATGATTCATTGGAGAGGACGGAGAAGCATTTGATAAGGTCACATTGAGGGCCATAGAAACCAGAATCACATTGGCACGAGTTTAGATCTTGGCAATATCCGTGTCCAGAGCAAACTAATGGTTCTGAGTTTAGTTTGGAAAAGCAAGTGAATGAGGAACAATTGGGTGATAGATATCCTTCTTTACAGGCACATAAATTAGGAGATTCACACTGGCCATTACCAGAACAGACTTGAGAATTAGTCGAATTGATTCCAAAACATTCGAATAGATTGCAATCGGTTCCGTGGTAACCATTTTCACAAATACATTCAGAATGATTGCAAAATCCATTACCAGAACATTGTATACCGTCATGTTGAGAACACGACTCTAGAGTGGAATTATTGGAATCAGTAGAATTAGTTTCGGTTTGGTTATTAATATTTACAGAAGTGGAATTCAAAGTTTGATTGGTGGCTGATAATGTTGAATTTTCAGAAGAAGTAGAATTATCAATAACATTAGTTTGGTTACTTGTGAGTGCTGTTGAATTTGATACCTCAGTTTGATTTCCATTTATGGAAGATGAATTAAGGGTTTGATTCGTTAATGGTAGTGTTGAGTTTTCAATAACAACAGTTTGATTGCTTTCTAAAGTTGAATTAGACATTTCAGTTTGATTATTTCCATTAATCAAAGTGGAATTATCAAACAGGGTAGAATTATCATCACTACTTGTTTGATTACTAAATAGAGTTGAATTTGTTGTTTCAGTTTGGTTATTAGTTTCATTTCTCTCAATAATTGGATCTGGAATATTAATTTCACAATCACTCCCAGTAAATCCATCAAAACATGTGCAATTATCCAAAGATAAACAGCTTCCATTTCCACTGCAAACATTCGAATCATTAAAATGTAATCCATGGCAGGTAAAATCTTGGCATTCCACACCTAAAAATGATATATTACATTTACAATTATTGTAATCGAGGCATTGGCCATTTCCAGAGCAAACCAGTGAAGAATTGAATGCTTTCCCAAAACAATTAAATAATTCGCAATCTTCTCCATAATAATGATCAAAACATGAACAATTATTTGGTGAGTGACATTTTCCATTTGAGCTGCAAACAGTTTCATTATTTTTGTGAATGAAATTACATTCAAATTCTGAACAATCTCTCCCAAAATATCCTTCTTCACAAGAACAATTATTTGGCAAGTGACATTTCCCATGTTCAGAACAAACTTTAGAGGAGTTGCTTTGAATTTCAAAGCAATTGAATAGTTCACAACTAGCTCCGTAATATCCAGCTGGACAGGAGCAATTATTGGGAGAAGTACATGGAGAAACTCTAGAACAGACATTTGGATCATCTTTGTGAATTCCAAAACAATCAAAATCTTGACAATAATCTCCATAAAATCCTATACCGCATTTACAAATATTCGAATCTAAACATTTACCTTTTCCTGAACAGACAAGTGAAGAATTTTTTGGCATGTCGAAACAATCGAATAAGTCGCATGATTCTCCATAGTAACCTTGTGAACAGTTACAGTGGTCGTATTCTAAACATTGACCTTTGCCCGAGCAAACATTGTTCGAATTGTTAGAAAGTAATCCGAAACAAAAAGTAATGGAACAGTTTTCTCCAACATGTTTCGAGTCACATTCACAAATATCAAATGCTGTACAATTACCAAATCCACCACAACTTTGTAAACTATTAGAAACAAGTCCAAAACAAGTAGTTTCTTCACAATTGGCATTAAAATAATTCTCTTCACATGAACAATTATTTGGAGAGATACATGTACCATGTCCACTGCAAATATTAGAATCTGATGCGTTCACGTTAAAACAAATTGGAATTGAACAATTTTCAAATGTAAATCCTTCGTGACATTGGCATTCGTTAGGTTTCAGACAATTTCCATGTGAAGAACAAACATTCGTATCAGAGGCTGTTAAATTATAACATAAAGGAATGGAGCAATTTGTAAATGTCCATCCATCGTAACATTCGCACAAATTTGGTGAAATGCATTTACCATTTCCATAACAAGTATTCGAATCATTATATTGTATTCCAAAACAATCGAATAAATCACATTGTGGGCCATAAAATCCATTATCGCATAGACATGTATCAGGTGAAATACACCCACCATGGGATGAACAGATCAAATCTGATTCATTCATGAGTAAATGTTTTCCAAAACATATTGGAATTGAGCAATTAAATCCAGTATAACCATTTTCGCATTGGCAAATGTCAGGAGCAAGGCATTGTCCATGATTTGAACAAACATTTGAAATATCTGAAGCATTAAATCCAAAACAAATAGGAATTGAACATTTCGATGAAGTATATCCTGATTTACATTGACACGTATCTGGATATGAACAATTACCATGTCCATAACAAACAGTTTCATTACTTGCTGGAATTCCAAAACAAATTGGAATACTACACTCATCACCAGTCCATTCATTTGAACATTGACAATTATCTGGTGATAAACATTCACCGTGTGATGAACAAACTTGTGAATTTGAAGCTGTGATGTTGAAACAAATTGGAATTGAGCAATTATCAGATGTATAACCATCTGAGCAAACACAGGAATCTGGTTGTGAACAATTTCCATGTCCATAACATACAGTGGAGTCATTAAATTTCACACCAAAACAACTGTGCAATTCACACATTGCTCCATAATATCCATTCTCACAAATGCATGTATCTGGCCCAACGCAATAACCATGTGATGAACAAATTGACATTGACTCATTCATTTCTAAATGAATTCCAAAACAAATTGGAATTGAACAGTTCAAAGAAGTGTAACCATTTAGACATTCACATAAATCAGGTTCAATACATTGACCATGTGCAGAACAAACACTTGAAATATCAGATGCATTATAACTATAACAAATTGGAATTGAGCAATTGGATGAAGTGTAACCATATTGACATTGGCATTGGTTTGGATGTGTACAATTACCGTGTCCATAACATACGTTTGAATCGTTGAATTGCACTTGGAAACAATCATGGAGTTCACATTGTGGACCATAATATCCATCACCACAAAGACAAGTGTCTGTATCCACACACTGTCCATGAGTTGAGCATATCAAATCTGATTCATTCATGAGTAAATGTTTTCCAAAACAAATTGGAATTGAGCAATTAAGTCCAGTATATCCATTTTCGCATTGGCAGTTATCAGGTGAAATACATTGTCCATGATTTGAACAAACATTTGAAATATCTGAAGCATTAAATCCAAAACAAACTGGAATTGAACAATTATCCGAAGTATATCCTGAAATACATTGACACGTATCTGGATTAGAACAATTACCATGTCCATAACAAGTAGATTCATTACTTGCTGGAATTCCAAAACATATTGGAATATCACAAAGCAATCCTGTAAAATAAACCGAACATTCACATTCATTGGGCTTAATACACTGTCCATGAGAAGAACAAACATTAGAATCAGAAGAATTGAGCCCAAAACAAACTGGTAACGAACAATTATCCGAAACATAACCTTCTTCACAAAGACAAATATCTGGAGATGAACAATTACCATGGCCATAACAAGTCATTGCAGAATCATTGAATGGTACTCCATAACAATTATGTATTTCACAATTATCTCCATAATATCCGTCATAACATTGACAAATGTCATGAGCAACACAATGGCCATGTGAGGAACAGGGAGCTGTTTCATTCATCAAGATATGAACGCCAAAACAAATAGGAATTGAACAATTTTCTGAGGTATACCCAGTTGAGCATTTACACAACTCTGGATAGATGCATTGGCCATGTGAAGAGCAAACTTGAGCATCTGAGGCGTTGTATCCATAGCACATTGGCATGAAGCAGTAGCTAGATGTGAAACCATGCTTACATGTACAATAGTCTGGATAGGTACAGTTGCCGTGTCCATAACAAACAGATTCGTTGGTTGCAGGAATTCCAAAACAAATTGGAATG